CCTAGTTGCTTAAATTCTAGCTTTCTAAATACCGCTACTGGACATTTTTGCACTATAAAAGCCAACATAAAAAAAGGGAAGGAATATTTAAAGTGCGCATGCGCAAGCCATTTTAAAACTCGCTTCCAAACAATAAGACCCGTAATTTGAAATGCCGTTTTCAAACAATATCCGATGACATTTAGGCAATTCGATAGTTTTCAGTTGGGATGTGGCAGTTTTTCCATAGTATTTTATCGAATTAAATTTTCAGTGATTAAGAAATTGGCTCAAAATGTGTTGTCTCATATTTAGCTGATGATTGCAGCAATTTTACTCTGTTTAAGGCCCCTGGATAATCTAATAGCTCTTTCTCAACTTGTTTTTGTAGAATTTTAGCTGATTTTAGCGAACTGTGAAGCATCTGTCACTTTTTTTTGCAATTTGTTAAGGGTGACACCATAAGTGCTATGAAAATTATCCGTAGTAATAAAAAACTTATTGTTTGCATTGTTTGACACATACAATTCCAATTTCCCTCCCGGCCTTCTCTCAGTTGAACCTCGAATATTATTGTTTGGGTTTGTTTTAAAATACCCAAAGATTTACTTAACTCAATATGTACAAACTAAACCAATCAACCTAGCAAAATATTTAGGAAACAACAAATTACAATATTCTTAGCTAAATAAAGCTTGGTTAGACGATTATTCGTTTTGGTTTTGCAAAGCTACCTACAGTGGTCATTTCATTGGCGCCTAAAAGAAACTAATCGCAGAGCCGTCCTTAGTGGGAAAAATTATGGCTTTGACAATGATAGCTGCTTCATAGTTTTCATTAAATTCAGTTAATTTTAATCCAGTTATACAATTCAATGTGCTTCTTTGAATGTGTGTGACGTTTGGCAGAAAACTGAACTAAAGCGACTTTTGCTTGATGAAAATCCCTTTAATACAATTAAATTAGGACAAAAAATGTTGAGATTATCATTTTAATTGTGTTTTGTAGTCGAGAAGTTTTAAAATAATCGATATGATTACAAAAACGCATTTGTAAATTCCACGCCCACTCGTAGCCAAAACGGAGAGTAAAATACTGCAGAATTCAAATTTAAACAACGCTTGTTTTCACGATAATGGGTAATAACCTCAATAACGCACTTAAATGAAACTGGTCTGCGCGAGTGTGGTTTACGTTTTAAGTATATCTTGGCAAACTGCGAAGACTGCGATACCATGAACTTTTGTAAATTTGCATGATGACTCATCCGGTTGAAGAACTTGTTAAGTTGTTAAAGCGTTTTTCCATTTGCGGTATTTTTACGAAACGCGGCAAGACAGATTCACGAAATGTTGGGTTTTTCAAATTTTAAGTGGTACTATTGTTAATAAACTAGAGTTGTTACGATGAATGACAAACGTTTTTAAAAAAATTATTTCGATATTCGGTCGACAACACCTTTTCTTTATAGCAATGGGAACTGTAAGTTCTAACTTATTATCAGCTTTTAGCTGTCCGCTGTATCGATTTTTCAATAATTAAAATCTGTATTGCGTTGCCAGATTTCCCTTTTGCAACAAAATAATGTTTTTCTCCTGAAACTACTGGGGAACTATTTATTTTAGAGCTTGAAATATTCTGAGGTATACAAAACGAAGGCGCCAACACCTGGTGTATTAATTAAATAAAAAGTTTTTTCGTATTTTTCATGTTTAAAACCTTCAAGAACAACTTAGCTGACGAGCACAATAATTATACATCACTAATACAAGTTCTACGATAAAAGAGTACAAACTTGAAATTTCTAGGTATTTCTGTGCGCTGTATGAATCTGAATCTGCTATTAGCTTTTTCAACAAATGAATTCACTTGTTTTATCTATAGCGCGTCCCAATTTGAGCAATTATTAGCAACAGTAAAATTTAAAAAAAAAAGATTGTTTTCATATTTTTCAGGTGGAAACAAAGCAATTTTTCTGACAAATCTTGAACGTGGCTATTTGTAATGACGTTTTTACGTTATAACTCGAAAATTAATCTAAAAAAAACTAAAATTGAAAAAAAAAGCTTTTCTTAGGTGCAAAACTTATATACATATACAACAGATTATACCATACACTAAACAATTTTTTGTATACGCCATAAACACATCCATCAAAAACCGTTTTATTTTGTCATAAAAAAAATTGTTGATTAATTTTGAGTGCGCTGTACAGGGTTGTCGTAAATGGAGTGTTTTAATTGAAAAACACATATCCAAAATAGATAGAGCAAAATCTCGCAAACCGCATATTGACATATTATTATTGAAAATGACTCAACGAGAGCATTTTTCTAATGATTTCGATATAAAATAAGAAAATTGTATTCAATTCAATTTAACGGGACGTTACAGAAGAAGTCTGAATACGCCACATCGTTTGACACAAAAATTTTCACTGATAGTGTTTTTATCCGAATCAGAAATTTTCATAAATAAAAAACTTAAGAAGATATGGAAATGCAAAATTACCATTTCTGAAAAATCTAGTTTGCTCTATCTAGTTCAAAAGTACCGTTTTTCTGGTTAGCTAGCCCAGTTACGACCATCCCGTATTATTATAATTATAAGGATTCAATTAATCTCCAAAGTCGATGTCTCAAAAATCATTATTAAAAGCAATTTTTTGAAATAACAAAATAACTTAACTTACTTATAAATTAAAAATACGCACATACAAAGACATCAACTAAAACGCACACAAACATAAATTGGAACGAGACCAAATCCGAAGAAGTAATAAATATGAAAATATAAAAAACACCTAACAGGGTTACACAGGAGATCTGAAGTTTATATTATTAAAAATTTATGTCGGCTCAAAATTAAAAACGTCACTGATGCAATCAAGGATAGGACTCTGGCTTTACTGATTTCTCCAGAAGATACAGTTTTATACTTTTTGGGCTACTCGTGTAAAACAATGACATTTTTATTCGGAAAAAAGTTATGACCCGTGGACAAAAGATGAGTACCGAAAGCAGACTTAGTCCCTGTCACCTCAGTGTTTTTCACCAAATTGAGACGTGAACCCCGATGGAGATCTTCTTGACAGACTGTCTGATATAAATTGCATTACAATCCTTACAGTTCAAGAATATACTGCTGATCCAAAAAAATAATCTATTTATTCTTTAACTTTTATTATAAATTGTTTTAATTTAATTCCTGCTCTTGAACAATTTAGCTAGGTGTAACGAAATATTACCGACGTAGGTCAAGCATTGTAACTTACATTCTGGAGGTTTTGATTTATTTATTTACATACACTGCTCAACAGGATTAAACCCAATTATAGAGCAGGAGAACATCAACTACATTTAATCAAAATTACAAAATTATTTACAAAGAATAAACATAACCACGCAAATGCACTAATATTGCAAAAAAGATGATCCGCAACAAAATGAACATAAGAAAAATACTAATAAAGGAAATTACTCAACTGCGAACGCAACGAAATTGCAATAAGACTAGGCACAACAGAATTTTGGGCTAATGCTACTCAAACTGCAATTAAAAATGTCTAAATCGCTGGTACGGTTGTAAAAGTTGCACATATTATATAAGGGAGAGAACTTCAAGACATTAGTCCTCGCGATGGGAAGGTAAAAGGTAGCAGAGTATCGCGATGCGAACCACGGAACCATGACATTCAGCTGCTGAAGTAAGTCAGGACAATTTACCGAATTATGAATCAGCTTGTATAACAAAACTTGTGACAAATACTCGCGCTTGGTCTGTAGAGAGTCCATCGAAAACAAATTCAAGAACCCCAGTCTGAGGAACACCCTGTTCAGGCTAAGATCCATGAGTTTTATCATACAGTAATCGCTTATCGAATTATGTGAAGCAAAATCCCTACCGCATCTGATCAAAAAGCCTTAAGTTTTAGATTAGCTTGCCACTATTGACTCGATGTGATCGACAAACTACAACCTTTTATCGAATATTACACCTAGGTCTCGCACTGAGTCCGGTCTAGCGAGAGATGTTGAGCCATTGCTGTAGTCAAAGAGAGTTGGGGACGATTTCAAAGAGTAAGTCATGACACTACATTTGTTAATGTTAAGAGGCATCATATTGTTGTTACACCACAGATTTAGAATCTTCAGATCATGTTGCAGTCGAATGCAATCAAGAAAATGATTTATGACAGAAGGTATTTGAAGGAAAGGTCCAGCCCTATGTCATTCATAAATAGAATGAACAATAAGGGCCCTATGACGGACCCCTGTGGCACACCCGAAGTTACATTATATACGCTCGAACTGAAACCATTTGCAAAAACGTACTGCCTGCGGTTAGTTAAGTATGATTCCGTCAACATGAGTAATGTAGTAAAAATGTGAGTAAAAAAGTAACAAGCTGATTTAATTATATAACACGATAATTGATATTTCTTGCCAAATTTGTAAAATAATTTCTTGATTAAACAAAGTGACAATTTGTCTAATCGTCGTCAATTCCTTACTAAATGCTTCCTTTGAAAGTGGAATGTTACAAAGCCTGTATGGAGAGTTTAAGGAAAATCATATCACACTGTCAGTAGATGTGGCTTTTCTAAAAATCTAATACAACACGAATTATAATTTTTGAGACATTGATTTTGGAGTGAATTGAAACCTTATCGTTTTGTGCTGGTTTTATTTTGAGAATGCTAGTCTGCGTAATATAAACTGCAGGTCTCCGGTGTAACGCCGTTAGGTGTTTTTATATTTTTTATTTTTTAATCTCAACATTTCTTATTGCATTTGTTAGTAAAATGAAACGGTGCTGGCGAAACAATTGTAACATTAATTTTTCAAAGAAACTTCCACAGGCTGCTGCAATACTTTTTACAAAACTTCTGGAGTCAAACTTGCTGACGTTGCGCCAATCATCCTATTATCTTTCTTATTTATTTAACCACCCTTCTCTGTACTAGTCGCATGTTAAATGTTAAACCTTTGCAAATAAATAATACCTATCCATCTATATACCTTCTCTGCCCCATATTTAACCGTTTCTAACTCGGAACAAGTTAATTAAACTGCAAGAGTACGAATGGCAAAGATCACCTTACCCCCGTTCGAATCACCAATCACTAGGGTAATAATCCAATCACTCAGGGACGTATCAAACAAACCCGAGACACCAAACCGGCACCAAAATCCAACTGCCAAACTGAACACCGACGACGCACGATCAAGAAACGCAACGCGCCGATCAGACGATAACGGTACAGCGAATGGCGGAGTCCGGGCGACGGCACCGCTCGCCAAGAAATGAAGAAAGAAGAAAGGCCGAGGAACGAAATGGCGGTCACGTGACCCGTCGTCGTCGTCGCAGCCGCCGTCGTCGCCACCACCACGCCGCGGTTGCAGCGGGAGACGCCGCGAAGAAGAGAGAGCGCGAGGCCCATCGACCGGACATCCTCGACGGCGATGGCCTCTCGTGTAGCGCCCATTGTTCGGGAATTATTCCGCGTGTCCATCGCGATGTCGATACCATCTTCGGATTTGGCAATGGGATAATTAGAGGAGGTTTCGCTAACGCGGGCGCCATATCGGTCGAATGTAAATTTGGATTGAGAACGTCTTCCGTAAGATTTACAAAAGAGATATAGAGGGTGTCCCAATAGTGCGTCGTATCTTGCAAATTTTAAGCGAAAGTTGCGCAGGTCCGTGATACATGTGACCAAAATACCATCCGCGATCGCTCTCAAACATGTGACTTAATCGAAAACGTCCGAAGTGACTCGCGATCGTGGCTAAATAAATCACTTAATTTGCTATATATTTGTATATACCATTGGAATGAATATAGCAAAAACTTTATGTTGCAAAAAGGATCAGAAAACGTTACAGGTAATCCTCGTTCTGACCTTTGTGGTATCTAAAGTATTCATAGTGAGCAAATTTTTATTTTAGTTAATGAAAAAGAAAAGAAGACATGCGTAGATATAAAGAAAAGTGTCCACTCCATAATTGTTGTATTTCATTTTAAACTACTTTCGGTTTAGCTTCTTTAGTTTATTGGAAAAATTATTATAAAGTAAAAGATGATTCAAACTTTCGTTTTGTAACATGTTAAGTATTCTAAGGAAGCTGACATCTTAAAGTGACACTTTGCGCACGCTTGATCCGTGCATTACAAGATGTTTTGACTACTTCCTACTTTAAAATACACAATTATGCACAGATCAAGCGTGCGGAAAGTGTCACTTTAAGACGTCAGCTTCGTTAGCTACGTTCGAGAGTCACTTCGACTATTTGCTATACTTGGTCACTTCGAATCTATTTATTGCAAAAGTAATGGTCGCAGAAAAAGTATAGTACAGAACACATCGATAATCTTTTTCACATTCGTTTATTAAAAATTCGTTTGTGCCAAATCATAACATGCAACACTAGTTCCGCTGCGCTCCTCTTGCGTCAATGCAAACTTGTGACTAAAGTGTCATTTATTAAACTTGTTATTGCGTAATAATTTTTTTCTAGGTTTTTAAGAAATCTTAATAGTTCCTTGTTTTAATTAAACAAAAATCCGCACAGATACAGGGCGTTTCAAGAATAACATTTTGTTCGAAAGAAACCGGGTTTATTGCAATTTTTTTGCGTTTTTCATGTTCGAATTCTAGGAGAAAAACTAATTCTTTTTTTTTATGTTTTCCTAGACCTATTTCTTACCGTTTTTGAAATAAAAATTAATTTTCATGATTTTACATAATAATATCAGACAGACTTCGCCAAACCTAATTTTCATTTAATTCTAGTTTCTTTAAAACTATATTGCCCTTTCTCCAAAGTCAATCATCAATCTAGAGAGAAGATTAATTCCAGTGAAGCCTCTTTTATGAACAAGGTAACAATTTAAAAGGTCATATTTTATTAGATTTTTAGATTACTATAATTTAAGCGGATGTTGAAATGACGGTGTTCAATGTTGTTATCATTTAGAAATAATGAAAATTAATGGTTATTTCAAAGACGGTAAGAGATAGGTATAGAAAAACGTGAACAAAGTTAAGTTAATTTCTCCCTAACTTTTATTTTTGACAGTCCCTGAATGTTCCATCCAAAATTGTATGCCTTATCTCTTTAATAGTTGGGTTTTTATTTAATTAACACGCAGAACTATTAAGATTTCATCAGATAGCTAAAAAATATAGGAAATTATTATTATTTCGATAACGGTAAGACGAGAAACTCTATGTTTTGCGGAGAATCTAAAAATCAAATGATGTACAGAGAGTGGCTTTTAAAGTAAAGCATCACCTCATACGTCGCCCTGTATAATATAAATTAATCTGTTTATTCGTTCGCCAGATACTTCTAATGGACCAACCACTGTGCACCACCCAGTATATTTTTGTTTCATGTTATCCAAAATTAGTTTTCGTTTCATGCTAGTCCTTACATCAAATGGTTCTCTTCAATTTTTGTTATATTTACATTTTTGTTCTTGTCAATACAAAAAAATATTTTTATTAAAAAAGTTTTAGCTATACCTTTTTGTCAACCCGTTAGAAAAAACTTATAAATAACTAATAAACAGAGCAAAATTAACTGATTAATTAGTATATCGATGGCAAAAGTGTGAACATTCAGATGCAACTTAAAGCAGGAAAGTGGCATGTAAAAAATGCAAAAGGGTGTTATTGGCAAATAGCAACCACAACAACAATGGTAAAAGAATTATTATTAACATCCTTGATCACTTTCGCCCAAAAGTTCATGTCATTTTAATACATCGCGAGTACCCAATTTGATCGCAGTAACCATTCCAAAAGCAAAATGCCAGTACCGGGTTTGTATATGCAATACCAGCAGGTTAACGCGCGCGACATTGAGAACGAAAGAAGAAGTAAAGAATTGTGTTGCTTGTTGCTTCCGAGTCTTTTGCGCAATCGAGTTGTCATTTATAGCATTAGTAAAACGAAGAAAAAGTTTTGTAAACACCACACGTTTTCGTACAAAGTAGGTTGTGTATGTTTTCCATTTCTATTTCGACAATTTTCCAAATTTTCAAGAATGTTGAAACTAACCCTAACCTTAAAAGGTTATAGGACAACCATGTAGCTATTAGATAATATAGTGGCCCCGTAAAAGTCGATGCGTCGCAGGCGAAATTGACATTTTCGTAGAGAAGGGAATGATGCCACATCCAAACTTATTGACGATCTGTCGGTGGCCATATTGGTTGTTGAATGCCGGAATGTCTTTTCAATTTTGTTTTCTAAGTTGCTCCATAAGTTTTTGTATTATCGGAATAGGCAGTTCCTCTACAACTCTAGTAACTACATGGGGACAAGAAAGTCAACCCAACACACAACAGCACAACATCCTGATTAAAGTGAAGTAATATGGTAAGGTTTTTACTAGCTAAGGGGAAGTGAATCCAATAAGCGCTCTCTACGTTAATTAATCACAAGCTTGTAAGCTCTTGCACCATATCTACGGCGAAAGGCAGTACTGCAAGTACTACCAATATGGGAAATTTTTATTCTTCCGGCGCATCCGGCATTTATTAATGTGCGGTCTTCTAAGGGAGAATATGTATTGATAAGTGGGGAATATTAAATCATATTATTTTGTTTATTTTTCTTTTAATTACCGACCGTTATGATAGGCATAAATTAGAGATAGTGCAGCTTCCCATCGAACCTGACAAATCTTGAATATTTGTATAATAGTTTATTTTTAGTGTGTATTTAGTATGTTTTATGGTTGCCTTGCTTTCAAAAATGTGTCAACAGATACGGTTAATTAAATATGCTTTAATTTTTTGGCTTTGCTTACAATAAGATGTCATAGAACCCTGTATTTCAGTCACTCAATAACCGCTAGATGGCGAAAGTTACGTTTATCGCGCAAAATAGTGCAGCGTTTAAAAACGATTCACCCCAAAAAGGTAGTGTCATATTTTCTTCTTTAAAACAAGTTTAAATTGTTTATTTGTATCATGTTAGGATTGCACAAGACAAAGCCACGAAATTTTTCCAAATTAGTAATATTATCAAAGAGAAACTGAAAACATGGCGCACGCTAATAAATTTCTCTCTTATTTACAAGATATTTCATTTGCAAGCGATAATGTATTGTGTATACTAACCTGTGCAAAAACTGACGACTGACTTTTGATATTTAAAAAAAAATAATATTAGGCTATAATTTTTTACGAGTTGAAATTGGTTATTTTCGTTTTGACTTTTGACTTGGCAAAAAAAAGCTAAGCAAAACATGTCATTTTAACAAAGTCTATTTCCGCAGGCCGATAATTCGAAAAAGATTTTTGCATTATGCATTCAAACGAGCAAATTTGAAGGTATTCTCTCTAAAATTAAAAATCAAGTTGCTTGCATTTGCAAAGCTGGTTTTTCGCGAAATTGCAAGTATGTTGCTGCAGTTCTCCTAAACTGTGCTAAGTCGGTTTAAAGAACAAAATTTTTGCATCGAAAGCTATTACTAGGATACTGTTCCTTGAGTGATATCTACCAACAGAGCCATTGACATTTACAAATCATCATGTTGGCTTCTTCAGAGGTTAACTGAAGCTGTTTGATGTATCGACAATAATCCAGAAGTTTTGTAAATAGCATCACAGTAGCCCGTGGAAATTCCTTAAAAATAAACGAGCATTTGGTGTTGTGTTTGAATTTGGAACCGGTAAGTTTTTTCCTTTCGTTTGAATCCACACAAGTACTGAATCGCGAACGATACCAAACGAATTGTTCATACATGAAAACTTATTAACTAACTATTAAAATTTTATTTCCCAAGTAGATTAACATTCTTCCGCCAGACGTGAATTGTAAAGCTGCCAATACCTATATGGTTGTTACCATTGGCGTCCCATTCCCGTTCATGTGCACTACAATATGGACCGCCCTGTATAAGCGTTCGCGTAGGCGTCGCTGGTTGTTTCTTAATTGGGAAAATTGCCCATAATCTAGGTCGGAGAACGCACATGTCGCTTTCATATATTTTTTTCCCCGCCGTTTAAAAATAGATCCGCGACTTTGTGATAAATGTTCGTTTTATCGGGATACAAATAGAACTACGATGTCGCGTCTTTCGTCTCTATATTTACGTTTCGGATTAACATGTTCTACTCGACTCTTTCGATATCTGTTCTTCGACCATTGGCGCGTCGCTATTGACCCAACCCGTCCCTGGCGAGGGAAGCAGCAGAAATCGAACTCCACGGAAAGCACCAGTCTTGCGCGTTATCGTCTTATAGTAGGAATACAAAAGTCTCGTTGCGACGAGCGTGTGTGTGTGCGTGCATGTTATTGTTTACGTTTGTTTGAATAATAAGTGGTTATATTTGAGCACGCGACGTGCATTAAAGCAGGTAGGGGAGTGTCGAATGACCGCGAAAATGTTCATTACGTTGCGGTTTAATCCCTGCATTTATCAAATCACTCTGGGGAATTGTGGATACTGTCAATGGGTTTCAAAACAAATCGAAAACCGTCCCTGCGATGATTCTTTAAGTTATTTTTAAGCCAAAAATGAAACAAAGGTATGAAAGTATTTCCTAACTAACTAAAAAAAACATTTTTGACAAAATACTGTTTTTTCTCTTCTAGATGAAAAAAAAAATAGACAAAAGTTCAGTTGACGTGTGACCTAAAGGTTTTCAAGATACAGAGTTCCAAGGTCTCTTTTCTAAGATAATCTACCTAAGACTAAAGGAGAGATTGCCAAATTTTAAAAAACACCTCTCACTTAAATTTATTTAATTATACCTACCAGTGTTTCCAAAAGAACCACAACGGACGACACAGAGTTATGAAATAGTAGTGCCTATTCTGAAAATAGCATTGACAACGTTGTGGTCCTTAACTTTTTCAAATGCATGTTTGCAATGCAATGCATTTTTTACATTTACAGAAATTAAGGGGGGATTAAATTTTGATATCATGGTAAACAAATATTATTTTTAAATCAATTTCTAAATGTTCGACCGTTTCAGCTTTTTGGAGACACCCGGTATTATTAGATAGAGAGTGGAACAGTCAAATCACTATACCAACGAGATATGGTGTTATTTAAAAAGTGTTCAATATTTCACATCAATTTGATTTCTTCGAGATACATTGTGACACTCTCTGAAATACTGGACCCTTATTAAACATTCAATATGCTCATGCGCAAGTCATTTTGAAACTCGCATTCAACTAAAAGGATCTTGCGGCGTTGAACAATCAACATGGTCCTTGACAGTTCCTCGTAAATTCTTTGTTTACATGTGCAATTGTTTCAGTAGTATTTTGTCATTATTACTCTAGGTTTGTTCCAACTGTTTTTTAACTAATTTATGATTTGGAATTGAGCAAGTGGCGACTTATCAATTAATTCCAAATAAATCTGAAATTATATGTTCTGCTGGAACAGTGTTTTAGCTAAAAAAAAGCAATTTTTTCTGACGTTTCTGTAATGTTTTTGCTGATATTTCGATATTTTTATAATTTACAAACCATTTTCACTTAATCTTTAGCAAACGACGTAAATATATTTTATAAACAATATTAGCCAGCTTCCAAATTATCAACAATACTTTCCAATCAATAAAATTAAGATAATTTGAAATAGGTTAACATAGGAACCCTCCTTCAGATTCAACCATTACCTTGACATTTACTGCTCAATTAGGGATATTCCGATACTAGTAAATACGAGTAGGTACTCGATACTTTTGATTCGATACCAAGTATTTATAGCATTCTGGCCATATTTACTCGGTATGGAAACAAAAGTACTTGGTATCAAATCGAATCTGCCTCACCATTTAAAAAAAGAAGAAACCGAACGCATCAGACAAACATAATCTCTATCTGATCTATGGGGACGCCTTGTCTCGCGCCAGCGAAGCCGAACTCGTCCGACTTCACTCGACCGAGCCCGAGCCAAAAGCGAGAAAGGCGTCCGCCCTAAATTGTCAAACATACAAGAGATTGCTTACGAATAATTTTATTTATTGTAATCATCGGCTTATTCTTCCAATGTTATCATGGAGTTTTTTGTTTAAAGTACGTGCTTAACGTGACGCAAACCTTTATTCTTTTCCTTCTTAATTTTGTTTTAATTATTGTCCTTCAACGTTCATTGTTAGTTTCCTTAAAATAAATAAAAAATAATAATAAAATGCTTAAAGTATCGATAAGAGTAAGTATCGATACTTTTAACGTGACGCAAACCTTTATAATAAAAGTTTTCTTTTCCTTCATAATTTTGTTTCAATTATTGCCCTTCAATGTTCATTGTTAGTTTCCTTAAAATAAATAAAAAAATTAATAAAGTGCTAAAAGAATCGATAAGAGTAAGTAGGAGTATTTATTTGAGTAGTATCGAAAAAAGATTTGAGGACTATCGAAATGAGTAGGTATCGATACTTTAATGGTATCGGAACATCCCTATGCTCAATTCTTTTTAGCGCGTGTTCAAACTTAAAATTTTCAGAAAATTCTAGGTTTGTTTAAACATTTCAAAAACGATATTACAATATCCCCATATTATAATATAAATGACCCCGATATTAACGAACGTCCAAGCATTCTAGTCTAGTCCCGTAAAGGCAAACAACTCGCTATCTTGTGATTCTTGTGTACCTACATATTAATATAAAATGCAAATTTCTCCAGGCGAGCCAAACGCACTTCTAGGACGGCAGTCGTAAAATCGAAGAGACCGGGCAATGGCGGCCGAGTGCGGCATTTTGAAAGGTCCCCGAAGCAAGTACCCGAAAATCACGAAAAGTGTCGGCGAACTATTTTTCGATCAGGTCGAGAAATTGGGCGAGAAAAATTGCCAGGTGAGCATCTCCTCATAGTTGTTCCCACGTAGTTATAGAATTGTCAGGGGCCATGTTGGTTGTTGTTTTGTTTAAAATGTTTAAAATGACGGGTCTGCTTGGCCGAAAGCGAGTTTCTAAATTCTTAAAAGTTTGAGTGTCCCGTTTCAATTAGCTTCAAAACCTCCTGGATATCGCCATATCTTAGGGCTACCCAGCTCTTTTGCAGAAAAAAAAAGCGCTTTTACAAAAAAATGGCCTTATCACGACAAATAAGTGTACCAAATTTTGACATATTGAGGTAATAATAAAATAAAAGGTTTGACACCCTGGATCTTGAAAAGGAAACAAGTTCGGACACGAAAAACAGACTTACAGGCTAATAAATATGCCCTTAAAATCATTATACTGAATTCTGAAACACCCTGCATGTGGTAGCTGATATATACATAGTTTAGCCTTCATCTAAAATTTCTTGCGACACAGTGGATCAGCAAAATTTGAATTCTTACCATATCTGTTGAAATAGCGGTTATTTGAGCTTATTTTTTAATCATGCGTAATAGTTAATTGAAATTTTCATCTCTCTTATCTTTTTTCTCTGCGATTAAGGAGGGCGAATTATGATGCTGATAACGCATGAGATAAATAAAAGTCACATGAGGCGGTGGCAACAAACTTTATCAAATTTCGAACCCGCCGTTGTGTATTTTATTATCTCCTGGGCTTTTCGACGCCTCGTATCCTTTACGAAAAAATTCGTAAAACGCGGGCATTTGCCTGAGCCCAAATATAACGATGGCCTTTGGCAAAACCGATTTCAAATTTTTTCTCTTCTGGATTTGTTTATTGGCAACCTTAAAAATAGGTTGCGTGTTTCGCATATAAACACGAAAACGCTAGAAAATCGGTAAATATTTTCCTACATGTTAACAGACATTAATCAGCAAATGGATACTCCACTTAATAGCAGTTTAACCGGCTTAGCCATTTAACGTGATTTGGTGCGCCGGTAAATTTGTTAGCTTGACTTTTAAATATAGAGACCCTACTTATGCTGATGATATAGTAACTTTTGAAGCCATCATGAAATAAAGTTGAGAAGTTTCATTCATTTTAATCAATCTGTCATTCCGAATCTCGCTCTCAAGACCTAGCGGCGTTCAAGAAAAAACATGGCCGCTGACAGTTGGACGTTGGATGTAGCAGTTTTGCGGCAGTATTCCTATTGTAAATAATTTCTTTTTACCAGCAAATCGCTTCGTAAGATCAAACTTATGACCCCATCGGAGTTTTGCTTGCAAGAATTAGTCTTAAACAATAAACAATTTCAAAGTTGCATAAAAAAATCTTTATAGTTATAATAGCATAGTTCTGTTAAAATGCGGTTAATAGCTTTTTTAAATTCAATCGGGGTACAGTTGTTTTTGAGAGTTGCTGGTAATTTGTTATCCCGTTTAATGCCAATGAAGTTAATGGACGATTAAATTTTATTTACACGCTGATAGGGAACACACAGATCATTTTTATGTCTGGTATCATAAACGTGGAAGTCGGAATTCTTTATTATGCACTGAATATTATTATTATGCAATTGAATAGAGCGTTAGTATTGTCATTTTTTTAAACAGTGGCTTACAGTGATCATTTGTGCACGAACAATCTTTTTTTTTGAAATTTCAAGAGTCTATCTGCCTCTGAAGAGTCTCCCCACAACAATATGCTATATGATATCACCTTAATGAAGTTACTAAAACAAAACTTTAAAGTCGTCTCAAAAAAAAAGACAACCTTTGATTTATTTTGATTTAATTTAAGGCGATTCGGGTGAAACCACTCTTCTGTCTCAACAATCGCCTGAGTACTTGCAGATACTGCATCACTTCTGCCCAAATTAAGTATTGTTGTGTTATCTGTATATAGAGAAATTATATTTGATCCTATATTCGCTGGTAAGTCGTTAATAAATATTAGGAAAAGAATTGGACCCAGTATTGAGCCTTGTGACACACCAAACGAAAGAAATTGTGGTTCAGAAATATCACCGTCAGGTACCGTAACCATTTGTTGTCTGTTGTTGAGGTAAGATTATACCAACGTCATACAGGACACAAGCTTACCATCAATAGCTTTCAAAACCTTTTCAAGAATCCCTATAATTGCTTTAAATGTTGATTTGCCGGGTACCCACTTGACTCTCCACAAAAACTGTATTTTTATCAAAATACAATACAATTCTTTCTTTTACCAAAGCCTCAAAGATTTTGGAAAATACAGGCAGGACAATAATAGGACGAAATGGGTCTGTAGTCTCGTCATTTCAATTTTTCGGTATGGGAACTATCTTTAGCAAACTTTAACGAGTCAGTAAATACATTGTGTTTAAAACATTTATTACAATTAAGAGTCGATACAAGTAATACAGACTCAGCCATGTATTTTTAATAACCTTAACATTTAACCCATATAACCCATTACTTGAGCTTTTTAAGTTTCGGATCACCCTGTACAACTCCGTCTCATTTGTGGGGTACATAAATAATTACGATCCGTGTCTGCTGTTACTGAGACCGTCTTTTTTGCCGTGTTAATAAAAAAATTGTTGAGATCGTCAGCTGATATTTTTATTTGGTTCTTTTATATTCAAATCATCATGATTAACTTTAAAAAATTAGCACTCCCGTAGTTGACGGATTTTTATTATTATTGTTAATTAATTATTAATATTTAAGATATAATTTATTTAATTACTGTCAGTCGTTGATAACAAAACTGCCCGTGAAGCTGGAATGCTTATAGCGAAAAACTAAGTTTTAGAGACGGGCTATAGTTTTTTGCACCGAGGGTCCCCTTAGAGGAACATGACGGCAACTCTGTATATTAATTATATATTTTAAACACCAAATTCTAATCTACGATATATTCTCAGATGCAATGTCACATTTTGGTTGTAGCCGGAAAGTTTAGTGAGTAAATCAAGAGTTAACAAAGATAAAAACAGAAAATGTTTAAAACAGAGTTGCATTTTGTTGTTTGGAAATTTGAAATTAAAATGTATTTCGTCATATGTCCAGTAATTTTAGTTTTGCCTAAAACTTTATGTGTTTAACCATAAATTAATTATTTGTTATTTTTTGCTTCGTTCGTATTTCCATTGCAGGTCAGAGAACCACATTTTGTCTTTTCATTGTAAAGTAGGAATAGTAACTAAAAAGAATAATATTATGACGGTAACATTTCAAAAAATCAGAAGAAATTGCTGAAAAATATCAAATAAAATTAACGTTCTCGTGACTTGTTTTTTATACGTATTAGAGTTATCCCTGATACAAACCGGCAATTGTGTTTATCTTTTTGTCAATTCTGGGCTTCCTTCGACAAAAATAAGCCTGCTTAAAGTAAAATAATTCAAGACGAATGAAAATTACCCACAAAAATCGTAAGTTGTAAAAACTCCAAATTAATACAAACATCAGAGACAGTTTGAAGTCAAAAGAAGCATGCATCAAAGCTTAAAAGACTCCCACTTAATTGCAATTTCTCTAGAATTTTTTATGTGCCCTAAAGATCATCAGTGTTAATAACACATTCGCTAACATTAGGCCATATTAAAGGATGCATTTACAATCATCACATATACAGAACTGTACACACTTGTAAAATCTTTATTTGAAAAAAAGACTATTGATTAAAAGAGAGAGAAGAGAGGAGTACTATTAGGAATTTTTTAAAAACTATACCAATTTTTATAATCTAAAATTACAATGTTTGAAATATCGTTTGCGCCCGCTTAAAGATTTTTTGAATAGGTCTCGGAATAATGCAATAAAATATTGTTTTGCTTATTGCTTCAACTTAAAGTCGTGGCCAACTGTAATTATTTAACTTAATTAATATAGTGATAATTTGAAGTAATAAGCAAAACAAATTAATAAAAGTGAAACTTTCCGTGTCATTTGAGTGTTTCCCTGGTAAACAGTTCGAATAGAACGGAACTTTTTCTAGAGTATCAACAATTCGAGAAATCTTCAAAATCGAATTTTGAGGTTCGACTTAGTTCGGCGTGCGTTTAGAAGCCGAAATCGGGCAATTAAATTTGGGTAGTTACTAATGTGACCTAAGGCGCACGTTTATCTCCGAGCATTTGGAAACGTATATACAAAAACATTAATGTGTATGTGCAGGAGATCACACGTTTCAGTGTACACTCAAAAAGAACGACGTGCGACGTTCATCATTGGCGTCTCTTTTTGGTTTAATCCCACATGATCCACAATCATGCTTCTGTTACTTTAAATGTTTTTCTTACCTTCATGTATTCCTTATGCAGCACCTAATATATAATATGATTCCGAAATTATTTTAGATAAGTATTGCTAAATGTCTTAGGATTGCAATTAATCGTGCGTGTACCCTTATTGTCGGTCTCGTGAGTGTATTTTGATGTTGCATCATCAATGGATTTATCATGTTTAACAGTAGTCAGTAAACATCTTCGGCCATCCTAAGATCCAATCATCAGGTTCAATGGTCAGTTCTACTAATAGAAATAGAAAATGTGAGAAAACCTTTGCCGTTACAAAAGCCAATTTTACTCATCACTTTCTTCGACATCGTTTAGACAATAAACAAAACGGCGGATTTTGCACGTACGTCCGTAGGCAGTCATAGTGAAAGTTTGGGGATGCACGTTTTTGAATGTGACATAAACGTCCGCCTATAAGGACCTTTAGAGACAAGTTTAATAGCAACGAACCTAAGTTTAGGTATTACCTATACTTAGGTGCCCCTTGTTTTTACACGTTGCTTTCTTAAATTTTAATTTAAATCTTTTTACAAACGCGTTTTGCATCTAAAAGACGCAAAAATGGCGTAGTTATGTTTAAATCGCGTCAGTGACAATTTGGTTTTAATTCGGACGTCATCATATGACGACGACGGCATAATTTCGAATTCGACCGTCCTCAGATCGACGCGGACACGGGCAAGTCCGAAACGTATCAGGAGGTCAAAACGCGCGCCGTAAGAGTGGCGATCCGCCTGAAGGAGATCGGCCTACGTGAAAACGACGTCGCAATGGTTTGCTGCCGGAACAACCTGGACGACATGATCCCAGTACTCGCCACCCTCTTCGTCGGCGGCTGCGTTTCCTCCATCGACCCCAAGGAAACCGTCGACGACGTGAAACATGCCTTCGCAGTCGTCGCACCTCGATACGTCTTCGTCGAAGAGGATTCTGTCGCGCTGATCGAGCAGAGCGCCGGTGACGTCGTGAATCCACCAACGATCATCGTCATCGGGTCTTCCACCAAGTACCGGAACATGGCGGATATGGAGACGCCGGCCGAAAACGAGCAGACTTTCAGGCCGCTGAGGAAAAACGTCGATGACATCGCGGTCATCGTCTTCAGCAGCGGCACCACGTCGTTGCCGAAAGGCATAGCGATCTCGCACTACGGCATGTTGCACGGGTTCTTGGCGTTGGTTCGGTGAGGATTTTGTTGTAGTTTGACCGTTAGTTAGTTAGTTAATTTCGCTGTTATTCGGAACGTTAGGTGTATAGAGTGTTAAGGCGGAAAACTTCTAATATTCTGTTGTTCTGCATGCCCTAGTATGGGCACCGTACCCATAAACGGAGAATAGATCGGTTCGACATTGTTTCGTATGACTTTTATTTTAACTAAAATCTAGAGAGTTTCTTATTGAAAAACGACAAAAAAAATAGCGCAAAATATTGATATTTACACCCACTGTAAACATTTTAAAATCAAAGGTCGGCGCGAAGCTAGAAAACGAATCCTTTGCGCGAGGCTAGGTCACGTGACGTCAGTAGCAACACACAGCAGACGCCACGCTTCTCGTAAACTAGTACAGCAAATCAGTACAAAGTAGTATTAAGTCTTACGTTCTATTTTACTATATCTCCACATAAGGGGTGTTTTTTTTCGATGCATAGAACTTTAAGTTGCATTAAAACAACGATGGATTATTCGATTGACATGAATTTTATTTATCCGAAAGATAATCTTGTGGCATTACGTTTTAAATATGATTTCTGGCATATGACCGCCACGGCTGGCGCGGATGTAATCCAATCTGGACGTCCAATTTTGAAATTTGGAAGGGTTAATATAGGCAAAATGTCCCAATTTTTTGACAATATGTACGTTGCGCTTCCTGTTTGAACGCAAACGACAGTAACTTTCGAATTTTAAATGGCAAAACCCATATTTTTTTGCATTTTTGGATTCAGGAGATATGTAAGATACGTAAAATAGGACGGGTTTTCTCCTTTTGTTAAATTTTTATTTAATTTTTAAAATTCTGTCTAGGAGGCTGTGACCTTCATATGTACTATTTAGCTGGTCATGGGACAAATTGAAAATGAAACTTTCCTTTACTTGTCTAATGGCAAATAGCATTTAATGTAATAAACTGTTATTTTTTTAGGATAACCTAGTTTTTTCAAATAGATCCCTTTTGCAAAATTTTCAAAATCCGTTAAAAAATAAGCTGTAGCTTATGACGTACATATACATACCATACTTACGTTAGTTTTTGACTGTATAATAAAACACTTTCCACTGTATGAGCTTTTCGAGAGTTTCTTCTTTTAATCTTACCGACTTGACAATTAATATATGATTAATAATAAATATATGGTTTTTATAAAAATGTTTTTACTTAACCGATTTTTTCCTTCCTGTGAGTTTATTTTTTAATAGATTTTAAAAATTTTGGTGTCAAACTGTTGAAAAAAAAGTACCGGTTTTAAAAAGTTTTCGTTCCCACTAGGGTGCTATTTGAAAAAACTAGGTTATCCTAGCAAATTAAAAGTTCATTACATTAAATGCTATTTGCCATTAGACAAGAAAAGTTTCATTTACAATTTTTCTCGTGATCAGGTGACTCATTAAATAGTATTTATGATGATCACAGCCTCCTAGACACAATTTTCAAAAATTAAATAAAAATTTAAAAAAAAAAGAGAAAAACGTCCAATCCTATGTAGAATGATCTGCTGAATCCAAAAATCAAAAAAAATATAGGTTCTGTCATTTAAAATTCGAAACTTACTGTCGTTTCCGCTCAAACCGGGAGTGCAACCGTTTACTACACATTGTCAAAAAATTGTACATTCATCCTATATTAACCGTTCCAAAATTCAAATCGCCATCTCGAGCCTTTAAAAGTTATTGTTGTTGTTAAAGTTGTTTTGAACTGGTGCGTTTCCTTTCCAGCGAAATAGACAACTGTCGACCGGATGTGATGGTCCATTTCGCTTCGCTCTTCTGGATCTCGGCAGTGCTGCTGACCGGCATCACTTTGGTCACCGGCGGCACCAAAGTGATCGCCCCACGAATTTCGGCTGCCGATTTGCTGCGCGTCATCGAACGATACAAGGCAAATCCCGATCTTCCAACTCGGTGCTCGTTTTCAAACATTTGATTTCCCAGGTGTCGTTTATATTCATGTCCAACACGTACACGTACGAAATAACCGACCTCAAGCAGGAAGTGGTAAACCGGTACGACACATCGTCGTTGTACTCGATTATCATCGGCGGGTCGACAATGAACCCGACCCAGCTTAAGAGAATTAGAAATACCCTGGTGCACACCAAGGTGACTGTAGGCTACGGGTCCAGCGAGACCGCAGCGGTCTCTTCGTTCGACTTGCGAGACGCGGAAGCGTACGAGAAAAAGGTCTTGTCTTCCGGCAAGGTTCTAAGCGACGTCGAAGTGAAGGTAAACCCCTTCGAAAACCACACGAAATTCAAAAATAACTTATTTATTTTACATATCGCACATACGTCGGCGATTCTGGTTGCCTATAGTTTAAGGGGTGGCTTTTTCATCAAGTGCAACTTAGGTTACGATAATTACGAAATAAAGTATACTCGAGATTGGCTTAAAATAGAACATTTTTGCCCAAATCTGCGTTTTTAAAGTTCGTAACTATTTAATGTCATCCTGAGCAAGGAGGCGAATTCATTTAATTACTTGGTTATTATACCCTTGCCTAGTTACTGATGATGATTCTGAATATTTTTATAAATAGTTGAGGATTGAAATTTCTTGTTGCTTTCGAAAAATCGATGAAATCGGGAGGTCCTGCAAGACTCCCATTGCGACAGAAATGATCAGCGTCGAAAAATAACTTTTGTATTTAAATTTTTCACCTATTATAAAGAATGTTAATATTAAGTGCCGTAAATTTGCGGATATGGATTTCAATTTTACCAGAGAAATAAAAGTCCATGCCCAAATTAAACCAGCAAAAATTGTGTGCAATCAAATACGACCAGGTATTTTTAAAAAAAATTGAACTTTTGACTTTCAGAAAAACACGTTTTGCTTCAAAACCATCTACCCTATAGGCGATTTTTTTAGTGTTTCAGTTATAGGCCGCATCAAAAACTAAAATTTTTGTATTTACGGTGTTCGCCTAATATACACACTTCTCGAGATATTTGAAAAAATTCAATTGAGGGTCGGTATATCTCGCACTCAATCTAGACGCAATCACGTCATTTACTACATACTACATGGTTTCAGTAAAAATATTTTCTCGAAAACCGTTTACTCCATTGGAAAAATTGTTGAACCAGGAAGTGTGGGAGGTCCAGGGCTACAACCTCTCCTTCTGGCAGTTTTTCAATTATATACAGGGAGTGTCGGTAATGGTCAAAAGATCCTGAAAATTGTGTTTTTGTGTGTTTTTCAATATTTTTTTCTGACTGATCTTGAAAACTGCAATGGGACCTCTAAGTAAATTTTATAAATCTATCTAGAATAACCCGCTTTGTACAGTAGTGCAGAAACGGGCAATTTTATTTTAATATGGTTACAGAATTTTTCAAAAAGTTGTTTTTCATTTTTTCACAATTCAATGCTAGAGAATTTTCTATGAAACAAAATATGGAGGGCATTTTTAATAACCTTCTTGAGATGCTCTAATTTCAAATAAGAAAAAGAATTCTGCCAAAAAAATATGACAGTATACAACAGAAGTTTTGCTCGAGGAACAATAAATACAAATGTGGCAGCGACGAGAATATTTTTGATTAGCTTCAGTAGGTAGTTTTAGTTTATCTTAAATATATGTACTACTACTATGTTCAGCTGCTATTGGAGGTATCAGTAAAATTTCCTTATCGATAAGTTTTTTATAAAATAACTGCTTTTTAATTGTAATTTAAAACTTTTGTTTTCATTATGGAGATAGATGGCAAGATTTGTTATTTATATCTGCGTAGTGTCGAAGTCGAATTGAAATATTAAATACCACAGAAATAAAAATTGAATTTTTTTAGTTTGATCGGGGACGGTGATATGTGTCACGAAGTGTGCTATTTTTCCCAATCTTTGCGGTATTTGTTGTAACAACTAAAGAAACGTCTTCACGATCCACCACAGATTAATTACACTACCGATTAAAATAAAAGTGAAATTTTTTTGAAAAAAATGCATTATCTACAATTTTTAATTCGAATTATTGCCGCTTGGTTTTTGATCGAGGTTTCGTCCACATGCGCCAATGTGCAGAGCAAAAATATATCGCGCGTATTTTTGGTTGCCTACTTTGAGCAAGGCAGGGTTGGTTAATATGCTTATCCGGCTAAATAGACCGGGATTTTTGACTTAGCATTCCGGTTTAATTAGGAAAGAGCAAATACTAACCAAAAACTAGTTTTGCCTGCGCGAAAATTAAATATTACGACAGTTTTGGTCAGCTTTGGTCAGCTTTTGCACCTTCTTTGTAACGCATAAGCTGTTATAATGCAGCGCACCACACAACAAAATAAAGCTAAACGGCGGTCCAAACTGAAAATAAAGACCAATATTCCAAACCACAGCGTTCCTAACCGTTTATCTTGAAAATTCATAACTGAAATTAAAATCTGTCAGCATGAGAAAAATGTGAATACTGCCAATGTCCGTGATAGTGGTCCCTAGTTCTGCTGACGATAATTAAAAACTCAAATTTCAAAATTGCAGGGATTACAACAAAACACAACAACTTCAATTTCAATAATTGAAATAAACTAAAAAAAAACTGTTTTTATTGCATTTAACTTATTAAATGCTTTTTAAAAACTACCGCACAATTCGCATTGCAATAAAATCATAAACAATGAATACTTTACAATCACAACGTCTAATTAGGTACGAAAAAATTTCATAATAGCTCCTAAATAAAATCCCACTGGACTTTGCAGATTGTCGATATCGAAAAGCGTGCAGTTCTAGGCCCCAATCACCAAGGGGAAATACTGGTCCGAAGTCCTTATCTCATGAAGGGTTACTACAACATGGAAAAGCCTGACGCCTTCGACGACCAGGGTTTCCTCAAGACAGGCGACATCGGGTACTTCGATGAAGACGAATACCTCTACGTTACCGATCGCATCCACGAGGTGTTCAAGTATCAAACGTCACAGGTGTCCCCCGTTGCAATCGAGAGGGTTCTCGCAGAACACCCGGCCATCAAGGAGGCGGTCGTCTTTGGGGTGCCACACGAGGTCGACAGGTTTCATCCTGCGGCGTGTATCGTGCTCAAAAAGGACTCAAGCGTGGACGTCCAAGAAGTTGCAGAATTTGTTTCGGCGAGGGTATCTGATAAAAACAAATTGAGAGGCGGTGTTATAGTCATAGATAGGATACCGAGGACCCCTACCGGCAAAATACAGCGCAGATCTATACGGGATTACTTTCTGAGATGTCGCGATGGATAAGTTTTTAATTACTGCAATAAGAGATGGCAATTTTTTTATAGCCCCAATGGTCAATTTACCACCAAAACTTGTGTCATATTATATAAATTACTCAGGATAACTGTTCTAATTGATAATGGGATGATTTTTTAAATTTTTATATATAAGCTAATAAAAAATTGAATAGTTCTGTGCTATTTTATTCGCGTACCGTTGCTCTTCATTAGGAATGAACCCTACAGAACGCTATTAATTTGCACCACGCTTCTATTGCACTATGCACTGCAACAAATTGCAGAATGTTAATGTTTATTCTTTCCTCATCCAAAGTGCAAGAAACCAGAAATACGATGTCGTGCGGGTCTGGTGGCCTATATCGAACTCCCAATAACAACCACTTGACTCAGAGACGGCATAGGCTCTAGAGCATTTTCAACTTAACCAACGTTTGTTTGAGATTGATTTAATAAGCCATTCGCGGCGTTGACATGTATAACAATATTGGGAGCGATAAAGTAGAGTCATGTAAATATCATTTGAATTCGCCTTTCTAATTTCGACGAGTTTTCCGACAATAAATGTGCGAGAAACGAGACCCGAGTACCGTTATAATGCGGCCCTGGAAACGCGTCCTTTGAATGCATTGAAATTTCAAGGCGAGAAAGAAAATGACATCCGCGTTTGTAGCAATTTCGTCAATGGATGTTTACTGCTAGGACGATTAATCAAAAAAAATTCGAGTAACGATGTAAATCGGTGTACGTTTTGTGATAAGTTCCGTTCCGTGATGTGATTTTTGGTCGGCCGACGGGTAAAAAGGCGCACTTCAAAATGGCAGGTCGGAATCGTCCTGTCCAACACAAAAATTTGTCGACGATATTTTCAAAATTGCAAGGCGCGTTTTCTGACGTGGTTACGCACCCGAAATACGCCACCGACAAAAGAACTTTGGACAAGACATGGAAGTTAATGGATAAAGTGGTGAAGCTCTGCCAACACCAGAAGATGAACCTGAAAAATTCGCCCCCTTTTATTTTAGACATTTTACCTGACACTTATCAAAGATTAAGACTTATTTATTCAAAGTACGAAGACAACATGTCCGCTTTACATAGTATCGAGTATTTTAACATATTTATTATTAATTTAATGAGAAAGTGCAAACAAGCCATTAAACTTTTTAAAGAAGGTAAGGACAAGATGTTCGATGAGAACTCACATTACCGAAGGAACTTGACTAAACTCAGTTTAGTGTTTAGCCATATGTTAAGTGAACTCAAAGCTCTGTTTCCTAATGGTGTGTTCGCGGGTGATCAGTTTCGTGTAACAAAGTCAGATGCCGCAGAGTTTTGGAAAAACAATTTCGGAAACAGGTAAGCTCTGGTGCCTGTGCACCCAGGGAAGAGATTACCGCTTTGCATCAAATTAAGATTTGTATAATTTCATAAATTCTTGGTATTTTCAACACCCCCTTGAAGATTAATGATGTTATTATGTAACTTAAGTTAAAACCATTTATCCACTTGGGAGATTACTTAACGTCAGATTTGAATTGTTATCTGACATGATTTGTTGTTTATTTTGTGCATATGACTATCTGATTAGATATATGAATAAGTGGATAATCACTGAAAACCATGACAACAATTTTGTCGAGCTTGTTGAATGAAAAAAAATGCAGTCAGGGCTGCCTGGCTCATGGGAGCTCCTTCCCTAAACCCCTATTTCAGCCACCTTCTCTTATATTATTCTCAATCCATGACAATTTGAATGCAAGTTATGACTTATATGAATCCGTCCTGTCATTTATATATTTTTAAACTGCATATAAAAGTAGTAAGCTTTTTTTTGGGATTGTTTTACACAGACGCTCATAAAGGCGTTTCCGTTTTCATTCACTGCCACGCAAAGTGAATTAGTTTTCAATTATTCAATAGCGTTCTGTGTCTCGATGTAACGCATTCTGTTATGCTAATTTAATTGTTACATATATTCAGGTCAAAACACTTATTTGTCGTAGGTATACATATCCCCTCGTTTGGATTATATTCCAAGGTTCCAATGCGATTTTTGCGTTGCAGGTCCAGATTTAGAGAGATCTTGAATATTTCGTGATTGTTTTATTTTAGTATTTTACAAATTTTAGTTGGCAACATACATTTTTTTAATTATGGAGTATGGCAGATCTTCCGGCTAGACTAAAGGAAGGTTATTGGAGCCAAAGATTTACAATCAGGATCTAACTTTAAAAACTTTCCATGCCGGCCCTGACCTTTAGCAGGAATCGAATTTAAAATTTATGTATGTGTGCCCATTGTCTCTTTCGTTTGGGCTTGATGCGGTGAATCATATCCTTTCGGATTGCCACGAAGTGTTTCGCGTGTGGGATATGCGAGCTAAAATTAATGTCGAATTGCTCGGATCTGTAGTAACTAACCAGAGAATTTATTTTATCTTAGCTCGCTTCTGGCTATTTTCAATTGACAGAAACTTTCGTCCTCCACTAATTTCACTCAACTTTGGTCCAAAAAGTCTAGGCTTTCTTGTGAATACTAAAAATATGCCGCAATATTTCATTAATTACAAAATCCAGTCTTAAATTATAAAGTATTACTCACAAGATTCGCAGTTGTTTTAAAATAACACAAGCTAACATTACATAGACATAATAGATGATACTCTAAATAATAGAAAGCGGAAGGACAAACTTAGATAGAATTTATCACAAAATTTGACAATAAAAGCGATGGTTATTAATAATATGGGATCAACTTAATATTTATGTGCATTTTTTACAACAGATTTACATTATATAAGAAAGATTGTACAAATTTACTAAGAACATTATATCCAAATATAGTTATTTGCTATTTGCATATTTGCGATGGAAAATTTACACTTTTATGAATGAGTTGCGTTATCTACTGAATATGTCTTTGATGGATGATACGGCGACCAAGAGGTGTAGTTTTACGTAAACTTGCAAACTAATAATGAATGCCAGTGTTAAAAAACACCCGCCATATTGAATTGCTTTGAATAAAGTATATTTTCGCAGCACTCATTTACCAGTTCAATACGTATTGGTAGTTAGTTGCTAATTCATTATTATACCTTTTTCCTCTAAAACTGTAGCATACGATTTTTAAGTCGAAAAGTATTCATTCTCTTTTTATATTATTATCGCGATATTTTGGTCTTAGTCATGCGAGGCGTCTCGTCGTTTTTAATTGACCCACGTTTATTAAGCTGACCTTTATTCCCGGTAACAAGTATCAAGTCATATCGATCGGGGGCCCGGTTCCTGATCCGGTCCTGTTTTCACCAGGAGACGTCTCCATCGGGCAAACGAAACACTTATTTGCCGATTTGTCTGCTCCCCCGCAGCAGGGAGATTTTGGCGGTAACGTTTTATGAATGAAATATCGATCGGGCGGAGTTGCCACGTTCCCGGTAGTTTTGAGGGAGGTATGCCACGTTGCCAGCGTCAGCAACGAAATAGCGGACCCGAAAAAAGTTATTTTAATTACCGGAGATCCGTCTAATACACCTCTGTTTCTGTTTATTGCCGATCCGACGTCAACGTCACGGGTTTTGAGTAGCAAATTAACGGAAATTAAAAAAAAACTCGCGTTATTTTTAGCAACGGAACCTTCAGCGTTCTAATTCGGAAGCCTTCCCATTTTCATTCATAACTTTTCGGGCGCCAAACGCAGGTCCGGCTTCAGGCGATTTAACGGTTTGCAAGTGTTTTTCTTTTCAGCACGTTGGTCCCATGGAAGATTTTCAGGCAGGAACTGAACAACGTCCATCCTATCAGTTCCGGCTTGGAAGCGATGGCGCTGAAGTCAACCATCGACCTCACCTGCAACGACTACATATCAAATTTCGAGTTTGACGTGTTTACAAGGTAAAAAAGCAGATCCGTACCTTGCGCGACCTAGAAGCCAAAACATTATAATAAATAAATACCAATATTACTCTCCACGCAAAAATAATTTCAATTTACGCTGATACGAAAACGTTTACATCCAGTTAGAACTCGATTCCATAAATATGAAGATTCATTGCGAACAGGGGCCTCTGGTGGATACTATAAAAAGCTCAATATCAAGACTAATTTCTTACCTATTTTGTCAGCAAGTACTAATCGTCCATTTTAAAATGATATCTTTCTACTGTCTTGTCTATCATACGTCTGAAATTAAATAATAACTTTTGATGAAATGCCAGTTATTTTGAAGCTCCATTGACTTCATTAATTTTTCTCAGGGCGCTTCAACTGATCAAGTACCTCCAACCATGTTCACATGAATATGTTAATTTGAGTTAATGACTTAACAGTTCGTAATGGATCCAACAGTAATTTAACAGGTTTTCCTTTCACAGTCACATGACGCTCTTTTCACATTACCCGTTCTTGTCATGTTTTCACAGCAACAAAGAAACTTTTTGTTAAATTAAAAAAAAAAACATTGCTAATACTTGTGGCCGTTATCTCAATGATCACATTCAAAACTGACAGACGAATGCACTAATGTTAACTGCATTGAAGCGTCAACGAAAAATATGTAGGAATTTTGATTTAATAAACTTCTTCAGGGCTCGATCGGAAAGAACGGACAACCAGAAGATTTGTAGATAATATTACAGTAGGCTGTGAAAGTTTTTTTTTTAAATAACATTTAAAACTAGTTTTAATTTGTAATTGAACAAGTTTGTAACTGCTTGTTGCTTTCGAAAAACCGATGAAATCGAATTTTTCGAAAGCATACGCGCTGAAATGATCAGGGTCGGATTTTTTTTGTATGTCCGTTCCCCGTTTCTCTGCAATATTAAAAAACGTAATAGATGCCCTAAATTTTGCAGCTACCGACTGCAGATTTGGCACAGAGGTAGAAGTCCCAGCCACGCTTAAACTCTTAAACTCTTAAAGTTTTTTAACAAATTTTGAATTTTTTTTGTGTTTGTTTCTAAAACTATTAATTCGATCGATAACCAGCAGACTCGGAAGATCCAATGCTATAACATTTATTTCAGACATTTTTTCGATTATATTCGATTAAATCTAAAAGACCCTGAAAACTGTCCTTTTCTAGAGTAAAATTATTATCCGTAAATCAAAATTCGTAAAAAAATATGACTAATTGGTTTAGATGGTATTATAGAACGCATCATGTATTTACGGTTTTCGTCAATCACGTACGTTGCTCGAGATATTTGAAAAAATGCATATGAAAATAACTATTCCTCGGGCTCAGTCTACACGCGATGACGTCATTGACTATGACGGCATACTGCGTAGCTTCAGAAAGAAAATATTTTCTCGAAAACCATTCACGCTATTGGAAAAATTCTTCTACCAGGAAACGTGGGAGATTCGGGGTTATATTTCCGGCATTTTTTCAGTTATGTACAGGCTGTCGAATTTATCAAATTTTCCCGTGACTTTCAAATTCGGTGAGACGTGAAAGTCACTTTATACTGGGTGCATGCAAACCAAAAGTACATCGATTTTGCAAAAGTTCCGTACTGGTCCGCAGGAGCACGATAGAAAAACAATGCGTCCCTCTAGGCAAGAAGCCCCGAAGCGACTTCGTTAAAATAAAAAACTGCTCCGCGCTTCGAACTCGCCCCACTCACCGACGATTTTTCGAAAGCAATGTTAAATTATTTCATCTGTTAAATGTTTATTTGTAAATTACCGACTACGTTCTGCGAGCAAACAGTCCATCTTGTATCAAACTGAAGTAAACACAAAATTCTTCTTTTGTGAGGTGGCTACTCGCGCAATCTGATTATTGTTGTTTAACTTCGCGCCTCGTCGCAGACTGTTTCAACCGTGGGCGACGCTGCTGCGCAACTGGCAGATCCTGGCCGTGACGCATCCCGGCTACGTCGCGTTTCTGACGTACGACGAGGTCAAGGCCAGGCTGCAGCGGTACATCAACAAGGCTGGCTCGTATGTCTTCAGGCTATCGTGCACCAGGTTAGGCCAGTGGGCGATCGGCTACGTCACGCCCGACGGAGAGATCCTACAGACCATACCGCAGAACAAGAGCTTGATCCAGGCGCTGCTCGACGGCTACCGGGAGGGATTGTAAGTGTTCGGTAAAGGGGCACGGGGACGGTCCCGTTAAACGTTTTTTTGGACAGTTATTTGTTCCCTGACGGGCGGCCCGTAAATCCGGACCTTTCGTGGGCGGTACAGCCGAGCCAGGAGGACCATATCGCCGTCACGCAAGAACAGTACGAGCTATACTGCGAGATGGGCAGCACGTTTCAGCTGTGCAAGATATGTGCGGAAAACGACAAGGACGTCAGGATAGAGCCATGTGGCCACTTACTGTGCACGCCGTGTCTCACCGCATGGCAAGCGGTGAGTTTTGGGGCCGCTCACTCACACTGCTCTGCAAAGAATAGGCCTATCTTTAAAAAAAATAGATGTTTTGGCGCCAACAACAAAATCAGTTATTTGCGAAAAAGTATTTCCATCTCCTTAAAAGAGATGCAGTTAACTGTTCATCGAAAAGAAAGCGCGCAGTAAGTCTCACATTAAATCAATAAATAAATAAATACATATTTATTTAGCACTTACGATAGTTACAGAGACCCCATCTATAGCTAAAACATTTGTACATTTTTTAATTCAGCTGGCAGAGCGTTATACAAACCAAGACCATCGCCAAACGGCTGTTTATGCATATAAATATGTGGTTCTTAAAAAGTGAATATCAAAATTATTTCCTGAGCGAATAGTTTACAATGATGAGGTAACCAAATAGCCATTCAGATAAGATTGCATTAAATTATTCTTAACTTTAGAAACTATCACAATATTTTAAACTCCAATACTTTGACTTACCCAGGGCCAACATAAAGGACTACCATTAAGTTAATGAGTTGTTACATCCTAGAATTACTCGCAAAAAATCCTATTTTTTACCAACCTTTATGCATAAAAAGAAAGAAAAGAGAGAATCTCCCTTGAGAGTTAATAATTTATTCCTAAATATTTCATTTCATTTACCCTTTCAATTTTAGTTGCATAAACGAATATATCAATGTTGGCTTCACTTAACAACTTACAATTTTTTTTTACCTGGTACCAGTTTATAATTATTTACTTTTTTTCCAAATTAAGTGACTTTTTAAGAATTTTTTGAAGATCGTTGACGCGGTGCCCGCAAATTCAAGACTGATCCGAAAAAATATACTTATTATGCTTTATTTCTTTATATTTTTGTTCGCAAAAAGAAAAATAACAAAACTGTAGTCAGTTTGTTAAGTTCAAAGAGCAGTGAATAGGAATAATTTATTACAAGTATTACATTACATACAAAAGCATGAGATGCAACCACGAGGAATGATAACGAAAGTACACATTTGTCTGAAACGGTCTATAGGTAGGTGTGTTTTATTGTCAACTATATTCCAACAAACTTCCAATGGCCGCTGTAGAATATCTTGCTATTGTAAAAACAGAAACAGCAGAATTTGTTATCTTTATTGAGTCCATTCCTTTCGGATAATGTAAAACATTGTTTGTGAATCTACCGATTATGGAAATTCATCTTCCAAAAAAAAGAAAGATCATTGCATACGTATAAATGTGGGTTCAAAATAGGGGTGTTATAATATAAATTGTGAAAAAATTGTGGTGATATTTTTTTGGGGGGCTAATGAGTTCCTTGGCCTATAAATCTACAAATTAATAAAACAAATTATGAAATTGAAACATCATTGGAAAAACTTCGAGGCGAATATTTCAGTTTGCGACTAGCGTTTATTCTTAGCAGGGCAGCCCGTTTTTTCATTGATGGGAGCACAACATTCGCGCTTCCTTTTTTCAGGGGTCTGAGGGCCAGGGCAGTCAGGGCTGCCCATTTTGTCGGGCTGAGATCAAGGGCACCGAGCAGATCGTCGTGGACCCGTTCGATCCGAAAAAATCGCACCACCGGCCGAAAAACTGTGCAGCGCTTCCAATGCACGATGACGAGGACGAGCTCGAGGTACCGCACGATACAGATTCTAATCGGGGAAACGATTACTCGGAATGACACGGGACGATTGCGTAACGCGCTCTCTGCCGTTAATCGGTTGCGGAATGCTCCGGCGCATCCCCCAAATTTCTATATCACCTGCTTCATCGGTTTTTGTTCATCACTGGGGAAACTCCCGTGACAATATTTTCATTAAATATTTCGGGAAAACGCGTTGCATAAAAGTCAGAGCAAGCACCGGTATGAAATTGACAGCTGAAATTTCCGAAAATACCCGAACGCCTCCCGCAGTCCTCTCGGTGGTATACATTACCCAAAAAAACCTATTTAAGCACAGGCTTTTTGCTTTTTTATTGCTGTGGGATTAAGTATAACAGAAAAAACCAATATTTTGAGATTCATTGAAAACATCGAACACAATAAAGTATTGAATCTAATTTTGAAGGAAATTGGTACGAGCTACCGAATTAATATTTTCAATTCTTCAGGTCGACTTAAAAGTTAAACTGTATCTATCTCTTAGAGAAATTAAGAAACTTTAGGATTAGCAGATCATGTTCTGCTTTATGCAGTTTTGCTTTAACATACCTGACAAATATTTTTTAAATGCACTAACTCAGAACAATGTTACACACATTCTAAATTTGGAGTCTGCGCAAATCGATGTGATGTCACAATGCACTACTGTCACGCGAACGAGGTTAAAACACATAACCTATAACTTATATAGAGTAGCGTGTAAAATACCTCACCAATAAATATTTATTAAATACAATGACACCGGTATATCAAACTTTAGCAGGCCAATAGAAAACGTTGAATAATGAGAATAAGTGTCGTCACCTGCATTTCCGGTGACTTTCCGAAACAAATCAAAACCGAAGAACTGAGGAAATGGGTAACCAGAACTATTTGCTATGAAAAGTGGGACATTTTCATGGAGTTTATAACGACTGAAAATAACCAGAATAAATCTGAAACTCAAAATTTTCCTAATTTTTCTCAGCGACATGGTCAACCTGCAGGAATGAAAAAGTCGATTTTTTCGACAAAAAAAAATCTATCATCAAATCAACTATGAGTATTTCAATTCAATGTTTTCAATGAATAATAAAATGCGGGAAACTGTTTTTCTCGGTTGTATTAATTCCCTCAACAATTAAAAAGCTACAGTGGTTAGTTTCGAAATTATTTTTTTGGGCCGTGTATACGACCGCAATTTTTGCTGCCAACTTTACACCTCTAGCGCGAGCGACGACGTAAAATGGGCGGATCAGTCGAAGGTTCGAGAATGGGAATGCGCTTGTTCTGTACGGCTTTGTGTCAGCTTTTGTTTTTTAATGTTTTGCGTTCCCCGCACCCACAATCGGCGGTTGTCCGGGACATTGACGAGGATGGACGTGTAGATAATGTAAATAACGCTCAGTTCCTCGGCCAACCTCCGATTTTATCTGTAACGGTATAATTTAGTATTTATTTTTTGTAGCCGCCCAAAGTCTCGTGTAACGCAATATTTGCAACTATGAAAAAAATATATATCTTATTTTATTAACCGTTTTGCTCGTTTTATTTGTTGTGCATTTTTGTTTACCACCACCACCACCATAATCATCATCATCATCGGATGGTCCCTCGTTTCTCATTTTGTGTCACGCAGTGTGTTGCATTGCTTTGATTGTTAGTTTTGAGTAGCAAAAGGTAAGTAAAGGATGTTGCACGCTTTTTGTCGGGACAATGTGGAAGATTTAAGAGGTACTCCATAATCCTGGAATGTGATGTTTGCTTGCACTAACGCTTCGTCCCAAATGCTCGTTACGACGTAAAAATAAGGACATTAGAAGAATCGACCAGTTGTCAATAAAATGCCAAACACAAACAAAAAAAACTGTAGAAGAGTAGCCGGTGAAAATGGTCAAAGCCGGAAACAAGTTGTTCTGATGCATTATGACAAAAATTGCGCATTTGACATAGCATCAGTGACAAAAGACGTCGGATGAATATGCATGCTGACGGGTTTTTGTTTTGATTATGTTTTAGGATTATTAATACATGTCATCAAAAAGAGCAGCTTTACTACTGCTGTAATTATAATTAATAAAAACTTAATAATAATAGTAATAGGTTGGAGATAATATAGGGGCCACAAATACTGGATTAACGGCGCATACCCCTAAATTTCTTACACTAAAATCTGCACTTTATGCGATTTTGAAACTGGAGACTGAGGAATCTGCGAACTGTCAGCGGTCATATTGATTGCAGAACGGTGTTAGGTCTTTGAGATTGAAATGACATGCGCATGCGCACATTGAATATGTCTTCTCAACATTTTAAATTTTAGCTATATAGCCAATATATATAGTAACTATATGAATTGCAGAACAAGTTAGTTATCTATACATAGTAAACATTAACAGTATGTAAATTATGTAGTAAAAAAAGACCTTCATTTTTTTTCGTCAATTTTTTGCAGCTCATCTCTTTATATTCGTAGATTTTCCAATTTGTTTCTTACCTTATTTTTTGTCATGATTTTTGCTTTTTGTGTATTCTTTTGGCGATATATATATTTTTTGTCAAAAGTCTTCAAAGGTGAGACAGGCTAAAAGGCGTGACACGTCTCGAAATTGATTTTGGGGTGGGGAGGTCGGTGAAATGGCGCCTTCATTGCGTTCAGATACTTCTTTTCGATTGCAGGATGGCGGCGAACTGTGGAACTGCGCGGGTAGCAGTTTGCACGCGCTTGCTGTCTCTCCGAGAAATCACCTCTCGGTAAGTGAGTCTTCGTGTCGCGCGGCGCTGCTGTCGCTTCTTTCCTTTTGTGAGTCATGTCATTTAGCGAAACACTTGTTATACAATACGATATATTTTATTTATATATTCTCCGCTGAATTATTATTTACTTATAAAAAACTGAAGCATATGAGATAAGCGTAAATGCTTTACTTGCCCAAAAAAATAAACTAGCTTCTGCTAGTTATACATACGTTACTGCAACCATGTTACTGCAACACAAGAATTGACCATTTTAACAAATGTCAAATATCAAACCAGTTCGAAGAAGAATGAACGATTAAAATCATTTTACAAAGTATCCGTTAGCGAACTATTTACTCCGAACAAAGCTACAGGTAGAAAAAATCAGAAATAATATAAAACAAGGTCCTATTACATTTATCTGCATAAGAAAACATATTTGCATATTTGGTCGGCGACAGCAGTGCCTATCGTTTTGCTCACCTTAAGAGCATTTATTCAACGTCTCGCTTTTCAAGCATTCAGCGAGTCCGTTGATCTCGCCCGGTAACAGTCCTCGATTGACGAGACGCAACCCGCCGGGCACCATCATCGTGCCGGCGGCCGCGCCGCCTCCGCTGCCTCCACGCAAAAGTTCGCCCACCCACGAGACGCCCGTCCATCCCACTACGTCCGAAAGCGCCCCCGTCGAGACGCCGCGGGTGCTAAAGAGCGCGTCTACGTTGGAAATGCATCAGGACGACGACGTCGAACTGAGCGCTCCCGAAACGATCGTGGGCCTCGTGACGTCAAACTGCGACAACGTTATCGACGCAGGAAAAACGCAAACGCGCCACCTGAGTTGTCCATCGAACCGGAGCGCACCGAAGGGGGCGTTACCGGTCAAGTCGAACACGTCACCCAATATTAGCAGAACGGTGGCGCCGCCACGCTACGAGAACGTCCACCTGGTAGAAGCGAAAAGGCGCCCGAACCCGTTAGACAGGGAGACGAATGTTTCGTACGAGAACGTCAATGTGGACCACATCAAAAAGCTGGTAGGAGAAGGGTACCCTAGAGACGCCGTGATTAAGGCGCTCGGCATCACGCGCAATAACGTCGACATGGCATGCGACATACTGCACGAGTTCGGCACGAAGCTCGGCTAGCCGAACTCGTAGTAAACGAAAAGACACGACTTTTGCCGCGATCGAATAGGCAACAGGGACGTTAACTAATTCTCGCACCTTTTATAAACATTTAAAAATACCTTATCAAAAACGTGATTTTAGTGATATCACAGACCGCAGAACTATAGAAAACAGGATACAAAAAATAAATCATGTTCATAATTATAGTGGGGACATACAACGTCGTCAATATATCGCATTACTTTTAGCCAGTTCACAGTCAAATGTAAACTACTACGGAATTACTACTGCCGTCAACGTCTCCGTTACTCTTGAAAGAAAATGTGCGAAAGTAAATACGTAGTTGCCAAACGTCCACCCGCGTCAATAGCAGATCCATCTTTATATATTTTTAGTGGTCTGCGAAAGAAACGACCGGAAAAAGTTTAATTAAGGTGGAAGCTAGTATTTTTAGGAAAATTATACGCTTTATTTATGCATAAACGAAGATAAAAAAAAGAAGTCTGAAGCCGAGCCGCGTTAGCGGCCCTCAGGCGGCGTTACCTGTAAATACTTTATTTTCCTTTTTGTTGTCCTCAGGAAGTGGTTACCAAAGTCTGTATGTATATTTCATAAGATATATGTTTTTTATCGATGTAAATATGTCGCCGCGCAACCGAATCATAGGTGTAAATAAATAAATCAAATTATCGATATGGGAGTGATTAATTTACGGTGGCATGAATAAGACTCGAAAACGCGAAAACAAAATGTATTAACCATAAAATCAACAATTAAAAAAAAACAGAACATCTTTAAGTACTTACAAGGTAAAATATCTAAAACCGCGAAAATAAAATATTGGGCGTCCATTTTGACGCGAAAAAAGTGTCCCCCGCCCTACTTCGACGCGACTAGAGAAAAAAATATATAGTCCAAATTATTGCTGCGACGTTGCCAAATGTTGCGAGAGAACCAACAAGGCGAAACTGACTATTGCGTAAAGGCTGCCGGGTATGCTGGCCAACATCTGGTACCGTTCCTCTGCAAACATTAATTTATAACACCCTGTAAGTAGCGCATGACGCGCGTACCTGTCATGACGGCCGATTTCTTGGGCGACACCCAACCGAGCGACCTCTGCACCGCCATTTTCCACTTGGTGTACCTCGCATCGCGCTCTGCAAACGGAAATAAAAGTCCTACGTAAGGGACGACGCAAACGCATCGCGCCGGTTACCGTTTTCCGTCGACGTCGGCAGGAACGTGTCGTGGGGCACCAGTTCACGCTCCTCCGCGTTCACGTCCCAAGCGTCGATCCCGCGCGCAGAACCCGCCGCAATCGCCGCTCCCAAGGCCGTGATGTCGTGCGAGTGCGCCCTTATCACCGGGATCCCACTTATATCCGCCTAAAAAAACTCCGTGAATTTTTTGTAGAATTTCGGGGTCTTGCCGCACCGCACACTCGACCTTGTTGGCAATCGGTTATGCAGTATGCCAATTCACTTTTTTTTTGCTCACTAACCATTAGATTTATTCTGATGCGTTGAAAATAAATTTTTAAAATTATGCAAAACAATATTGTTTTACGCCATTCCTTTTTTTAACTATTAAGAACCCCTTCATTGTGTGGTTTATGTTTTGTCTATGGACTTTTTTCTCATTCCGTGTTTTGCCTCTTTAAACCGGAACTAATTTTGGGTGATAACAATTTTAAAAGAAATTTACTATCGTCTATTATCGTTTGATAGGAAAATGACAATTTCAAAATTTGAAAAAATCTTTTTAGAAAAGGACCATGCAAATACTGTAAACATGATCTTAATAAACTAATTTTATAAGCAAAATTATTTCTTTAATGTTGGTATTAATATAAAGTTTGCCCTGTATAAATTGAACTTCGTTAAAAAAAAACATTTATTTTTTTTGTAGAGGTAGATTACTTACTTTTTTTAACTATTAAGAACCCCTTCATTGTGTGGTTTATGTTTTGTCTATGGACCTTTTTCCAATTCCGTGTTTTGCCTCTTTAAACCGGAACTAATTTTGGGTGATAACAATTTTAAAAGAAATTTACTATCGTCTATTATCGTTTGATAGGAAAATGACAATTTCAAAATTTGAAAAAATCTTTTTAGAAAAGGACGATGCAAATACTGTAAAAATTATCTTTAATGTTGGTATTAATATAAAGTTTGTCCTTATAAATTGAACTTCGTTAAAAAAAACATTAATTTTTTTTGTAGAGGTAGATTACTTACTTTTTTTTAACTATTACGAACCCCTTCATTGTGTGGTTTATGTTTTGTCTATGGACCTTTTTCCCATTCCGTGTTTTGCCTCTTTAAACCGGAACTAATTTTGGGTGATAAAAATTTTAAAAGAAATTTACTATGGTCTGGTATCGTTTGATAGGAAAATGACAATTTCAAAATTTTAAAAAATCTTTTTAGAATATGACGATGCAAATTCTGTAAAAATTATCTTAATAAACTAATTTTATAAGCAAAATTTTTTCTTTAATGTTTGTATTAATATAAAGTTTGTCCTGTTTAAATTGAACTTCATTAAAAAAAAAACATTTAATTTTTTTTGTAGAGGTATACTTACTTTTTTAACTATTAAGAACCCATTTATTGTGCGGTTAACGTTTTGTCTATGGACTTTTTTTCTTAATCCGTGTTTTGCCTCTTTAAACCGGAACTAATTTTGGGTGATAACAATTTTAAAAGAAATTTACTATCGTCGATTATCGTTTGATACGAAAATGACAATTTCAAAATTTGAAAAAGTCTTTTTTAAAAAGGAGGACGCAAATACTGTAAAAATTATCATAATAAACTAATTTTATAAGCAAAATTATTTCTTTAATGTTTGTATTAGTATAAAGTTTGTCCCGTATAAATTGAACTTCGTTAAAAAATATATATATATTTTTTGTAGAGGTATAGATTACTTACTTTTTTTAAATATTAAGAACCCCTTTATTGTGTGGTTAATGTTTTGTCTATGGACTTTTTTCCCATTCCGTGTTTTGCCTCTTTAAACCGGAACTAATTTTGGGTGATAACAATTTTAAAAGAAATTTACTATCGTCGATTATCGTTTGATACGAAAATAACAATTTCAAAATTTAAAAAAGTCTTTTTTAAAAAGGAGGACGCAAATACTGTAAAAATTAAACTGTAAACTAACCAAAAACTGATAACTGCGTTTATCTCTTCTCAAAAGTTACATCAAAACAATTCGCGATTACGAAACTCGAGTGGCTTTTAACTCGACCCCTTCAATATTAGATATCAAAAAACACACTTGCAATTGCATCAACAGATTATTCGTCGTCATGATGCCGTCGACGTGCAACTTTGTCAGACTGATACCGCAGTCCTTGTTCATCGCTTCCAAAATGTCGCGCGTCTGAAAACAGACGGCTTCCAACGCGGCCCTGATGATGTGCTGTTTGGTCGAGAATGCCGTCAAACCGCAGATTATCCTAAAACGCAACGATCGAAGCGTGATGTGGGCGTCGACGAGCGAAACGCAACTCGCATCGCATCGACAAACGCAACGCAAACTTACACACCCTCTCGCGTCTTTTCGCCAATAGGGGGCGTAGAGCCCCTTGAACGCGGGCACGAAGTACACGTCGCCGGTACTGAACACCTCCTTGGCCAGCGACTCCGTGTCCTCGGAAATGTTCTTAATGAAACCCATGTTGTCCCTTAGCCAGTTCATCGCCGCGCCGGCCACCGCCACACTGCCTGCAACAAGAGTTGCCACCAACATTTTTAGGGACCACCTATGTGGTTAGAATACTGGACATTCGTTTTATATACTACGAAAGTGGTCCCTAAGTCACCTGGCTACCTAACGCACAGCTAACTAAACCTAACCTCAAAATTGTGTGAGAAAACGATTTTTCGGAGGGGAGATGGTTTTTTAGGATTATCTTGAATTATTGCATGAACGTCAAAACCAAAATCGTTTGCTTGCGCAAAACAAAAAGCTTGACTTCAGTAAATCTGGAGCAGTCAGATATATATATGCATGTGGTTGGAGCAAATGCATGAACGTGCAAACGACACTCCAACTTGAACGCCTCATAGTCCGCATGCGCAAAGAAGTAAATTTCTCGTTTCGAAGTGCCAGGTTTGTGTGTGTTGCAAATGTATGCTTGAATATGGCTAATATCAGGGAACGTCTTAGTGACACTCGGTACTTGGGGACAAAAAGAAATCTAAAGTGTCTCTTATTTTCATAATTATTAACTTCCTTGGCAGCGTTTTTTATATTCTTCCTTTGGAGTTTTGTACACATACATAGTAACTTATGATTTTTCCCAGTTACTTTCATTCTTCTGGAATTGTTAAGACGTTTATTCTGTTGAGGAACAGACAGAATCGAATAAAAGTGCACAGGATAAATATTCCACAAAGAACAATTGCCTGTGTATATAAAAAATATCATTACGAAATACTTCCTTACCACCACTTTTGTTTATGGTGAGCAACGCCATCATTGGAGCATATATCAATATCAATTTAACCAATTTGGTGGAACATCTGCGATGTATCGAACTGTTCGATCCAATCGCTTAATGTATAAAAAACGGAAACTCTCTTTGTCTTGTCCTTGAATTATTAGTTTAAGGTGCAGAGCGTCGCTACAGGGTCGGGAATTTTTTTCGCAACGTTGTCAGTTCGTGCTTTAGCAGCAGGTTGGTCGTTCTTTTACTCACCTTCTAAGGCATAGATGGCGGGCGAGTCGCCGAATTTGTACGCAACCGTTGTCACCAACCCATGCGACGACTGGACCCTCTGGAAGCGTAAAAGCATCGATGCAAAACCACCCTTTCCCGAAGTTTGTTTTTCTACTCACCGTCGTGCCCGTGTTGTAGAGCAAAAAACACCCGCTCCTGTACGTGTTTTTTGCCTGGCCCTCCTTGAAACAACTCTGGCCGATGAGAGCAGACTGTTGGTTGCCTAAAATCTAAACGAAGATGATTTAAGGGTATTTAACGACGGGGGCGCGTAAGTTGGACACGGTGATACGACAATAAATCATACTGAAAGTAAAGAAGTAAAAAAGAGAGGGATTCAAGCATAGCACAAAACAAGCATTTTATTTATGCGCATTGGAGCCCATGGAGTTGCTAGAACTAAAAATTTTAAATGTCAACGACTTCGTTTTCGGTTCAGCTGTGAATTGAAATTCAACCGTCCAAAATTCATTCCGTTTGATTCAGATTTAAATTTGCTAATATAACAAACATACAGCAATCGCAAAAAGTTAGGTCTGTGACTATAAATTCTTTTGGGAAGTTTACTTTAACTTTCTTTCTTGCCTTGTACAAAAAGTATAAAATTCGAGTGTCATGCCATGCCTAGAAACTAAGATTTCCGAAAAAAAATGTGGAGATAACTGTTTTTGTAAAACGGAATAAAATTCAGAATGGTTCTACTAAGGGAAAGAAGTTTATCTTTTTAGATACAAATGTTTCCCATTGTAAACGACCAAGTTTGACGGGAACCAAATTTTCTAGTCTGTGCATTTGACTGTTTCAGCCTGTTTTTCTGTCAGTCTTGTAGGTCAGGGCTCTCGATTACACCAGCTATGAGCAAGATACATTAGATATTTTTCATTGTAGAGTAGTACAAAGAAAAACAATAATGTTTCGTCGGCAATGTGTGTAAAAACATATTAAATGAAATGGTAAAGGTAATTTTCAGCGATTCTGATTAATATCCTTAACAAAATCGGGCTTTCAAAATTGCGACAATTTTCAAAAATGCTTAAACCTACAATGAGAATAAGTCACCCAGAAAATCAGAAGCTAGTGAAACCGCAAAGGAAAAATACAGAAACTAATGTCATAGATGCTATTACCAAATTTTTGCACAAGAGAAGCATGCAAATAACCTAAAATTGCAACATATAGAGTAGACTATATCTTTTATTATCAAATTTGTCAATATTTTGTTTGTATTTGTAGTGTTTTTGCTTTTGGTTCCTATTATTTAAACTTATGCTTCGATATTGTTGTGTTGGCTATGAATTGTAGCTATTTCTCAATAACTAACAGTTTTTTTCCCTAAAACCTCGACAACTCAAAGGAATGCGAATAATTGGCACTGGAATGAAACAAAGCATTCAAATATAAGCTCTAGGAGTGAAGCGTAAAGATAAGTCAAAAGGAAACTCAGTCTTTTTTACCAACTTATAAAAGTATATATTATGAAACCATTTTTTATCGACACGTTTCGAAATTAAAGAATTTCATCTTCAGTCAATAAAATAAATGTGCAAGCAGGAAAATACAAACGGTAAACTTACCACTACACTTGCGCATAAAGTTGCGAGAGATAAGCAATTCGCGGCGTCAAACTTTTCAAGAACCAGCCCAATCTTGCAGTGTAAATGGACCACTTTTTCCAAATTTACGTATAAATTTGTTTCTCAAATCGGTGTAGTCGCTAGTGTCGCGTGACGTCAAACGCTGTGACAAGTAATTACATGGAACGAGTCCCTCTCTTTTTTAAAGTTTTCTATACGGCCTGTGATGCGGCGTACTTACTCCCGAAATGGGCACGTCCTCCAGCGGCAACCCCTTGAAAACACGTCCATAAATTTCGGAACTGCTCCGAATTTCCGGCAGGATCTCGGGCGGGATTTTGAACGTATTTAACAGGAACGGATCCCAGTGGAGTGTTTCGATGTTCATGAGAAAGGTTCTGGAAGCGTTGGTGACGTCCGTGACGTGTTTACCGCCGTTGATGCCGCCCGTTAAGTTCTGTAAAATTACGCTATCACCAAGGTTACGCTCGCGGATTTGGATGCTTATACCCATAACAGCCACGTGTCGACCGTACCGAAGAGGCATTTTTTTTCCTTGATCGCTTTCCTGACGGCAGGTACATGGTGCATGAGCCATTTTAATTTGAACGCGCTAAAGTACGGCGAAACGGGAAGACCACAAATTTGCTTAAAATGGTTCTTGTTGTTCTCAGGTACTTTCGCCAGTATCACGTCGACCGTGGCGTCTGTTCGTATATCGTTCCACACTAAAAACCATGTTTTTTTTTTGTTTTTTGGTGAAATAGAGGGCTGCCCGCCAATTAAAAACTAGACGCCGTTTCATAAACGAAACGAATTTATATCTTCGTAGGCGCTGGATAAATTGAATATAGAGGTCGCAAATTTAGAGTTCACCAGAGTACTCAATTTTATTTTAGTGTATTTTATAATCTTTTAAAGTAAAATTGCTTTTTTCTTTTGTCTCAGCAAAACGTAGACTACTATTTTTTTAGCAATCTGACCCCATGTACGAGGTGTGTTCAAAAAGTAAGGCGCCTTTTGTAATTGGGCGGGCTACGACATTTTTTTTGTTATTTTGGTACAGATGTCTCTAACATATGTGCATAGTTTCAGCCAGTTTGCAGGTTTACTTTTTTTGTGAGACAGAAGCGTTAGACGTGTTTTGTGTACTTGGTGATTTCCTGCTGCCACAAAAAAATAGAACAAAGAATTTGCATAAAATTTTGTGTAAAAATGCAATACAGTGCTGCAAAACACTGGACATGTTGACAACGGCATATGGTGAATCTACTCTGAGCAAAAAAAATGTTTAGTTGTTCCAAGATGGCTGAAAAGACGCCGATAACGAACCTCGTCTCTGAACCTACTAGCAAGTCAATAGCTGATGAAGGCGTTCAAGAAGTGAAAAATTGTCGAATCAATATTAGAGAAGTGGCTGAAGACGTCGGCATCTCTATTGACTGTTGCGAAGTATTTTTTTCAAAAGTTTTGGGCATAAAACATGAAGCTGCAAAATTTGTTCCGAAACTGCTTAATTTTGAATAACAGGACCGTCAACAGCTGTTAAATGATGTCAACGATGATCCTGATACGGGGAGTACTTTGAAGCGGGCAACATTAATTTCATGAATAAATAAATACTTTTTGATAAAACTTCAAAGTCGCCTTAATTTTTGAACACACCTCGTATTGTATTTCATTTTTAAGATATGTGAAAGATCCCGAACAAGATTCTTTCGATGGAATGGAAATTTTTGATGATGACCATTTAGTAACTAGCTTTTTATATATGGTCAGTCCCACACAAGAGAATATTAAATGAAGAGACTCAACTTTGTGTGGTCACCATCAATATAAAACGCGAGTAAAGAATTGAGGAGGAAAGTTTGAACCAAATATTTTAGAAATTTATATACGAAAATTTATTAATCTTCACGACGCACTCAAAGTTTAAAAACTGTTCTACATAAATTAAAAAAAAAACATCTAGGTATGTTCATAAAAAAAATAATGAAAAAAGTTCACCGAGCTATTTATCACCTTGTTTATTCTAACTTGTTAATACCATATTATTATATTATTGTCAGGTAAATGCTAATAAAAAAAGTCGTTTCTAGATTTTTGTCTTATAGTTTTTTTATTAGTTTTCCATGCTGGGCAAGTATTAAGATTTCAATGCAATAACACCATATTTAACCAAAGGCCATTACTATCTAAAAAAAAATTATATACGGTTATGCATCAGCATACCTCTTAAGATTATTTACAGAACAACGTTGCTGTACTATTACAGAATTTACATTTATGACGATATTGAACTAGATAAAATAATATAAGACGCTTACTGTTTTTTTTTTTCATTTATTTAGATATTTATGTTCAACATAAAAAACTTTAGTAATTGAATTAAATTTATTGTAATATTTTATAACGTATTCGGGCATGACAGATGTAAAATTTCTATTCACAAAGACTAGGACAATTATAAAAATATTAAATATATCATCAGGTAGCTAACGATGTAATAACAATTACTGAAACTTTTTTTACTCTTCCGTATTTGGCGTAATCTGGACAACCACTTTATTAAAGTGTACCATGTATGCGATTAGACATACATACACACGATATTGATGTATTTTGATGTTGGTTACGAAAGTATCTCTCTGATATGAGCACATATTATTCAATTTATCCAGCAGCTATATGCACCTACCCAAAGCGTTATAAAGGGGGTTTCCCGTAGTCTTATCCCATACTATCGTGGTTTCCCTCTGATTCGTAATCCCGATTGTCACAATGTTATTCGCTTGAAATAAACAAAAACAAAGTTAGACACTTATTCAAAATTTCCGATTATTATATATCGTGGAACGTAATCCTCGGCAGACTGATAAGGGACGCTTATCCAACGACATTAAGATTAACCCGGCAAAAAAAATCCTTGAATTTGACGGTGTTTGGGCGCCAATAATTTTGCACGGGCCAGATAATTTGGCCCCGGCGTGGTTCATAAAATGATAAGACAACTAATTACTCTTTTATTTCACCTTATCGGGTTGGTAGCGCCGTGATTCGAACAACTATTGTACCCGCAGAATAACATTGGTGCGATACGAAACGTCTAAAAGTTTAATTCCGACGCGCGTCAAGTGTTATTTCGGGCCACCCTGTAAGTTGACCCGTTAATTTATTCCTATCTGCTTAATATCAATTAAAAAAAAAAACGCGACCTCGCACAATTTTTGCGTTAACATATATTTATAGCGGCCACATATAGGCAGATTTTATCAAAGCGGTTTTTCGGTATAATAAATTAATTCGGTCCCGGGCGTTTTTACGAAAAATTAAGTACACTGTAAATTCATAAAGTATATAGTAAATTTATAAAGCGCCACATCTAATACCGCGGCAAATAAAATAATTCAAACTTAAGCTGAGGATAGTAAATATTTGAACACGCGAACTATTTACGATTTTATTCCCAATAATAAATCCGATATTTTTGTTTTTTTTTTTGGAAAATGCGTTTTTTGTAATATTTTTAGCATTTAATTGAACATCTAATAAAGTTCAACAGCAACGTTTTGGTGCTAGGATCCTTAGGATTATCGTTGCAGTTATAATTCCCCCAAATCATACTTTGCTAATTATATAATAAAACAAGCGCGACCGGTTTTGAAAACGACATTTTCCACATACCTTTGGGTCCTAAAGATTTTATCACCTTTTGTATACACCCCTTAACCGCCGCCAGTATTTTTAACGGGTCTTGCTCAGACCAACCCTCTTGCGGGGTTATGGGTTCCAAGTCTACCGCGTGCTCCGCTATTTCTTTTACGTGTTGACTGACAAATACGCAAAATTTTACAGTCCTCGTGCTTGCGTCTACCACCCCAACCAAAGCCTCACGCCCGTTGTCCTGCAGTTCGCTCATTATTCAACTGAAACGCAAAAATCAACGCATATATAATAGCGCGGCGATTAAATAAATTGTCAAATTGAACGTTTTTGAATGAAAGTTCAAGCACATTTGTATAATTTATTCGTTTACATATTCGCGACCATGAAATATATTTATAGTCGCGGTTCAAACATAAAAATAGTGGAAAAGACGTAATAAATCACCTGCGGGCAAAAACAACAAAATACGTCGCTGAAACACACCTCCGCAGCCACTCGTTCGTTACAACACTAGCTTGCATTCGGTGTGTCTCGAAAACGCGTCATCGCGTACCGCCGCGCCGCCTGTATATCTAAAAGTTCAAGCCCCTCCGATACAAATTCCAGTTTTTCATATTTTTCGTCTTATCTACGACAAATGAATGGAATTGCGATACACAATACATACACACAACCGCTTGACGTTTAATTTCGGCGACATTAACATAACCTCACATTCGTTACAGCTGACCAATATGTGGGGTCAGATCCCCAGGAATGGGTTTTTCTTAATTTCGTCCGTAACTTGCATCGTTATACCGTTCTATATGTGGAAGTCGCTGTGGCAGCTGTGGCGCACACTTCAAAAAGAAAACGACGAAATACTGTTGTTTCATAAAAGGCACAATTGCGTGGTCATTTACCAACCCAAAACAGGTTTATCCGGGTGGCCCCGACACAACGACGAAAAGACGCCGGACATAAACAGCCGAATGATACATTTATGCGAACCATTTACCTATTTCATAAGAACTGCTAAAGAATCATTGTGCATTGCTTTTATGGTGATAAATATAAAGGTAATTTACGATGAACTAATAAAGGCTAGGAGAAGAGGCGTGTGTATTCGAATCATAAACAATTTTCAGCATACGGAAAGCTGCAATGAAGATATTAAAAAACTGTTGAACGAAGGTACAACCAAATTTTTGGTCAAAACTAAAATTAACTGATGGCCTTTCAGGTGTCAAATTCCAGTTTTTTGTCGCACCAACCTCTGCAATGGATACGATTATGCACCATAAATTTATGGTAAAAGATGCGGTCAGCCAGACTAAATGTTTATGTACTGGCTCCATGAATTTAACTGGCAGCAGTTTTTTCAACAATTACGAATCTATGGTTTTCAGCTGCAATCCATATTTAGTTGATGCTTTCAAAAACCATTTTGAAGAGTGTTGGGACAATTTGAAAATGGACAATGATGGATTGATAAATAAAATTATATTGCGCGATGCACGACTTTTGTAAATTTTTAAAATGTTTCCTTTATAAGAATTATAAAGTGCCAAGTTGTAGACAAGAATTAATATATAAACACATTTTTTTCTATCAGTTTGGTTCGGCATCGAAATATATGTCAATTGACTTGTTTTTATTTTTCTTAAATCTTTATTTGGGGTATTCAGATTAAACTGAGTGTTTGGTAAATTAGAAAATTAAATGTATAGAGTGTTGTCTAACCTGCACTAACTAACGTGCAGTACTGCCGGTTGGCAGAGCGGTTTCGACTGCTGACGAAAAAAGTACGGCTTTCAGTAATTTTCGAAAACAGTAATACAGTCCATATTGTTTCAACGGTATCATTACGGGAAAAAATTAGATCCCATCGGAAACTGGAAAGTTTTCTGTGGTCTTCGCCAATAAAAGGTACAGACCATTTAATACATTCATTAAAACCCTATGTTCTCTCGGTTAAGCAAAAGCATAGAAAGAAGAAGAATGTTCTCTCGGTAAAAAGAACAAGCGTTGCCACTAACCGTTTTTTTTTTTAAGTTTTGGCGCGTATAGTAACAACAAGAAGAGGCCTTTATAAAGGTGTGAAATGTAACAAAATGTTAAATAATATCTTACGTTGTTCTCTCGAAAATCCGGATGAATTGATCAGCAATATTCACATGGTGTTTTCTTTAAATTTAAGCGACGTCACAAATGGCGAATTGTACATCGGAACTCATCTTTATGAAGCCATACACGTTATTGAGGAAATTTATGTTATTATGCGTTTAGTTAGAACCAAATGGTGCGTCATTCAGAACGTAATTTTCAGCGATAATTCGTTTTCAATCGACGAAATTATCAGCGCAAGAAGTTTTATCAACCAAGCTCTACAAGCAACCCTGAAGTGCTTGCTATTGTGTAATAATTCGTCTCGTAAGGAAAACTTTGTTGAAGATACTTTGAAAAGTTTAAAAGGATTTTTAAGTAGCGTGGTCTCACCAAATTCTTTAGAGGATATTGTTAAGATCAAGATTGTCAGTTCCCAGAATGTGAGTTGCCAGTTCAATGAATATTTCCATGCTCTCTTGGAAATTCAATATTACAAAATGGCCTTATATTACATATGCGAGCTTTCTGTGGCAGATGCCGAAACAAAATTCGCAAAGATAATGAGTGATTTTTTATGTTTCTGCAAAGCAAATTTCTATAAAAAAGAAAGGTTTTCAAATATTTTTGTGTGTAACTGTATGAAGCACTTATGGTTGATGTTGGAACTGCTTGTGGAAAAAATTTCTCCTACCCCTCTTTTCTGGAAAATTTTCAATAATGTCTTAGAACAGGAGGATCCTTTGTTCGCACTTGCTATGTTGAAAGATGTTGCATTTCTGCATTGTTTCAATTCAGAATTTAAAGATATAGGTCTAGCAAGTGACAGGATTGAAGCAAACCACGTGCTCTTGGAGCTTAAGGTGAAGGAGCTCCTGGATCAAGCAGATTCAGAGGTGCTCTTGAAATGTTTAAAAATAATTGAACCTCTTTTGTTAAGTTTGTGGATAAAAGTTGGCAGGATCGAAATTTATCAAACAATATGGGATTTTTACAGTAAAAGACTGAACTTGTCAAAAAAATATTCTGTTACTTCAGCTCTGCAACTAATTGAAAATTTGGACACTATCCTGTGGAACCCGACAGGCTGTGCGGACGATTTTGAAATGTTTAGTGGGTTATTGGTGGCACACTTGCGGCAGTATCCTTATCATTGGGCGAAGGTGAAGGGACGCATTTACTCACAATTGGGCCCCAATAAAGTGCGTGAACTCTCTGATGTTGGGATTACACAAGTTGCATTGCTCTTTTTGGCCTTAAGCGCAGTTCATTTTGAAGAAATTGAAAAAAAGATCATGACATTTCTGGAAAATATTCCACAGGAAAAGAAAAATACGGAGGTCGTGTGGACGATACATGGTGCGCTGGTAAGGAAACATAAATACACTGGATTACAGGGTGCCGCAAAGTGTGAGAAAATACTATATTCTTTTTATTTATAACTAATCTGGATTATGTGTTCCATAAAATTAAAAGATAAAAATTTTAAATATCCTGCTTCCCAAAAGCTCGACAACACAAAAATATGTTTTTGAATATTACAATTCGTTTTCAAATGACATCGTGAGTGTTTTTGAATTTGAATGCGGTCAACTTATTGAAAAAAACTTGTTTTTTAAAGTACCTCTTGTGATTTGCTGCATTTTTAAATCTGCTTCCTTTATTTCATTAATTGTGTTTATTTGCTAAAAATAAGGCGTTAAAGAACTTGATTCGTTAGTTACTCAAGATACACTATGAGATAATAATAATCTTAAAAAAAAAATCTGAATGTAATTCTTATTTCTTCCTTTGTTGCAAATCTATCTATTTATCTTTCTATCTATTATAGTAGTAAGTAATAGTAATAAGCAGTAATAAGTAATAGTAGTAAGTAGTCTGTGGAAGTTTTCTTGAAAAATTGAGAGGTAAATATGTATCAACCGTCGTGAAAAGAACTTGAGTTTTTTTTTCGTTTTATTTTTTATGGATTTTTAAAATAAAAAAAAAAGACTACAAGATTGGAAAAATGAATTTTTGAGCAAAGAGCGTACTAAATTGATTATTTAAATTTGTGTATAATATAAATGCACTACTTTTATTTAATATTTAGGGCTCAATGTTTCCTGAACTTCCCCGTTTTGGAAGCCGTGGATGGAGTAATAGTATACATTTACATTAACAAATCGAAATTAAAACACGTCGAAACAGGGTTCGTAATACTATCGCGGAATAACAAGCATTTGGTATAATAAATTATTAGAAAAAATGTACTTAATGATAGATATTGGTAGAAATAATTCACGAACACTAAAAAGATTAAAAAGTCAAAAGTATAGATATAGTCAATAAAAACGAATATATTAAGGAAAAAATGAAGTAGTAGTAGTTCGACAGAGGATGTTTCATTTAAAAAAAGCATCGGGAAAAGTTTAAATATCGTCAAGTTTGCAACAGTTTAGAAAATTCCCTATATGAAATAATCATTTAGGCACCTTATTAGGCATCGAAAATATTAGGGTTAATTTTTATTAATATAAAGACAGCGGATTGAATAAATATACAGAGGTAATAGAAAAACATTATCTATTTTTTTCCAATCAGCTGGCAACGTCGCATTAAAATTGTAAGACACTAGCGATGTCGTCACAAACATTTCTTTCTATATCATTTTTGGATTTTTTTTACAGTTCTGTTATATAATAATTGCAAAACAGTAAAATGTAATGCTGCGTTTTCCCATTAAAAAGTGGGTAGATGTTGCATAACACTCTACTTTTTTTTTTTAATATGACGATTCCTTCGAGAAATGTTTGTTAGTATAATAAGGTCTAATTTAAATAAAGTCCAAACAAATAATTTCAACAATTGTCTACAACCTTCAAACAAATATTTCTTAAAGGATTCGTAACCTGCAAAAATATATAGGGTGTTACGCAACATTAAACATTATTTGAAAACAGTGATAAACAAGGGAGATATATAATACTTTGCCACCCCCTTTCTGTTGGATTTCTATACTTTCAACCATCTCAGATGTTTTTCCTGAATTTATTGTATAAATGATCATCAAAACAAACAAACATTCATACTTTCGTAGGCTTTTACGCCGGTATCGTAATTAATAAGTTTTCCCCGGCTGTTAGGCCGTGGTCTATTGGTTTTGCTACCAAAACTACACACGTTCAGTCCACCGTCCGTCCGAGCGTTACAACACAGGTACGACACTGAGGATGGCGGCCGCAGTAGCAGTTGAAAGCTTTGGTAGCAAAACCAATAGACCACGGCCTAACAGCCCGAAAAAACTCATTAATAAACAAACGTTCTTCCGGTATATATTTTTTTCGTTAGATATTAAAATATGCAAGAGAGGGCCGCGGCGTGGAGACAGTCGCGACGCCTACCGTGCTTATGCTTCACGAGGCAGCAAATCAAGGCGCGTTTACGTTGATCAAGGGTTTCATCGACTGTTTGGAGCACGTCGTCGCCAATAGCGCGAGTATGTCGCTTGGCCAATGGTCCATCTTCGGTCCGTGGTGGCCGAAATACCTCTCGACGTGTTACTACTGTGATTTGGAGAAGGCGCTGGGCATCGCCGCAGCGCTAGCCGACAAATGTTGCGACGTAGACTCTCGAGCGTCGTGGGAAACCACATTCAAAGAAGTCATTTACCCGAGTCTGAAGCAATTGGCGTCCGGTCCCATCCCACCACCTAGCGTAGGCGCGATCGCCGCCAAACTCGCGCTCGCCTACGTCGGCCTGGCGGGCGACGCGTTCGCGTTCTTTTGCGGCGACGCCGTTTCGCCTGGCGTCGCGTCCGAATTCCTGCGCGCCGTCTTGGATCAGTTTTCGCACGGTTGCGTGATCGCGCCCGAGCATGAACGTTTGGTCGCGCGTTCTTGGATGAAAATTTGTCTGTTGACGTCAGAACCGCAGCTCGCGATCACCCTCGCGGCGACGCGGTTAGATGTTTTCCCGGCCGCCTTCAAACGTCTACTGAGACGAGTGCCGCCGCCTCGCGATCCCGTCCACGCCTTTATCGAATATTTGGGTAGCGAGCCGACCCGTCATCCGGAATCAGCCGAAGCCCTTGAATTGTGTGAATTGTGTTTCGGGCAATTGGACGAGAGCATCGCGCGTTACCTCGCCAAACCGGACAACGAGGACGTCGTGTTCAGGGTGTTCGATTGCGTCGCGCTCGCTTTCAAACGCTGTGGCATGTGGCTTTATTGCCCCAACAGGTCCGTATCGGCATTCACGCGACTCGTCCAAACCCTCGTCCTGCCTACGAGTAGGAGACCGCCGCACGCGTTCGTCCTGAACGCCGTAAGACGCACCTGGTGCGTATTTTTCGAAGCAGTCATCGCCTTCCCCAGAGACGATTACCTAGAGCGGACGCTGCGCGACCTCGTCGTCAGGTACGTGCCATATTTCCCCGCCGGCGACTCGCCCGTCGCCGACGGTCTGCGAGACGTGGGCGGCATCGCGTCGACGATTCTCGACAAAATGGGCGTCGCGTATTTCACCTCCCCGTTTAAAGAGTTCGACGCGAACGTTTCGAAAGTCCTGCAAATGGTGTCGGATTTGGTGCGAGATAGGCCGGACGCGGCGCGTCTTGTCGCCGTCAAAATGCTGCGCAGTATGTTCGACGTCGTCGTCGTCGGCCACGCGTCGCATAAAAACGCGGCAGTCGCGGCGATCAAGGCGGTGACTGAGTCGCCCGGTTTCGCGAAATCAGAGTTCAGAACGGCGGTGGCGGGAGTCACCGAGCGCTACCTGGGCCTCAACACCGTCAACTACTTCCAACTGATGACTTGTCTTGCGCGTTTGGCGCCCTCCTACATTGACGAGCTGCTGCCTGACGTCGAGGCACAGATCGCGAACGTCGAGAGGATCAGGGGAGTCGGTTTTGACAAGACGCTCAGGCATCACTTGCAGAAACTGGAAAACGCGCTTTCGACGCGATAAATACGATTACTGTTTTATTTTCGTGAACGTTTGTACATTAAAGGTTAGCTTCATCTATTCCGTCTTGGTTTTTTTTGAGCGAGGCGGCTCCGCCTCGGGCATGTCGAGTACGGGCTTCGGTTGCGTCTTTTGATATGCCGGGGTTATCCAGTACGGGTTTTCCTCGGCGTCCTTGGCGTACTTGAGGATGGCCTCGCGCGGGTCCTGATCATCGTCGACGCGCTTGCTGAGCCCCAGGTTCCGGATAACGTAGCTGCTGAGCGTGCCGCCGCTAGACGCCACCCTTCCGCCTAAACAATAAGTGGTTTTAAACCCGCGGAAATCCAAATTAAAAAGTAAAGGTCCATTCAACATGTGCATTAGCCAGATTTAAAATCTTGTTCTTAACCAATGACATTGCGACATGCAACAACCAACATGACCGCTGACAGCTTGTCAATAAGTTTGGATGCAGTATTTTTAGGGCAGTATTAGCTAAAAGTATATCCGTATCCCATTAAATTTTAACACAAAAAGAAGTTAGGTGTGTGGATACTGTTGGATAGAACGAAAATGGCACACACTGCATATTAGTGGGTAAAATATAGCTTACGCGGAAGATCATTACCACCTTTACGAAAATATCCTAGCCGCCTGAGTCGCATCAATTTTGTCAGTAGTAATTAGAAACGATAGTTTAACCGCGGTTTTTACCGATTGACTTGTCAAATTCGTTGAGTGAGTAAGGACGTAATTTTTTCGTCGTCAAATCAATACAGACTAAATAGACCTAGACTGACTCCCCCATACAGAATACCTTTCCTCGCCCCATTTACAAAGAAACAGACGAAAAATGAGCTTGTAGTTTGCTGCCAGGGAAATCCAAGACCATAATTGCTAAACTGATTTTTTACTATTCCAATAGATTGAGGGATAGATAGTTTAGTGTAATGTTTTTTTATAAAAAAATTGCAATTAAAACAACAATAGTGCTTAAAAAAAACATTTATGTTATTGTTATTACTGGTTGAAGCAATACAGCTATTTATTATTATTAATATTATTGTTGTTTGTAACACAATCTGTAAGTTGAACAAAAATTAAAAGGCGCCTTATCTATGCAAACAAAAATGCTCTCACTAGAGCAGTCTTTATTCCGATCTTTCTCTAAATTTATTCAAGGAGTTGGTAATTTTAATGCCAGTGGGTAGAAAATAAATAATTTTAGGGCAAAATGATACGGACTTTTTTACTGGAGATTATTATAGTATATATTATTATATATAGCTATTATATGTGTGACACCAACAGTTCTTCTCAGAATGTGCTTAAAAACGTGTAATAATAGTGTGTAAATATATAATACTATATATAATATACGATAGGTATGGAATAAGGTATGGGATAAACTTGAACTTAAAAAACTATCTTATTTTAATCTAATTTTTGCGCACTTCCTATACAAGTCTCATTTTAAGTATTACCTTAAGAATGTTAAATGGTTCGTATGATTTTGTTTTAATTTGTCAATTGTATATTATGCAACAAGTGCGGTAAACGGCATTTGACTCACAAGTTGATTTGACAGGAGCCGAGCGCAGCTGTGGGAGTGTTTAATAAACGAGTGACTTAAAAAGTTTACCGAACGTATTGTATACTATACTTTTTCTACGACGGTTAGTTTTTGGGTACATTTTCTCAAAAGAACACGAATATATTCACTGACATGACCGTCAGAATTGACAAACGTCAAAATTCAAAGCGTGGGAAATATCTCCGAAAACATCCGATTGCTCCCAAACTAGTGCGGTAAAATCCCAGAAATGTCCGAAGTGGCTCGCGCGGATTCGTGGGAAACGAAACTGACGTGGTAAAGTGATGCTTCCCGCACGCTAGATGTAACTCGGTTATTTACATGAGGGAGTAGAAACATAATATAATAACTTTCACATTTCGCCAGTAACAACTTGATCGCTTCGTTGGCAAGTTTCGCTCTTTTAATACAATGTGTTCAAAAAAAAAACTTCGGTTATAGTAAAATTTTTATTGCTTTTTGTGGTATTATATTTTTGATAGTATTTGCATCTGCTTTTCTTTTTACTTTGTACTTGTTTATAGTATCGTAAACTATTTACCCCATTAAATAAGTAAATGTTTTTCCTTTGCATTTTAAATGTAAACACCACCAAAAGACCATTTTTAGTATCACGTGGAATGTGAATTATTAACGACTGAATAATCGCGGTAGACCATGTAAACCTAGTAATGGTTTTTGAAGGTTTAATTGAGATACTTGATATAAATGGACTGTAGTTGATTTAGTTTAACGCGGATTATACAGTATAACAATATGTACTAGTACCAGTACATATTGTGTTATATGTAATTGTTTTATTTTATGTATATTTATAAATTAATTAGTACACTAAGGGTGGATTAAATTGACAGTGACGGGTCTAAATATCAGCTGACTAGTCAAATATTAAGTTTTGACCTGCTCTGTGAAGATTGTAAAAACAAGTTTATAATTTGATATCCTTCCGACAAAACATTTGGTTGCTGCCAGATACTCGTATTGTTTTTCTGTTTAATTACATACACGTGTGGAAAACGTGTAAATAACTTTTCAGCTAATACCAGATCAAAATATTCTTTAAAATTCATTATTTTGAAGTTTGGCAACGTGGCTCTATATCAAATAAGAGAATTATGTATGGCAGGTGATAGGGGCAGTAAATTTTTAGTCTTAGAGTGAAACTCTAGGTCTGTGTAGTCTATGACGTCACACCTATCAACACAGAGGAGACGAGAACAAGGCAGAAAACTAAATCTTAGAAAGTATATGGCACTCACCTTGGCCAGAAGTAATCGGCAGATCGGGCCTCTTGGACTTAATGGGATCAAGCCTGTCTTTCTCCATCTGTTTGCGGCTGGTCTTCCTCCTCTCCTGTCGGAATAACGGTAGCGCGTGGGGTGTGATCACCTGCTGTGCGCTAACGACCTCCGAGTGTTGTGCCTTCCTGTGCACCTTGGCCGCGCACAGCGTCGCGCCTCTCAGACTCTTCCTCTCGTCGTAGAAACATTTGACTAGTCCATTGCCGGTGCCCACGAATATCTGGTTGAGTTTCTCGTGCCACGTCACTTTAATCGCGTGCGACTCCGTCACCGCTTGCTTTTTGAGCAGCCTGAACGTGTTTGCATCGAAAAAGTGTATGTAGCCGCATTTTTCGCCTTAAATATATAAAAACTACCCAGTAATTGAGAGTTCAAGATAAACGATGTGCCACCTAACGGCCAAATGTTAAACTATTCGGTAGTACATTGGGGTTATTGATTTATTATTGTTGTAGCGAAGGTGTTGTAAGTCTTGGACTTAAAAAACTATCTCATTTTAATCTAATTTTTGCGCACTTTGTTCTTTGCAGGTGGTGGAAAGTAAATGGTAATATTTTTGGCGTATTTGTATGTACAGTTTGGTTTTGATAATGACATCCAGAGCTGAAAGTTGAAATCATCATTTTTTCTATAGTTTTTGTTAGTTTTTTTTACCGTGCAAAATAATATGCACAGCATTAAAAACTTCTCTAATATGTGTGTGTCCGAAAGGTGAAATAATAACCAAAAATAAATTCAAATATCTTGAATCTGCCAAAAAATTTTGTATATGAAATAATTGAATTTTTGCGGCAACGCAAAAACAAACCCTATATGAGTTTTTTCTTCTTTCTCCCATTTTCTTCCTTCTTTTACACCATAAACAATAATTGCAATTGAAAATATTTAGTCAAGATATGTTTCAATGTACTACACAATAGTTTAAACATTTACCTTGTCAATAGACGACAGGATGACATGTTTTTCAGTTACCCTTTTTTAGTGATGTTGCGGTAACAACGACGGCGTCATTGGGGCTGAATATCGCGTCGGTGGTGTCGTATCGCGAGAACAATCCGCTGGCCTCATGCACGGGCGCCTTAAACCGCCTCAAGTCCCACAGCTTGACTGTTTCATCAAGGCTACGCGTCACCAAACTGTCGCCGATGTGCGAATAATACACACTCGAGATTTCTGCCGGCTGATGCGCCTTCCGTATCTGGCTCGCCGGAGCGACCGAACTTTTGCTGCGCAACAAACGAAATCCATTACAAAAAAACGCAGCAATATAGGCCATATATATATATAAAAGGACTTTGCTCCTGGGTTCCAAATTTGTTCAAAGTTTCGTAACAAATGTTGTGTGGGTGTGTATTTTGAATGCCCGTTTCTTCAATCACGCCGGTAACCAGCCCGCGCGAACCTGAATAACCTATTATTTTGCCTATTTAGTCACAAAAAAAACATAATTTTTTCCCTTATTCAGGAAATTAAAAATATTTATTGAATGTCATGTCAAGTCATAAGAAAGACAACAATCCCTAAATTTGACTCGCTTTTATATCACGCCATATTAGTTTACTTCACTGTATTATGTAGTAAGCTCAAGTAAACCTTAAGGTCACGAGTGACACGAGGAAATTTTTTGATGGTAGACAGGATGCAATTCTTTCGAGTTTTTGGTGGTATTTTTTGGTACGTCTTTTGTATTTCGACACAATAAACGATACTTTTTATTGTTTGTTAGTGTTACCACACTAAATTAACTTTTGGGTATAAAAAAGAAAAAGAAAAAAATTATATTAATTTATATGTTTCCTAAAACTAACTTCTATGCAATCCTCTTACATTTAGGCTAATTTAGATTACATATTGAAATACAGTTTTTTTAAAAAACTTGTTTATTGGCATATTTTATAATTTTTCTTAATTTTCCCGGTTAAATTTTGCAATACACACAGTTTTTTTAATAAATTGCCATTACTTGCGAAGAAGAAACGACCCTTCTGTGTATAAGAGGTTCTACTGTTGGTTGTTGAAAATTTTTTCTAGTATCCCACATAGTTTTATTTACACTTTTAAGAGTCATCTTTCATGATTTATTTTTTATAGAGGCTAAACCAATACTTTTATGAAAACAAACGCTTTGAGCAAATTCACACCCACAACTAGAGGAAAAAATCGCGTAATTTTATCTGCCAAATTTCTTGTAATTTACATATAGAAATTGCATCGTGTCTCCCGGGCGTTAGCACATCATTGCGTTGACGAGTAATTTTAGTTTTGTAGTGGTATATCACTAACGTAGTTCTCAGCGAATGACATGGCTGACATGACATGTTCAGTAATTAAATCTTTTTATCACAGTCAAATCACCTTAATTCAGTAAAACCCATCAAAATATACTTACCGAAAATCCCACAGCTGGATGGAACCATCCGCGCAGCCGCACGCTATGACTTTCCCATCGCGGCTGTAATTAACGGCGGTCGGAGATACCTTGAGACCATTCTGAGCTCGGCACTTGATCAACTGCTTGTGCTGTTTCCCACCAGAGTAAAAATCCCAGGTCCTCACTGTACCATCTGCGCTGGTAGTTAAAAATTCTTCTTTTGTGATTGGGCTAAAGGAACCTGCCAAAAGGGCGGCTGTGTGACCCTTTGTTTTAGCCTGATCGGTAATATACATATCGCCCTTGACCGTTTCGAGTTTCTCAAAGCCGTCCCTGTCAATGACTTTGGCTTGACTAGCGCCGGATATTACCAGCAATAGATCGCCAGTGCTTGAGTAGTGTAGGCCTCTTATGGGATGGTTATCAGCTGGTTGTAAGGTCCTGAAGCTTCTCATGTTCAAGTCCATGCCCGCAAAATCCCAAAAGCTCACATCATAGTCCACTGATCCTAAAATGTAAGCAAAATATTAGTTTACTCACTAACTACTAATAACAAGTCAATACCAGAAGCTAACCTTGCCCCACTGGGGTCAACAGTTACAGCAGTCACAGCCTTGTTGCCATGACGCATTGAAATCCCTTGACGACAGGGAATAAAGTATTCATTGCTTTCTTCGTCATCATTCTCGTCTTCACTGCTAACTGCATCCTGTGGATCTGCAATTTCGTTTTTATTCTCCAAAGACAAATTATCCGGAATAGGCGGTCCGATAAAATCATCAGAGTGGTCATCGTCGCTAAAGTCTTTGTTAGGTTCTTCAAACTTATCCTCAACTTGTTTCTTTGTTAATTCACGTGCTGTAGCCTTTACTTGATTCATCATTTCCTATAAAAATATACTTAGTATGAAACACTCTAAAACAATACACCATGCCTTACGTTAATATCAAATGATTTGGCCTTTTTACCGAATCCCATTATTCCCATAACTTCTTTCATTTGTTGTGCTTCTTTGTCGTCCTCTAATATTTCCATCGCTTTGGGTTCCCCGAAGGTACCTATTGTTCCAGTCGCCTCTATTTTATCCGATTTTTCGCTAAAATTAGCGCTTATTTTTCCAAAAGTTATTTTCTTCATGGTTAGGCCTCCTTATAATCTCTCAGGGCTTATTTATTTACTTGTAAATTAAAATACTTGGTTAGTTAGAGATTTAACGTCATTCTTCTTCTTTTTATGAGTCAAAGTAATAAGTATTTGGACTAACAGATTGAATTGCCATCAATTCAGTGTTCATTTTGTAAATTATATTTATCTGTGATTCTGTAGTTCCAATTGAATTACCACCTATTCAGTGTTCATTTTGTGAATTATATTTATCTGTGGTTCTGTAGTTCCAATAGTCATTCTCCTGATCCAAACATTACTGGGGTTTGCATTTTTTGAAAAAATGACCCAAATGGATGCCGAACGCGAGAAAGCTCTTCAAGAGTACCGAAAAAAACTTTTGGAGCACAAAGAAGTCGAATCGCGGTTAAAAGAAAGTAAGTAATACGACGACATTCCTAATTTTGTGTAATAGCGATGGCTTGATTCCTAGTGCGCGAACAGCTGAAAGATCTAACTAAGCAATACGACAAGTCTGAAAACGACCTGAAAGCTTTGCAGAGTATGGGTCAGATTGTCGGCGAAGTTTTAAAGCAACTGACTGAAGAAAAATGTGAGGTGTTTCAAGTTTTCTAATATTTCAATTGATAAGTTGTACACTTTCAGTTATCGTCAAAGCCACGAACGGCCCGCGATACGTCGTGGGTTGCCGGCGGCAATTGGACAAGTCTAAACTGCGAGCCGGCACTAGAGTTGCACTGGACATGACCACTTTAACCATAATGAGGTATTTGCCAAGAGAGGTTGACCCTCTGGTTTACAACATGAGCCACGAAGACCCGGGCGATGTCACATATGCAGCCATCGGCGGTTTGTCTGAACAGATTCGAGAGCTAAGAGAAGTTATCGAATTACCGCTACTTAACCCGGAGTTATTTATGAGGGTTGGAATAACACCCCCTAAAGGTAGTAACAATACAATATGCTAATCACATCAAGGTTGATTTTAATTTCGCGAGAATAGGTTGTTTATTATATGGTCCTCCTGGAACTGGGAAAACTTTGCTGGCTAGGGCAGTGGCTTCTCAGTTGGATGCCAATTTTTTAAAAGTTGTTTCGAGTGCAATTGTGGACAAATATATTGGCGAATCTGCACGGTTGATCAGAGAAATGTTCAATTATGCCAAGGACCACCAACCTTGCATCATCTTCATGGATGAAATTGATGCCATAGGTATTGTTTTTTTTTTATGGATTCGGGTTACTTGTTGCTTGTTGGCAGGTGGCCGAAGGTTTTCGGAAGGCACGTCGGCCGATCGAGAAATCCAGCGTACTTTGATGGAACTCCTGAACCAGATGGACGGGTTCGATTCTCTCGGCCAAGTAAAAATGATAATGGCCACCAACAGACCCGATACTTTGGATCCCGCTTTGCTTCGTCCCGGACGCTTGGATCGCAAAATCGAAATACCATTGCCAAATGAGCAGGCCCGCCTGGAAATCCTCAAAATTCATGCTGCCCCCATCGCCAAGCACGGAGAAATCGATTACGAAGCCATAGTAAAATTGTCTGATAATTTCAATGGCGCTGATCTCAGGTAAATATCTCTGGTCAAAATTTGTGCCAGCCTGGTCGTGGAATTGCGCTTCTCATGAAACTTCAACCTTGACGTGTCGTTTCAGGAACGTATGCACGGAGGCTGGGCTCTTTGCGATTCGATCCGAGAGGGAGTATGTAATACAGGAAGACTTCATGAAGGCGGTGAGGAAAGTCGCCGACAATAAAAAACTAGAGAGTAAATTAGATTATAAGCCTGTGTAATTGTAATTAATGGATGTTTTCAATAAACCACAAACACTTTAAGGAAGTTTATTTCAAGAAAATTAAATCTGAGGGGTCATGGCGGAGCCTTGTTTTTAATAAAGTTGAAGGTTGGCACCTTACTTGCCATAGGGGGTCCAATTCACAAAGAATTTAGGGCAAGCATTGGTTCAATAAACCACAAACACTTTAAGGAAGTTTATTTCAAGAAAATTAAATCTGAGGTGTCATGGTGAAGCCTTGTTTTTAATAAAGCTGAAGGTTGGCACATTGCTTGTCATAAGCGGTCCAAAAAAATTATAATTCAAAAAAGTATTTAGGGCGACCATTGGTTCAATAAACGACAAACACTTTAAGGAAGTTTATTTCAAAAAAATTTAATCTGAGGGGTCAGAGCGCGAGCCTTGTTTCTAATAAAGTTGAAGGTTGGCACCTTGCTTGCCATAGGGGGTTCAATTCACAAAGAATTTAGGGCGAGCATCAGTTCAATAAACCACGCACTTTAATAAAGACGTCTATTTCCAAAAAAATATATGTCCTAGTCGCCGTACTGCCACCAGTCCTTCTCGTAACCTTCGTGCACGTGCCTCAGCAGGACCTTCTGCCTGCCATCGCAGTACCGGTACTTATCCTGCACCTTCTGCTTGATGTCGATCAAATTTTCCTGTGTGATGTCGCGCTCGAGGTACTCGCTGAGCAGTTCAGTCGCGCCCTCCAAGTCCTTCTGGTTGTCTTCAAATATCACAGACTGGTTCGTCTTTTTTAAGTAATAGGCGAACACATAAGTATACATCAGCGTCTGCCGGCACCGACACAAGATGTCGACCGCCTTTCGCAGGAACTGCACCTCGATCCAGCTCATGTTGTGCTGCTGCATCTCCTCCATCTTGTCTTTGACTGCTGCGTACAGCTTGTGCTCGAACTTGAGCGACTGCATGTGATTCACATAGCGGTTGTAATAGAAGAGGTACCGTTGCAGTGCGGCCCTAGACAGCTCCTGCGCGTCTCTCGCAGCCTTCGCTTCATCCTCATCATAACGGTTACAGTTGTACCAAGAGCTGCCATGAGGTTCCCACGGTCCCAAACACACCCAGCAAAAGTCTGCCTTGCAGTTTTGATTTTTGCAGACCATGTGGTTGCAGCCTCCGTCCTTCTCGATAGTCGCGTTACACCTAGGGCACTCCTTCGTGTTGGCCGCGATCCAATTGGACGTTTCTGAGTCGTCGTCACACTTTTTTTGCCATCTGCGCAGCAACGCGCATCGAACTGGATCGTGCCAGTTCTCGCCGCAGCTGAAGCAAAACTGATGCCCGCACCGGCACGTCACTGGTTTCGAGTCGATATAGGTTACCTTAAAAAAAAATCCATGAACGCGTTTTTTTTTTGGTGGGCGGGTCTCCTCACTTTTATGGCGTAACTGCAGTCTGGACTGGGGCACCACCTCAACAGCCTGTTGCACTTGACGTAACTGTTGGTGATCAGGTGTTGGTACTTGAGTTTGACGCGGGGGTCCCGGACTAGCGCGGTCGCCGTCTGATCGTCAACAAGGATGGGGCAGTCGTGCGCGGGACACGCAATCGTCTGTCCCACGCCTTCCTCTATGATTTTCGTAGTCAGATATTCGTTCCAGCACTGCAGACAGAACCGGTGGCCGCATTCGAGTCCCGTCATTTGGGCCGACGGGCAAATCGTGAAACAAATTTCGCATTCTTCATTTCCCGCCGCTCTGCTGGCAAACTTTGGCTTAACGGTGCGCACCTTTTTGAATGGGTTCACGACCTTTGCGTTCCTAAACAACTCGTCCTGGTTGCCGTCGAAGAACCTCTCCATCAACTTTTCCTTATCCCAGTTGAAATGGTTCAAGAGAATTCTGGTTACCGTTGACGGTATTTGAACGACCGTGTTGACTTCCTTGATGCTGTCCACCATGTTCTGTACGATTTCCTCGGTGGAAAACACCTCGTACTGGTATTCGTCATCGAAACTGGAAAAATCCCTGTTTGAGCCGTTGTCCGCGTCAATAGCAAAATCAACATCGTCACCGCTCGTTTCGTTGCCGGAATCGTCGTACATAAAATCATCTTCGTCGATCATTGTTTAGTTTTTTCGCGTCATCGGATCAACGGCTTCCGAATTGTGCCGGCAAAGATTTGTTTGCGACGTTTGAACTGACAGATTTGGCTATTTACTTTTTTTTTGTTTTTATGACAACGAAACATGCGACGATCCATGTTTGCTCCTCGAATTTGGTCGGTTCGCGTTTACGTCATCTGAGGTCAATTTCCGTGGTCTATGATTTCAAATTTGGTGAAACAGAACAGAGGAACTTCGTCTTTAGTACCGCACAGAACCCAGTATTTGACGATGTCAATGAGCAATCCCAGTTTTCTTAAATTTTGTTAGTAATCAATTCACCCTTTAAAGTATGTAGCAAAATAGGCATTGTTTATGTCGTCACCTAAAATAATTATTCGTAATTTACCGAAGGGCCCACTTTTGCAGAAAACTATCGAAATTTATGTTTTAATGATGCATCATGAAGACTAAATTTTAATCTATGGAGCACTCCAAGTCGGTGTTTATATGAAATATATGAAATGAGGCAACTGTTTCTTGGTTTTTTGACATGCGATTATTGATTTTTTTCAATTATTTTTTTTCACGGGTGGATTTACAATCTTATGGTGATTCAGAACATGCATCTTGAGATGATGTTTATATCGAAAGCGTTTGGCGCAGTGATTGCAGCCAAACTGCACTTCCTGAGAATGTATCCTATTGTGATTCGTCAGCGTCGATTGCTGGTTAAAGGATTTGCCGCACACCTGAAAAACGAACATAATTACGAGGATAACTGGAGATATTGCGAATCCACGTACCCCGCACTTATAAGGTTTCGCCCCTTCGTGAATTGTCATGTGTCTCTTCCGACTTGCTTCATACTGAAATTTCTGCCCGCACACCTCGCAGACGTAAGGTTTTGGGGGTACAATGCCCAGTTCCTTCTCCCTGTGCCTGCGGAGGTGCTCTTTCAGTATCCTAGGACCAAAACTTTTGTTGCATATTGGGCACATTTCTTTCTAAAAAATATAATAGTTTCTTAACTTTTAACCAAACCAGAGCAAGGAGTACCTCATCGTGCACGTCTTTTTTGTGTCTCGCCAGCGCGCCCATCTCGCTGAAACTGCCGCTGCATATTTCGCACAAAAACCGCTCCCTTGGTCCAGTGTGTTTCCGTTTTATGTGAGATTTTAGACGTTCAGTGGTCAAAAACGCACCGCTGCAAAATTCGCACATGTAGGTTTTCTCAGTCCCATGTATTTTCCGGTGGGTGCAAAGTGTACTGCGTGAACTAAAAGCGTTTATTTTGGCAGTTAGTAGTCCAGGTCCAAAGGCACGGCTTACGTAAATGCCTTTCCGCATATTTCGCACCGGAATGGGCGTTCTCCAGTGTGGATCCTGCGATGCTGCTGAAGCAAATAATCCGTTCCAAACCTCTTGGGGCATTGCTCGCAATTGAACTTTTTTTCAAGGTGATGAGAATCATAATGCATTTTTAACAGGCTGGGTTTTCTAAAATTTTTGCCGCACTCCGAGCAGCTGTTTTTCTTTCGAGAACCCAAGCCCTGCTTCTCAACTGTTTCCTCGCGGCAACAACCACCTGACACTTCCGAGTCACTTCGGGTCCTGCACTCGATGTTGTCGGAACATCGTTTCTCTGAGCAAGATTCATTATATTTTTTCCCGAGGGCCTTGTTGGTACGAATAATCAACTGGCGAAACTCGTAAAGTTCTCGCAACTGAGAGTAGCAGCGATCGCAAAGGTGTTGCGGCAAGTTACATTCGTACTCGGATATCTAAAAAGCGGCACACGTTCAGAAATGTCACTGCAAACACGGGGCATTTCTACCTGCAAGGAGGCACACTCAAAGAGAGCATCCAGAACAGTCTTTTCGTCCATAAACCCTTTCTGCACACTGACCGACGGCCCGTCCACCACAGTCAAGCATATTCTGCATTCCTCGTTTTCCATTTCGCGTTGCCCCTCGTTTTCCGCCTTTGTTTGCATAAAAAAACATTACAATCTGTTGCTCCAAAACAAGGCCAAGGTCATTGCTGTCAACGCTGTCCGTTATGAACTCGGGCAAGACTTAAAAAAAAAATAATTGCCCGGCTTACCTTTAATAATAATAATTTAAACACCTCGCTGTCAAAACAAATTTTTATATTATATATCAATTAATTTCTATTATTACACCATACACACATACGTGGCGGCGTTGTCAGATGATGCTTATTATCGTCGAGAATTCCGGAACTTCAAGAACAGGCATTAGGAAATTTTTAGAAACATTTGATTTCTTGTGTCTAAAGGCGCTTGCCTATAGACAGTTGCACATGTATTAAGACATGAAAACATGATGTTCCGTACATTGATGTAGGTTGACTATTTTTATATCCACATGTACAGAGTTGTGTGTCAGTATTGTTCGCGATTTTAGTTTTGTCAACCTTGTCGAGCCAAGATGATGAGTTATATTTAGTAGCATTGGCGTGCATTTGTGTTAGAAAAAGAAAGGAACATCAACTGAAGAAAAAGCTCTATTGAATCGAAATCAATATTCTCATATTAATTTACTTGAAGAGCTGCGGTTAGAACCTGACGATTGGCGCAACTATCTCCGCATGGATGAAGATAGCTATATGTAACACTCTTAGAGTTGGTTACACTGATACAATAACTATATTAACATAGTCAAATAAGTACAAGCTCCCATAATATATTCTATTTCAGCTTCAAACAGTAGGTCATTTATGGGTTTCTCAGTATATAATCTGATCGAAGGCTGTTAATTTTGGTTTTAACCATTTCCTTAGTCACATTTTTCTCTACTTCTTGAAGTTCCACCATTAACACATTGTAGGATCTATTTTCCACAAACAGGGATAGGATTTGTACAATTCAATGAACTCTGTGAGAAATTCTTTTGTGAAACTTCTTAAATCTGCCATGTTCACAAAAAAGACTTGAATAAAGAAAAACAAAATATTATAGCCGCGACACTGCCAAAGGCATTTCAATATAGAAAAGTTTGTCTAAACACAGGCATGCATGTACGCGCGTACAAGTCCGAACAGGCTTGAATTCAAGCAAGAACAGATAAGGTAACATGTGCGTCGGTCTTTTCATCGAAAATTTGTCTACCACTGCTAGTTTGCCTAAATATTTAAAAATACCGAGCGATATCTCGGGACCCGGGAGGTAATAAATTTCAACGGGAAGACGTCTAAACGCAGGTATCGAGTTCCGGATGAAAAAAAAACATCCCGAACCTTCGAAAACAAAACATTTGTGGCAGCGGCGATCGAAACTATTTCGATCTCTCCGAGATATAAAGACCACGAGCCGGTTTTCAAGATTATATGCGAGACGCGAAGCGAACGCACGGACGGATAGCAAACCTCGGTCACCTAATTAATCCGGGGAGCGCTGCGCGACCGCGCTCTGTTCAAATATTTTTCTTCGTAAAAGCTCCCGAGGGAAAAGTTTAAGTCGCCACTCGGTTTCCATTAACGTCGCGACGCCGTCGACGGGTTAAGGGCCAATATTAAGGGTCGAAACGTTCCCAAGTTTTCCTAGATAAAGTATATATATATACGCGGGCGCGCCAATCACTTTAAACCAATTGACTCTCTAACCTTCGCCGGAGTCGTTTAAACCGCGCTGATCGTTTCAATTAAAAACGGCCGGGAAGCTCGAAGACGGCGCAAGTATTTCTCTGCGATTAATTTCGTGTGCCGTTTGACGACAAAACGCGATGTCTGTTTCGCTCGTAGTTGAATTTCGCGATCGTAATAAGTGAATAACGCGCGTCGCTCGGACCTGAAGGTGAACGAAAATGGCTCGAAACGGAGTCTTGTTGGTTTTCATAGGTAAGACGGGTGTCTGAAATTGTGTAATGTGCTAATGTAATAGCCAAATAATTTTTCATACACAAAGCATATAATATGCAAACGGAAATAAGTAATTAAATTGGGATAGCTCGTGTACACGTGTTTGAGGTGACTTTTGCAATGCATGAAAAAAAAGCATCAACCACTGGTGAATTAAAATTAAACGAATTACTCTAAAGATTTCCCCAGAGATAAGTCGGTCAGCGGCCGTCCGATTAAATTGATACTAATGGGCAGTCGATGATAAAATTGTTGCGCCAATACACGAATTTGAAATGGTAAAATTTATAGGCATACCGAATAACGAAAACATTGTTTAATGGGATCTTTTGTACTACTTGAATCGTTTCGCGATTATATATTGATCACAATGAATGCACTTTAATAAAGTTCGTAACTAGTTACTAAAAGTATTAAGTTTTCATGTTTCTTTTGATAATTATATAGACCGAAAATATTCACAAAGTCACATTTAAACACGTAAAAAAATTTAAGCTCGAACAAAATTAGGCTTTAAGAGGCAATACGGATTATTTTAGGGTTATATAATGGCACCAACTTATAGAAACTGACCGATGTTAACGCAATTCCGTTTTATTCCGCCCTAAATGCCCCAGAAGCTGCGTTCGGCATTCAAATTTGATTATAAGTCGGCTGTATCATCACATCAAATTTGTATACCTCAATATCATTTCAATTTCGGACAAGCATAAGCAAACTTCACAATTATACTTTCTAATCAGTTAAAGATTTATGTCAAATTGGTCTGAACGGAATTAGCGGACGAGTTAAATTTAATTAACGAACGAACCACAGATTAACCAACGCAACAAGAGATTTGAATAATCATAAAATTGTATTGTCTGTAATGCTGTTTTGCGGTGATGCCATATTAATTCTTATTGTCGTTCCGACGTTTTAAAAGAAGAAACACTGATTAATACAATAATGATATAAAGCAATGTCATGAGAATCGATTCTCTTAGAATTAGGTGCGAATGTAGGGATACATTTAATTACAAAAACCGAAATAACTGAGTATAGCACTTTCCAAGTAATCAAAACAAATTACGGAAAATGGGAGGTGCGGTCCTGGGAACCAGTGGCGCACAGAGATGTTTATAATAACGCCATGAAATGTAGCGGTAGTACCTAAAGCGTCCGCGCTAAACGCCCCCGTGTAAATGTAATAACGAATTGAAAATTACTAGATTACGACCACCAATTCGACGTTACATACTGTCATAAAAACGTATGCGTCGCCCTCCGGCCATTAGACGCGCCAATGCTAAAAGCCTTTCAAAGGAATAACTTCCGCTGCCCGCGAGAACTTTCGCCTCGCGTGCCAACCCCGGAAAACAGGCGTCGGCACGATAACGGGCGATAAACTAGGGAGATAAACTACCAAACAGCGTGTTAGACTACTCGTTTGATTAATATTCGACTCTGACCAGCACCTCTAGGTTATTGTTTCCCGCACCCTCGAGGGAACGTTTCCCCAGAAACAAAAACGACTGGCGTTAACTATCATTTGGTATATTTTTCAGGTGCTTTGTTTGCAAGAGTCGATTGTCTGAAAATTACGAACCTTTACGTGCCAAGGAATGCGGCTCACGACGCACACCTGGACTGTCATTATGATCTTGAAGGGGACACGCTCTACGACGTCAAATGGTACAAAGACGACAAGCAGTTCTTCAGATGTATTGCTGACGGAACTGTCCAAGAATTTTTTGTCGACGGGGTACGTGCCACTGGTGAACAAAAAAAATCTGCCCTGCAGCACATTTGTTCGGTCCGCGTCAGTATGCAACCAACTTAACGTTCGTTTTTTATCCATTGCTAACCCTGACACTAAAGTTTTTAGCCGCAAAATGTGTTTAAAATTTAATGTGATTTTACAGGTATCCATCTACTATTCGAATTACGTTGCCAAGGGTACCTGCCCCGTAACTTTGACGGGTTTGACGGCTTCCTCCACGGGGGAGTACAAGTGCGAGGTGACGTCGGACGCACCGATGTTCAAGTCTGACTCTGCGTTCAAGATTTTGAAAGTTTCGGTGCGTGGGTCTACGGCGAAAAAAACTGAAATGGACAACGAAATCGAGAGAAACAGCAGTAGGTCTTTCATCCGCCATAAAAAAAACTATTCCTCTCTGTGCAAATACAACTTGGAGGCGCACTTCTGATTATTTTTTGGGTTACAGGAAAATATTTTTAACGAGGCTTAATTGTTGCAGGTATAGAAAAATACATGGATTTTCGCAACGGTATGTGTTAAATTGTCTGTTAAAATATGAAAAAAAAAAACAAGCGTGTTTGTTTTAGGGGCCGGCGCGCCGTCTCTTATTTATTATTGTAATGTTTTCTTGGTTACTTTATTAATTATAAATTATACTTCAGTTTTTTAAAGCTAGTATTCCGTTCATTCCCGGCAATTCCGTATTGAGGGTGATGGGTTTCCAACAAATGAACGGAATCCGCAGTTTTTTTAAATTTATATTACAACGATCGACATTACGCCAAATGCGACATATTATCTCAGCGTACTTTGGACTCTACTTTGTTTGAAAGCCGCCATTTAACTATTTTGTCATCTACGTCGGCAATTCTATTTGCGATGAAGTTACACTGGCTGATTAGGGCATCATTTTCTTTTCGTAGTTTCTTTACGGTGTACTTTATCTCATCCAGTTTCTCCTCATTTTTTTTCAAGTATTGGAGAACTTCCCTTTTGAACATACTTTACAATTAATGTCTTGGTGCGGGTGCTTAATAAGTAGGGTATTATTTTATTTGACACGATCTCGATTTAAAAATCGGCTCAATCCAATGTTAAAAACCTATATTCAACATTCACACACTGATACCAAACGATATTGCACGATGTACGTATAAAGTGCCCACTTATATATAAGATAACGAACTTCAAATAACCCACGCTATCGTCTTCGGTAACGAACATAAAAGAATTGAAAAGTTCGGGGAAGTACCCAAGGCAATCAAAAGTGCCGTTTACTACGTCATTCTTAATGTAAATTTTTTTGCCGCGAAATTTATTGCATTAAAACATAAGGTGGCGGCATTAATATTCGATCGTCCTGTACAAATAAGGCAAGAAAGCTTGTTTCAGCGTTAATAACCACGTCACTGCTCGCCCTTTAATGGGTAGAATTAAATAACTTCATGTAACTATAGAAACCCTATAAAAAAACGATCTTCATGCGATTTTTTGACCTTGACGTTAGCGGATTAAATACCTGAATATTTACGGTCGATTTTTTGTTTTACAAAATCTACAGAGCTACATGATATAATAGTATATTACGCAACAAGTTTGGTAAATGCCATTTTAGTCACGATCGGAGCGAATGCCTATTAAACGAGAGACTGAATAAGTTTACGTACCTAAAATTTACTAGAAGTATACGGTCGCTCCCAAACTTGTGACTAAAGTACCGGAAATGTCCGAAGTGGGTCGCGACCACCACATGGTGGGTATTTTAGCGTAGCGAGTACAAAAAGATATTTACTTAAAATGCGGAGAATGGAAAATCAGTCTTTGCATGTGAGTGCAGCATAGCGTCTACAATATGTGGCTATCAAGATAATTTCATACTGGATAAAAAATATTGCATGTGAAATGTAACAATTTTACCGTATTTACGGCCTTTATTATCAAATACAATACAAATACATTACGATACAACCGCATGGGGATAATAAAAATCTACTGTTTAAAACATAATAGTATAAGAAGGCTAATATCACATACAAAACAGAGCAGAGTTAGAGAAATTTTTAATTGCATTTCTGGTCCTAACTGCCAAGGTTGTTGAGCATCGACTCGAGGAGTATCGTTTTATCTGTCAACGCATCGCACCGGTCCGCGAGTTTGATATTCTCGTTACGCAAGTCTTCGATTTCGCCTTTCATGTCCTCCATTTTTTCGTCCATCTTGGCCAGACGTTGCAACAAAGCAATTTGGAAACCGTCTTCAGCAGGCTGCGCGCTTAATTCTCTCAGCTCGTTTCTTGCTTTGTCGTACTGCTCCGAACATAGTTTCACTTGCTCTGCTTCTTCCGCAGTTAGCTTGATTTTTGTTCGGGACGAGTCGGGGGAGTCCGATGACGCGTTCACTTTCGACTTCGCGAGCTTTTTACTCACAATCACGCTTGACGGTAATTGCTCGTAGTCCACCGCTGAGACTATAATTGTAAGACGGGTTCAATTTTATATCAGTATCTTCGAAGTTATTTTTTTCAGGTATAAAAGAAAAAATAGGTTCTAAACTCATCCCCGAAGCACCAACTAGAGGCTTTCTAATCTGTGATTTTAACACATAAAGGGTGTTATTTTACTGACATATCTGGAATCTGGACTCCACCCTGATAACTGGATAAAAAAATACTTGTTTTCGTAACTTTATCCAGCTCAACACGATGACTATGACCGCAACAGGGTACCTCACTATCATACTGACAATTACGATGCCTATCAAATAAGCCAACGTTGCCAAATAATCGCATTTGGCATGTTTGCGGCAAATATCTCTTGTCAATTAAAAAAAAATACGATGCAAAACTTATTTAGGCTATTAATTCATCTAGTACAAATTAACCAATAATACCGTTTATATGTGTTGGTCTATGTTTTATCTAAAAATTGCGTGGTTCCATAGCTTGGCATTTTACAACTCATTCCATATCATGTTATTTTTTTTGCATTGACCACGACAGTGACTCACACTTGACCTAATTACATAGCACTCGGAATAATGTAGGTTAGTTTAAATCTGTCTAACGAATACAATTAAAAGAGCATTACCAGTGAAAAAGTACAGTTTAATTGATGTTGGAGGGATACTTGCCGCGCCATCTATGTCATTAAGGGCGAATCATCAATAAGGAAAGGAATCCCGATCAAGAATACATGTTTAGATGAATATTCTGATTATTTTTTGCATATGAAAGTTGTGTGAGAGAATTGGTTTGTGAGAGCACAACAAATAAAATCGATTTGGGATTATCAGCAACACTGCTATTTTGATAGAGATTTTAATGTAATAAACTAGAATAATAATGGAATAAATAATAATAATAATAATAATAGAATAAATTAGAATGGACTGAAGGTTTTCTTAACCAGTGTAGAGAAAATCATAAAAAATGATTGTTAAATGTGACTGGTTTTTCATGTAGCCTTGGTTGAAAACAGAGCATTCGCGAGTGGGTTAGTGATTTTGTTAAAAGTAAGGGTAGAGGCAAGAACCTTTTGGGTGCTTAAAGACAAAATAGTTGCATTAATGTGTTGTATATATTTTTTTGTAATTTGTGTTTGTAGAACAGAAATAAGACCGCTTAACCTTTTTTGGACATATTAAAATAATGGTGGTCAAATTGTGTTAATACTAAAAAGGAAAACAATTATTATTTGGGGTTACAATTATCATTAGCAATTTCCTTGCTGATAATGAACCGGGAATCCACTGCAATGTTTGTGGACTAAATATTAATATCTATTTATCAGTTTTTTTTCATGTTTGGATAACTTAAACGATTGGTGCGCAAATGTTGTCATCAATGTTCATATTAAAAATCAAGCGGAAAGGCTTCGTTGTGTTAATAGACAAAATAATAAGTCTACTTAAACAGTTTTTTTTCATATTTGAGTTTATTAAACGCAAAGCGGCACGATTTGGCAAACCAGCACAATTGCAAATTTTATTGCTGGACTTATCGACAAGCATTTTATATAAAATTTTTGGGCGGAATTTTTTCAGAATACCAGGCGGCAACCGTTAAAACGAGTATTTTTGCCGTTTCTCCCCCGATCATGAGATTCATTCATTCAATTACCTGTTGTATAGTTTGGACCTACTAACTTTTTCATGTAACAAACCTAACCTTTGTAGAAATAAAATTACTAGAACCTGACAAGCTTCGACGGCTATAACTAAAAGTTTATTTGGCCCAGACTACCGCTATCACTTCCTAAACGCGCCTGCGTATTTAGATCAAGTTGCCTATATACGGAAAGGAAACCACCGAATAATCGTTCTCACGCAAATATTTCCCGATGATGAAGGGATTCAGGTGCGGCTCTCCCAACTGCCACTCTACTTCGTCGATGATATTTCTTAAAGCGTTCGCTATGTCATTTCTGGTGGGCTCTTTCAAGCTGTCAATTAAATTGTGTTTCCGATTCCAGTAATACGGGATCACGCCGTCCTTCATCTTGGCCGCGTAGATTTTCAACATCTAAAAACGCACTTTTCGTGGTACGGTTCGCTGACGGCGGAACGCGAAAGATTCTCACCATCATGAAAACATAGCTCAAGGGCTGCGCCCACAAAACCGGCGGCTCCGTTTCGAGCGCCCACAGGAACAACGTTTTGATGTAATAGCTTGCGATTTTGTGCAACTGCCGGTCTCTGAGTTTCTAAAAAGGTAGTCGTTTAGAGTTTCAATATACAAAATTGAGTTACTGAATTGTATCTGCATTAAAAGTTGCATAAATGCTAGGCAATGTGAATAATACATTACATACTTTTCATTTGGGCATATAACTACATTAAGCGGAATTATATTTACTTTCAACACGTCCATATTTTTTTCCTTTCTCTCGTCCGCTCGTGTCGTCTTTTTTTAAACATGCCACAGAACAGATCTGTATTATGTTACTTTTTGAGAGATGACCATCGATTTGAAATTTTGGATTTTAGGGTGTGTCTATGAGCAAAAGCATTAGAGAATGAAGTTGGAAATTTTGAGTATCGCCTGGGTTTGTTCCTCAACAAACCTAACTTTTGTCGAAGCAAAATCAGTAGAAAACGACAAGCTTCGTAGGCCATGATTAAAAGTTTATAAAATCAAAAATCAAATAGAACACAGCTGTAAAAATTAGTCTCAGAAACTGAAAATGCAGAAAACGTCAATTTGAAAGCACTTTAAACACATTCGGACTTGAATGTAAATGTAGCCTTAAAACGTACATAATTTTAACTAGAAATTTATATTTCACACTTTTGGGGCTTTAGAGATGTTCTCAAATTTCGAAAATAATCATATTAGAAAAAAAAAGGCAAAACGTCAATCGGTCGAGCTTCGAACTCACTTTCAGCAGCCTTATTGTAGGTTTCAGCACTTTGAGGTGCGATCCGGATATGAGCTCGCGTTCCTGCTCCTGGAACGACAGCCGCCAGTACCGTTCCAGCTTGGCGTCATTTTCCCTGCCTTCGACTTTGGGCTTTTTCGGCACTATCAAAAATTTTTTCTGAAAAGAAAAAACATAGCCGAATGATACACAGAGTGAGTGGAGAATACAATTCAAAAATTGAGAGAACAAAAAAAAAGAAACGTTTTCATGTGTACGAGTGGGAGGTGTTCAGTTATAATAGAAATATGCGGCGTGCCAGCTCAATCAAAAGCTGAAATTCCCTATCCTAAATAACTCTTACATTTTTTTGAAAACCGCCCAACATGAATCACTATACATCGTGTACTTTTATCTTCGTTTCGTTATTTGCTCAATCTTAAATGAAACATGCTTAATTGTAATGTGTAATGATTTACAAATGTACAAGAAAAAAAACACCCTATAACTCCGGCAGAGTAATAGATATCCCAGTGTGGTGTTTGCCATTTTGATGTTTATGAAAATGGGGTCCCAGACAACCACATTAGTTTTCGTCTATCTCCCCTTAAAAAGGGAAGTTTCCGTTTAAAAATATCTAATTTGGCCCACTCTGCATATGACTTCAAAGATGATAGAATTTCTCGAATGGGGTTAAGATCAAGTCGTCAGATTTTAAATTAAAAAATTTGTAATACGTTATAACGGAAGTTAAGGATAAAAAAATCCGACATCCCACCAGGCCCACCTTAGTCTGACTGGGGTTTTTCCGGTAGCCCTGCGAGGGGTCCGGCCATTTGTCGTCGGTAAACTGAAAGCATGGCACGAGATCGATGTCCAGTTGGATGTCGCCGTTTCGGTCCTTGCCGAACATCTTCATTGTGAAGGCGGGCGGTCCCTTGGACATCTTGGCCTGGAACGGCGACGTCGCAATTTTGTTCCTATTATTCCCCGGAAAAACCTCACGTAAACTTTGATGGTTTCGTCTTCGCCGACGACGACTTCGACATAGTGACCGGTCTCGTCCTGCGGCAACTCCTTAAGCGCCAATATTAGCACGCGCTCGATCCAAACCAGCACCTTGTTTATGCACAGGTAGTTGCCTTGGTCTAGCAGGGTCGGCAACTTTCTACGCCGAAAAATATGATAGCACGCAAAGCCAATTTATTTAAGTCTAAAATGCTGAGCCACACACGCTCACACTTCCGGGTCAGTAACGACGATAATAAGCACCGTCTGACAACGTCGCGAAAATAACCCTATTTCAGAGCTCTGCTCTTTAAATACAATTATTTAATTTAATTAATATTTATACTACAAAACTGAACACTACTGAACAATAACCAAAGAACAAGAAAGGAAGAAAGAGTTGGACACGACGGGTTGTAAGAGCTCGTCGCAGATTGTGGAAAAAGAACAATATTTTTATATTTTGTAGTATTATTATTGCAATTTTGCAGTATTATTAAATACAAAAATGTAGTTTTACTTGGGTTTATTGTAGAGACCGATAACATGCCTTCAAACTAAGAAAATTAAAAGTAATAGCTGCGAAGGGGCCGAGGATGGCTCGATTGGTAAGGCATTAGACCTACCAACTCGACTTGACGGAGGTTGTGAGAGCCTTGGGTGTTGTGTGCGTGAAAAATTGTTATCGTTAAATTTTCCTTAGCGGATGCCGGAAAATGGTTGAATATCCTAATTTGAGATGTACCCAATTAAGCGTATATGAAAAAAATAATTAAGAAATTTAATGTCAAATTAAATATTCTAGAAGCCAAAGTATCCATAAACCGCGCTGCGTATTATTCGAATAATTTAATTTAATTAATTTAATAATTTAATTTTACAAAGATAAGTCTCTGTATACTGGATATTAACAAGACGTAGGTACTTGGTTCGTGTAGAAGAATGTTGCCAATGTAGAAAAAAACAAAGACTTGTTAAAGTTGAAGAGGGTGGTAATGGCGATAACACCACAATGGATATAACCATAAGCGTTACAGTTAACAATTTCGTAGATGAAGTCTCTCTGTCTATAAACAACAATCTACCATAAGGCACTCAACTTTGGCTGCAACTGAAATTTTATCATCGATGTGACGATGAGGACAATATTTCTTTGTCAGTTATTGACATAAGTTGCAAAATTTGATACCAGGATCATTTATAGCGGATAAACAAGACGAACTAACTCGGTGCCTTTTTTTTCTTTTTTTTTTGGATGCGGAATCTCCTCTAAAAAATATATAACTCAGGCATACTTGGGTTAATGTAAAAAATCTAAGTCCTTTAAGCAAGGGTTAATCGGCAGTCCTTACTCGTATTTTGGTTTCTCCGCCCTAGTCTCGAGCTTTTTGAACGCGCTTATCTGCACCTTCACGAAGCCCGGGTGCACGCTGCAACTCAGCTTCGGCTCCACCACGAGCGGCACGTTCATCACAAAGTCCAAGTCGAATTCGTTCGGGTTGCCGACCTTGAGGTTGTCGTAGTAGCTGCCGCCGTAGAAGTTTTTCTCGAACATCGCACCGAACAACACGTCCTTTTGCTTCATATGGTCGAGAATGGTCGACGTCAACTTGAAAAAGAAAAAACCTTATTGGGCACGTTTGCCTGATTTATAATTATTAATTCCAGTTTCAAGAAAAATAAAATAACTTCTAAAATTTTGTTGACTTCTAAAATTTTGCAAGACGAGTATAAGCTACTTTTGAAAGCTCTTCTCACAGAAACAGATAATAAAGACCCAGATTATAAATACCTCGTAATGATGTTTTTTCTACTCCCGTCTGTAAAAAATCTAATTACACTCCCAGCTACCGCACGGGAAGCGTCACTTTACCACATCAGTTTCGTTTCCCACGGTTCCGTGCTACTTCGGAGATTTCCGGGATTTTACCGCACAGATTTGGGAGCAATCGGATGTTTTCGGAGATATTTCCAACGCCTTGAATTTTGACGTTTATCAATTCTGACGGTCATGTCAGTGAATGTATTCGTGTTGTTTTGAGAAAATGAATCCCAAAAACTAACGGTCGTACAAAAAGTATAGTATGCAACACGTTCGGTAAACTTTATAAGTCACTCGTTTATTAAACACACGCTTCGTTACGCTCTGCTGCGCTCCGCTCGTGTCAAATAAACTCGTGAGTCAAATGCCGTTTACCGCAGTTGGCGCATAATGTATTATTTAAGTTAGTATCTGCTATTGCGCCACATTCTTAATCAGGTCCAAGTTTGATGACACAGTCATGAAGTATATCTTTCAAAGTTCTAGTTAAAATAAACATGTTTTACTTTTATCTATTATGTTATTTTTTTTTTCTACTCTCGTCTATAAAATACCTCATTCCACACCGATCTAGTGTGCGGGAAGCGTTACTTTACCACATCAGTTTCGTTGCCCACGGTTCCGTGCTACTTCGGAGATTTCCGGGAATTTACAGCACAGATTTGGGAGCAATCAGATATTATCGGAGATATTTCCAACGCCTTGAATTTTGACGTTTATCAATTCTGACGGTCATGTCAGTAAATGAATTCGTGTTGGTTTGCGAAAATGTACCCAAAAACTAACGGTCGTAGAAAAAGTAAGTCACTCGTTTATTAAATACTCGCTCCGCTCGTGCCAAATGAATGCGTGAGTCAAATGCTTTTCACTGCACTTGTTGCATAATATACTATTTTGATATTTTTTACATATTCTCAGATATGTCATCCCATAATAAATGGCCCACCCGGGACTCTACTAATTACAACTTGCACGTTATAATAAGTGATAACGCAAGGTAAAAACATTGGGTTCAAAAAATGAAATCAAAATAACGTCGGACCAGGTTTCCGTGGATACCAAACAAAAAACAATAGCTCGCCTCACGTCATACGCACGTCAGTGAATTTACCAAATTCCAAAAAAATTGCACCATGTCGCGCAGCATCAAACCAAAATTGAGTTGGAAATTTCTGATGAACCATTCGAGACCATTGACCCACAAGCTCGACCAGCAGAGTCGATTCGTCCCCGAAGAAGTAACTGAGGAAATCGAGGCGACGGAACCGACGTCGGTCCAAGCCGGAGTCAGGTACAACGTCTGCAGGGACAAAATGGCCGACAACCAAAAGTACGTGTTCCCAAAGCAACTGAGCGACCAAAATGACCATAATGGAAGTGGTGCAGGGGACGCGGCCCAGCAAGCCGGCGACGGCGCACCGCCTACACTTCCAGGAAACGGATACAGGACGTTCGAGGCATCCACCACGTATAAAAATGTAATGTTGCCGCTCAAGGCGTCGAAGCTGGCGGACCCGTTCCCGTCGCCCGTGAAGATGATGCCGTCGCACACCATCTCCGATTTGGAGAAGGCCGAACAAATGCTTGCTGAGCGCAGGATCCCGATCGCCGTAGCCAAGACCAAATGCTAAATATTCCGAGTCCCCTAATAAATGTCCAGAGACAATAAGCGACTGGACTTTGTGAAATTATGTTTTTGAACTTCTCATTGTCAGGCGCCATATGTAATCAATAAAATGTCGATGTATTTTTGGTACTGGTGAGAAAAGTAAAACTATTGGGATGGTCAACGCAGTGCTAAAAGTATTAATTTTTGGCTTGACTGTACAAAAAATATATTTTACTGCTCATAATGCAAACGCATCACACTGTACGAATCAAGAAAACATAATATTAGAAGACTTCTTGGGTCTAGTTCAGCGGTACTGTACTTAGGCTGAACACCAACAGTTAGATACTGGATAGTGCATGCTTAAACACTTTTAAATTCGACATCAAAAAGTGTTGAGGAGGGACATTCTATATGCGTATGCGTCAGTCACTAGAAAATCGTTTTTCACCAATAAGATCCATTTTAAATCTCGCGTTAGACCAATAACAACCAACATTGCGGTTGACAGTTCTTCAATTCAAAAGTTTTCAGCTTATAGGCGGAATTTCTCAACAGGATTCTCTCCCAGATGCCATTTCTATTCAATATTCCGGAAAGAACAACAAGTTAATGTACAAAATATAAGTATATAAGTATACATAGTTCGGCGTAAGACAAAATTCCTATTTTTGTGTTTCACATGTAAGAAATACATGAAAGAAAAGAAGTCGCTTAGACAGTTCCTTGTATCCGCAGTTTGTACAGATTAACATTTTCCTTAAAAGCGTATTTTAATTGCAACACACTTTTGATTGAAGGTGAAACTTAAAGATTCAGATAAAATTAAAATATCAACAGCTATAAAAGCAATAGTTTAAATCAATACCATATATCAATCAATAATCAACATGAAGTAAATAGAGTATTTTCTCATGAAACATACAAATACAAGTACAAGGACCCCTTGGTCTTTTGATAAAACACCGTTTCGAGCAAAATGCAAAAAACTGAACATTTTGACTTTTCACGTCGAATAACTTTTTTCGCGCATTATCAATGGGACATTTGACGGTTTATTTCTACCCAAGGTCTATGCCAAAATCCAGCTCCCGTGAGAATTTTCGTCTTTTGACTTTTTATTTTTGCGACTATTTGACAGATTTAAAATAAGCATGTTCAAAATTTGTAATTAAGGGGTTTATACATAAATTTTATGTACTGAGTGAGTTTTTGTCAAAAAATTGCTTATCGTGGTATATAGGACATTAGGGCAAAGAAAACATAACTCCTAATAACAGCACGTTTCATCTCAGATCTATTAACTACCTAGGACCAAAAATTTTTAGATTAAAGGCAGTAATAGGCAGATTTTTAAATGCACGAAGCCTCTGTGGTTGAGCAATCCATGAGGCGCGTCCCCGGGTGGCGGATAGGGGAGCCCAGGCTCTCACGGGCCTGGGTGGCTGGGAATAAGGAGGCATGAAGAGGTAAAAATCCAATAGGACTAACAAATAACCAGTCGTGGACCAGCTCACCCTGCCCAGCTATCATGTCGTGGCTAAGGGCTTGCACAGGGTATTACGGTGCCAACTGGCTTTTAGTTGGTTGATATACCATGCGTCGGGTGTCGTCTCTACGGGTGGGCACGCGACGCGGGGGGTCTGAGCTTCAGCACTCGGACCAAGAGGAGTAAACCTCAATCAAAATCCTAAATCCTACGGTGGGGTTCGGGCCTAGGGGATGCATGGCCGGATAAAAAATCAGTCTCTACCGATCCCAACCCCGAGGCACCGGGCGCACCTCGGGGAAGAAAGCCTTACCTCTGCAGAGGTAGACTGTTTTTTTCCTTAGCTTCTCGTGGGACCTATATGGACCCTAAAAAAGTTAAGAAGGAGAAGGAGAATGGGCCCTAGAAGGGCTCCAGCAAGCAGGGGCGTTTTGAGGAAGGTCCCCTACAAAGGCGATCTGAGGAGGATCCCCAGGTCGCGAGCGGGGTAGAGGGTCGGTACAAACCGGGAACACCAACGCGTCGACACACCGCCCCAGACACAGGAGTGGGGCGGAAAAAAGGAGGGCGAAGAAGAAGAGACTCGCGGTGACGGTTCCGGAACCGCGGACGGGCTCTCTTCTGGCGCCCAGGAATCCGGCACGCCATTAACGGAAGGGCTCACCGGAAACGGCAGGCGGGAAGCGGAAAAGGAAGACGGGAGAGATCACCCAGGTCGGGGCACCTGCCGGGGGTCGGCGGTTGACACGCGGCCCGGCGAAAGCTGGGCCCGGGAAAGGCGGGCCGTGTCGGGGGGCCTGAACTGGTGGGTCTCAGAGGCCAGGAAACTGACCTGTCTTCCGAGGACCTACTGCGGTTCATAGGGTCTCTTAATCTCGGCGTAAGCATGTATATCATGCAGGGGAGGCAAAACACCACTCCCCGGATACGCTCGGTTAGGCTGTGGAGGAGCCACATCCTGATCAAGATGATGGATGAAGAAACCAGGGAGTGGGTTCGCAAGAGCTGATAAACGTCAAGCCCTGGGGGCTCGCAAACCTGGTGGAGGTCGATCCAGAAGGGCGGCGATTTGAATTCCGAACCTGTGGGCAGGTGTCTTGAACGAGGCACTAGTCCGCGCTGCCTGGCAGCTCAGAATAGCCTAGATTGCCGTGCCTGGAGGACAGCAGGGCTGCAACGGTTCATTCATGCAGGAAAATTTCGGAGGGCGGTACATCCATTGCACTGATTCAAGAGCTCTGGTTTGTAAAATCAAGGGTTAGGGGTTTATCTTTGTGAGGGTCGATGCTGCATAGTGTCTCGAGTCCTCAGGGGCGGTCCCAGGGCCTGCATACTAACCATGGGGGCGGAGGCCTTTTTCCTAAGGGACAAGGCGTTCAGAGACCTGGTTCCAATTCTGGTCAGATCCCCCACTCGGAACGGCGGGAGATAGGTAGTAGTCGCATCCGCGTACTTTCCAAGCGACTGCAGCTGTCCTCCGGAGGAGATCAGTGACTTGGTCTCCTACTGTGAGGAGGCGAATCTTTCTCTTTTGATTGGCTGCGATAGCAATGTTCACCACGTTCTGTGAGCAGCTCGGCGACTAATCGAAGGGGGGGAGACCTCGTGGACTTCATGGCAGGGCTGCAGGTAGCCAACAGAGGGGTAGAACCCACGTTTTTCACGACGGGTCGGAGCTCGGCTATAGATTTGACACTCTGTACCAGGGCTCTGCTCCCAGAAATAACTGGGTGGTGTGTCTGTGGGGAGGACTCTATGTCGGACCATAGATACATCACCTTTGGGTTGGAAATGGGTGTTCGGGAACCCGTTAGATTTAGGAACCCCCGGGCAACAAACTGGGAACTCTATAGGGAGGAGCTCCCTTGGCGCCTAGGGGATTTCCAAGAAAACACCGGACATTCATTGACGAGGCCGCCGACCGCGTCAGCTCCGCTATGATACGGACTTTCGAGAAGAGCTGCCCTGACACAGAAGAACATAGGGCGGGGAGGACTCTTTGGTGGAGCTCTTCCTTGGAGCGTCTCAGGAGGAGGGTGCGGAGGCTGTTCAATACAGCGAAGAGCAGCGGCCTAGGTACGGACTGGGATTTCTATAGGGACGTCCGCAGACAGTGCAAAAAAGAACTACGGGCATCACAGAGGAAGGCCTGGAGGGGCTACTGCGACGGAGTAATGAATACCCCGGACGCGGTTAGGCTCCTTAGTGTACTCAAAAGTGACCTTGCGACCCTGCGGGAAGACCGGGAGTGGTCCGCAGGACCGGCGTTGGCTACACAGCGGAACCAGCGGACACACCACAACAGTTGCTGACCACGCACTTCCCAGGGTCCGCCGATCCGGACACAGGGGGGAATGTTGAAGCTGGGGGTCGTCTTATACGCGACTACGCCACGGCAAGGAGGGTGGTTACCCATAATGGGCTGAGGTGGGCTATTGACAGCTTTGGCCCCTTCAAGTCAGTGGGCGGGAATGGAGTATTTCCGGCTGTGAACCAAAGGGACGGAGGTCTCCTGACCAGTCCGCTGATGGATCTGTTCAGAGCCTCCATTGCGAGGGGATACGTGCCGGAGCTGTGGAGACACGACAGGGTAGTGTTCATCCCCAAGGTAGGGAAGAGCTACTACACGGACCCGAAGTCATATCGGCCCGTTTGCCTCACCAGCTTCATTATGAAGACTCTGGACAGACTGACTTCCAGGTTGGAGTAGGGTATGAGCTCGGGACGGTTGTCGGTGTGCGTGTTCGCTGACATCGAAGAGGCCTTCAACAACACGGCCCTGTATTCGATCTGCAGGGCGGTGAAGCGTACTGGAGTGGGGACGGTCATTGTAAAATGTCCCCCTTCCTGTGGTGTTTAGTGGTGAACGAGATATTGCATATTCTGAGGGAAGAACACGGAGTCTATGCTCAGGCACATGCAGACGACCTAGTGATAATGACACAGGGGACGGACGTGAGAAGGATGCAGAGGCTCCTGAACAGAGCATTGGCAAGATACTCACAATGGTGCCGAGACAGGAAGTTGGCTGTCAATCCTGGCAAAGTGGAGATGGTCATCTTCACCACGAAAAGGAAGTTGGAGCGTAACCTCAACATTTCGATAGATGGAGTGCTTCTTTTTGCAAGCGGAAGCGTCAAGTACTTGGGGGTATGGTTGGACTCCAAGTTGACGTTCCAGGAACATATAAGACCAAGGACCAGGTCGGCATTTGGAGCTCTGTCGGCGTGCCGGAGAGCGGTAGGTGGCATTTGGGGCCTGGGGCCAAAGATCATGCAGTGGATCTACGGTACCATGGTGGTACCTATGCTCACGCATGAGGCGGTGGCATGGTGGCCGGGGACCAAAAGAGCAGGAGCAAGGCTAGTTCTTGACAAATTGCAGAGATTGGCTTGCCTCTGCATAACGGGCGCCATGAGGACGGCACCCACGAGGGCCCAAGAGGCTCTGGTGGGTTTGCCCTCTCTGGCGGATTGGGTGCGGATGGAGGCAGCCAGGACTGCTGTCAGGCTGGCGAGCTGCGGGCTCTGGAGGGAGGGAAGCTTCAATCGGGGCCCGTACGACATTTTAGAGGGCTGGCCCGGGGATCAAAATAGGTTGGGCATGCCGAGTGACGCCATGATCCCCGAGATGACCTTCTTTGACAAATGGACCTTTCTCTTCTCATCAAGGGAAGAGTGGAGAGAGAGCAGAGTTGGCTCCTGGGATGGACTTGTCTGGTACACGGACGGGTCCAGAATGGGATATTTGGCCGGAGCTGGAGCGTACTGCGGAACAACGGGATCGAGTTTGTCGGTCCCTCTGGTAGCGGTCAGAGAGGTGTTTTGGCTCAATCACGGAAACAGGAGGGTATTCTTCTGCTTGGATAGTAGGGCTGCACTTATGGCGCTGAAGTCAGTGCGCACGCGCTTCTTGTTGATAAAGGACTGCAAAGGGGTACTGAGGAGAGTGGCCCAGGAGAGGAATGCCACGTTGGTCTGGGTCTCGGGTCACACCGGGATCCGGAGCAATGAAGCAGCGGACACTTTAGCCAGGGAGGACCCCTCGCATAGGCATATGGGACCAGAGCCCCGCTTGGGGATCGCCCCGTGTGTGAGGTGGGAAGCTCTCGAAGCATGGGCGACAGAAGTACATTCAATTGTTGTTCTGTTTTCACCATCGTAATCAGTAGAAAAAATGCTACTAGCTTGCTAATTCACTCGACTTTGTATGTCTATTCACACTTGAACTGTTGACAACTGGATATGGGGAATCTAATCTAAGCAAAAAAATGTTTATAAGTGGTACAAGCTGTTCCGAGATGGCCGACAAGACGCCGATGACGAACCTGGCTTTGTATGCCCCAGCACGTCAATAGCTAATGAAAGTGTTGAAGAACTGAACCAAATGGTGTTGAAATATCGTCAAATCACCATTAGAGATGTGGCTGAAAATGTAGGCATCTGCATTGCCTCGTGTCATGCATTTTTTTCTGAATGTTTGGACATGAAACGTGTACCAGCACAATTTGTTCCGAAACTGCTTAATGTTGTTCAAACGGACCGTCGAAGGAGCAACGTTCAAGAGCTGTTAAACGACGTCAATGATGATCCTGATATGCTCGAAAAGGTCATAACTGGTGACGAATCATGGGTATATGGTTCTGACGTCGAAACCAAAGCCCAGTCGTCCCAATGGAAGAACCCAGAATCGCCAGGACCGAAAAAAACACGTCAAGTTCGATCAAATGTTGAGGTTTTGCTTACTGTTTTCTTGTTTTTCCTGTTCCCAAAACTCAAACTCATGAAAGGTTTGGATCGATTGAGGAGATAAAGAATTCGCTAGAAAGTTCTTACCGGACGGGCTTCGAGGATTGGAAGAAACGTTGGCACAAGTGTATAATGTCTGGGGGAGATTTTTTCTTGAAGGGGACAACATTAATTTTGATAAAAAAATAAATACTTTTTGAACACACCTCGTATGTATGCATATGGCTATGTGTGTATTATTTGATATTTAGTAAGATTTAACAAACTTGCACACAAATATTGTATTTTATTCCAGCTCAAAGACTTGGTAATTATTAAACCAGCTAGATGCCCTCCAATAATTTGTGCATATGTGATAGAAGAAAAAGTCAATTTTTAAATTGTAAAATAAAATAAAAAATTGGCTGCATGAACAAACCATATATCTGCGCGACCGCACTCACTCACCTTCTCGAGGATTTTCGTGTTCCGTTTGGTTTCGCTCTCGGGCAGCGAAATGTGCTTCGAGTTGATGCCATTGAGGACGTTCTCCATCAGCGTGTAGCGTTTCTTGTCGGGCCAATTCATGGCGACCGGCCAAAACTCCTACACCTAAACGTTTTCGGAAAAACGATTTAATAAATATTGGCGTCGCGTGTCAACCGCGATGTTCCGCCGCGGCGGCGGCGAGCGGGCGTAATCGCTGGGGCGTCTCCCCCCCCCCCCGTACGAGAACGCGTGCAAAAAATCAAAACATTCGGAAGCGAAAGTATCGTGATCGATAATAAAATGAACGTCGACCGGCGGAACGTATAACGACGTAGCGACTCAGTCAAAGTTTTGTTCGCGAGGGGCGAACCACGCCGGGGGCGGCGTTGCCAACCGCCACCGTAAACAAACCGAGCGCGACTCGTTTTCACGCTTTTTATATACCGGGCGCTCGAAAATTGCCCACTCATGTCGACCGTGAGGAGGTTGGCCCATTTCCGGCAGCTGTCGCTGGAAGGCGGCGACGCGTCGCCCCTAGGCAGGAAAAAGTCGCCCAAGAAGGCGACGGATCCGCGCCACGCGATAAAGGTATCCTTGGACGCGCCGGGAGCCGTCCGGCTAGCCTGGGGCGCGAAGGACGACGACGTCGACGACGCGGTCGTCGTCAAAAAGTGCAGGGAGGTGAGAAGGCAGCCCGGCTGCCGCCTGACGAGGCACGCGTCGCTCGAGAAGGACTCCATACTGTGTTCCAAGCAAGAACCGGCGGTGACGGAAACGCCCAAGGACGAGAAACCGAACCTGAAGATCTTTTTGGCGCCCAACGTAGAGAGGTCTTGCGAACCGCCCAAGCTGATGCAACCGTTAACGACGCCGGTCGTCGACAAGAACGCGTTTCAAATCCGCAAGGGCGGCAAACGGGGTGTGTCAGTGGTCGTCGTGCCTGTCGCCCCCCAGGAAATAGACGTTTTCGTGAGGCCGGCGACCGCGTCCTCGAGGCGGGAGAAGTTCAAGAAACGAGCCGGCTCGGCGTTCCACGCGACCATCGTCGATGAGCCGAGAGCGCCGCTAGTCAGGTCGTCGTCGGCGCCGTCAGCGAGGCCGAAATTCCCGGCCACTAAGAGGAGATTGAAGGTGACGAAGAGGTCGGATGAAGGCGGGAGATTGCCGAACGTGGAATGGAAGAACGCGGCGCCGGCCGACGTCGAAACGATGGTCGAGTTGATCAGCCCGATGGGAAGCGACGCGGAGGAGCGGCCCGACGAGGAAGAGGAGGCGAGACCGGCGTCAAAAAGGGCGCCGGAAGAGAAGAAGGCCGCGGTTAAGTGCGCCAGTCTGAGGAAGGCAGTCAAATCGGGTAAACAATCGTTTTTTGCAGGGTATCTAAAACTAAACTAACCAAAACGATAGTGTACAGCGTTTTTGTTTATAATTTGACTATTAAGAGGAATAGGCAAAAGATTTTTACATAAAAGTTGTATGTAGCTTTCGGACAAGATTTGATATTTATTCATACTCCATCAAAAAAAAAACTACTATATAAAAAAGTTTAACAATTATTACTATGAAAAATGACCTCATTCCGCTGAAATTGGAGACGTGGACTAAAGGAAATTCAAAAAAATACTTAAAATCTTTCCTGGCAATGATTTTCATAACGCGTTTGAATACGAAAATCATATGCACAATAGATAAAATTAAAAAAGTTTGTATTCTGCGACTTTGTTTATTGTTATTGTTGTGCTGTTCATGACGAAAATTCCCTTTGTTATATTGGTAGTGAATAAATACTTCTTCTCTTCTTTACCCGATTTCAAAAATTTATAGTTTATCGCATTTGGTTTCTCCGTTTTTGATATAACTTGAATTCATTAGTCAATAATAGAATTTAATAATCGTTTAGTTATTTAATAATTGTTAGGTAATAGTTTAATTCCTATAATTTCTAAAATCACTATTTGTTTATAATATGGTTTATTCGGAACATCCTACACATGAAATAATTTAACTTTTTTATTCAAACCCTGGAAATATATCGCAAGTTCGACGTGGATATCACCAACGTTTTCCGGATAACCTTAAACAAAGACGATAAAGAATATTGTCCGACGATTTGATGAGACAAAAAAGATTAATAAAACTACGGTTGAAAATCACGAGAAGAAATGAAACACGCTGCTGTATTTTAAAGATATATTTTACTTTAACAGGTCAAAAAAGTATTGGCTTTTATTTTCTGGGAAATCCCGAGAGATCATTTCTAGATACGGCAAATTATATATATGAACAGATCATTAAAAAAAAAACATCATTTTCACTCCTGCAGATTTTTGCCAGTACAGAATGACATTTTTCATACCCTGTACATTCTTATATCACTGAAGAGAACTTAAAATTACCTTTCCACAAATATAGCACGACTTGATATTTAGCTCTAGATTTCTTGGCAAAAACAGAAGTTTTGAGCTGAATAAAGGCAGAAATAATCTGGTACACAGAAGACGGCTCAAAAACTGAAAGAGTAGGAAACAACTGGAATATATGCGCCCGGGACGAAAACAAAAGATACAGATTATTCCAACTGAGCAAGTTAGCAACAGTGTTCCAACCATAGATTGTAGCCCCCAAAACGATGTGCAAGAAAAATCAAGACCAAAAAGATTCGTTATAACACAATTGCAATCTGCACCAATAGTCAACCGACAACAAAAGCTATGCAATCCAGCAAAATAACATCCAAGTTACTTCTTGATTGTCATAAAGCATTAAACAAGATAGCAAGTCACGCTGTCATAAGTACCAGAGCATGAAGGCCACAAATGTAATTAAAGCGCCCAAGTAGAACGCGAAAGCTGATCATCAAAAAATACATGGAAAGGGGAGAGACATGCCGGGTCAAAGACGGGCGGAGTTGCTCAGAGGTCCATCGACTCAATTAACAGCACACCTGCTAAGCTACAAAAGAAATGTCTTATGAATAATGATAGGTTTACTGCCGGCTTAAGAGGCATCTAAGCCTGGTGGGTAGGGAAAAAACACTGAATTCAGAAAGGGTGGAAACAGTACTATGTCAATGTGAAGTTCTACCGAGAATGTGTTTCCATCTGTTGCACGTAACCAAGCCGGAGGAAACGAGCGACACCAAGAAGCGACTACCGAAGCTGTGAAGTCTAATTAGAGAGACAAATCGTAGTGACGGAGCGGATAATCAAATTCTCCCAAATGCGAAAATGCATTTAAGTGGTTGTGTTCTCTCAAGATATTGCTAGTAGTACAAAATGCTTGTTTGCTTGATATATCCAGACTCATATAAATAATTTTGTTCTATCTTCTTTGAAAAGGTGACTTATCAATTTGGCCCATCCTGTATAATTAATAATTAAAAGTTCTACATGGCTTTTATCACTTTCAGCGATTTCTTTTCTTTGTAAGTTTTTATTTTTTACGATTTTTTTGACGGTTTTAGGGTCACCCTATATGATACTGCTCGCGCGGCGTTCTCACTTTCTCGGCGTTCGCGAAGGTTACACGTTCGACCTGCTGACGGTGGCGTGACCGAAACTTCGCCTTCTCTACTTCAATTAAACTCCGGGCAATTAACGTGTCCCGGAAAACTTAAGTTTTCGCGTTCCGGGCGCCGCACCCAGGGTGTCGGCCCAAGTAAATGCTCGAAGTTTTCCGGGAGGCGGCGGCGGGGGGCGGCGATGACTTCCGTCGGGTCGAAAACGTTTGACGGGTTAATAATCGAAGAGGTTATTGCGTTTCTCCCCTCCTCACGAAAAGGTCGCCCTCTTCCCCCAACTATTAATTAATTGCGGGTTCTGGATTTACGAAGATTACATAAAACATTCAGGCCAGCTCAGTATTACGGGATTCTTTTATATCTCCATAAGAGTTTTGGTTAGTTTTATTAGTTGATCATTTTATCTTTGACAATTTAATTATTCAAGAAATCTAAGAAATTATTGAGATTAAGTATAGGAAATCCCGAAGAAACCTACCATTTGGAATACTTTAAAGAAGAAAGGTGTTTCAAAAATCATGCGCGAACGCGCGGCTTGGATTATTAACATTTAAAAAAACCTTTTTTACAATATGTTAAATATTTTTTGCAAGATTTTGTTGAAATAAGGCTACGCCATTTGTAATGATAAGGGACTAATTTTGACTTAACTAGATCAAAATTGTGAAGTTCAGTGCTGGCTCGAGAGCTATCTTAACGAATGGTATTGTCAAAGAGAACTACGCGACTTTTTCGCAATTTTTGTTATTGCTTTGCATAAATCGCTAAAAGTAAAATCTTTTTGGACTCTCGAGTTGTTTTCGTATTTTGCCTAAGTTTACGGCAAAGAAAAAATCCCGAAAATTATCAACATGTATTTTCTGAACTCCTCGATACACAATAAAAAGTTCTAAAAAATTAATACCTAACAAAATGATTAAAATGACCACCATATTTTTTTTGTAAGAATATTTTACACGCCGTTTCTTGGAAATGCTTCATTTCCGGAACTATGCTTATATGAACTTTTCAGATTAGATGCAGCTAGTTTTGGAACTAGTCAATTGACTAGTCAAATTCAATCAAAATGTTTTAAATAACATCTTGCAATTTTCTAATAAATTATTATGCGATGGTGATGTCCAATTTACCGACACTCCTTGTAATAAATCAATTCTTTTGTACAATTTAACTAATCAAAATAAAACATTTTGGGCACGTTTGAAAATATTTTGATATTGATTTATTTGCAAATTATCAGTTTGGTCACTTTAAAACATCAACGATTTTTTTTCCAATATTAAATGTATTGCGTATTTGTTTTAAACGGAATTATGTTCGAAACAAATTATTACTGGCTTATTACAAAAGGATATTTAAATTGTTATTTTGAACATATAAAATAATATTTTATGATGCTTATTTTATTATCTATGAATTAATTCTTGTGTTTTAATAAGAATAAGTAATAAAAATTATCATGAAATTATCAAGAAGACATAGAATCATATAGTGTCTTATGGATTTATTAAAAAGCACCAATGAAGCAAAATTATATTTAATTTTAATAAAATTGTTACCGTTTTTTTTAAATATCTTAACGTTTTTTCTCTGAGCGTATAAAGCGCCCCACGGACTTCGGTTGGTTTTGAATCGCCAAACTCCAACAGTAGCGGCTGTTTTAAGCAAAAGAAAAAAGAAAACAAGAAGAATCATTAACCACCTTAATTTATTAAATGAATTTAAACTGATACCAGTTTATAATTATGTGGGGGACTTAGCCTTTTCAAGGAATACCCGAAAATGATACTAAGCGATTCCATTTAGATCTCACAACGACGCGACCTCGACGTAACGCACAATATAAATTTTATTGTATTTTTAAAATTATTTCGGCCAATTGACTAGTCAAAAAAAATGAACTTAGATACAGCAGAAATTGTTAGTCTGATAGTGCCGTCCTTTAGGGAGATTATACAAACTCAGTATCACGTGTAACACTCTTAACGACAGGTTCTTTGTGGGACATTTATGATAACATTTTTCCGTTTCAAACTGCCTTTATATAATACAGTGGGAAAATTAATTTAAGAAATAAAATTTGTATTTCGCAATCTGGCAATTTTTCATATAGTTCGTTGAAATGTGGTAGGCATAATTGACCTGTTAAATTACACTTTTGTAGTTTTGTTTTGTTTGTTGAGATAATGTGCATTAATTACTAAAAATAACAACAAATAACATATTTTTCTACCCCCTACACTAAAATACACTGTCACTTTTATTTATAATTTTTGCTCTAAATCGCACAAAACTGTTTTAGAGAAATGTTTCATTTTCTGCTTGTATTCCTTCCACTAGCTTCAATGGGTTCCGTCAGAGGAGCAAACTCGATATTTCGGTGAAGTTTTAATTTGCTGACGTTTCGCAGCCCTCGCTTGTGTTGGCTTCTTCAGAGCTTGATCGAAACTAGCTCGCATTTTACTCCGTACCTGCTGCTTATATATTGTTTGAGGGGGCATAAACGTCTCGGATGACTGATTCCCATATTGGTGACAGGCAAAGACCTGAGTCGCGGTTAAGATTGTTAGGTTGTTTATAGATTTTTCGTTAGTAGAAGAATTGATTAAATGCAAAAATTTTAGTTTTATCGAATAAAATTTTATGTCCGGTTCCGTGATTGTGTTCAACAACAGCTGAAGAGTTTATTTGTCTTAGTCGTGAGGCTCTTTCGTGTTCTTTGAGCCTAGTTGATGTTTACCGCTTGTCCAAAAATCTCTCAACATCTTCGGTCTGCCAAAGACAAATTTCCATTTGAGATGTCAGGAGTTTACAGCCTTTTTACACAAATTGTATTTTATAAAACTAAAATGCTTGCATGTAATCAATTCTTCTACCCGAGAAAAATCTATATAGAAATCTATAAACAACCTAGCAATCTTAACCGCGACTCAGGTCTGTCACCAATATGGGAATCAGTCATCCGAGACGGTGTTTATGCCCCTCATTTAGCTCCGTCCCCCTCAAACAATATATAAGCAGGTACAGAGTAAACTGCGAGCCAGTTTCAGTCAAGCTCCGAAGAAGCCAACAGGATAATTGGCGAAACGTTAGAGAGTTCGACTCGGCAAAAACCGACGCAGGAGGAATCCAGAAGTTTTGTAAAAAGTATTACGGTAGCCTGTGGAAGTTTCTTTGAAAAAAATTAACCTCCCATAGGACTAACTGCCAAAGAGATAGAAGATTTTGATGTGGGCCTATATACTTTCGACATATTCAATTTCATCGATCTCAACCCACAACACACAAAATAGAGAAACATGCAAACTGTCTTAAATGGAAATGCAGGGCAAGCTTATGAATGGAATCTTGAATAAAACACAAAAAACCCAATGTGGTAATACTAGATTCTGGGACAAAATAGATTTAAATAAGGCTTACGTAAATATTAGGATAGGGATAAGGTTTAGTAAATTTATTAAAATAAGCTGTGTAAAATAAACTTAAATTCAAGATTAGTTTTAACACCATGGGAGAAAATTATGGGGATGGGTGTTAATGAGGTACCGATAGTTTACCGTTTTTAACAGGACAATTATACTATTATAGTAGAGTTTCGCCAAAATATGAAAAAAACTGCGAGATTTATAAGCAAAACGTTTTTTTCGACTCGCCCTGTTTGATTTCTCCCGTCAGTTTTTTTGTCGACTCCATCTAGATCGAAAACTTTGAACTACTATAGGAGTTTGAAATTTTGACAACTTTATCATCGTAACTGGCCGCCAATTTTCGCACCCCGCGTCACACCCGTCCCCGATAACGACCTTGGGAGACAATTCGCTCGAGTGGTGTTTCCGTGATTTATTATCCGAAATTAATTTTGCATTCGGGGGCAGACAATGGCTCCCGGTTTCGCGTACGAATTCGCAGTTTTGGCCGCCTCCTTCGCCGAGACCTTGAACTTCGTTCCGCCCATCTCTCGAAGGGGTAACTCGTCGATACAAAAAGGGATTTTTGCGGGACGACCGAGTGCCGGAAACGCGAAAAGGGACGTCGTCGTCGTCGCCGCATCGACCCGCGCCTAAATCACATGTGAAGCCCGTTCGCCAATAAAAATAAATAGAGTCCTCCAGAGATCACGAAACGGGCGCTCCACGAAGCGCCATTTACAAGCAAACGTTTTTTTCCATAGTGACGTTCCAGCAGTCCAGCATACACGCGATTCGGAGCTTCTCGGCGAGTTTTCCAGCGCGGAGGGCTTCCATGGCGTCGCTCTGCTTGGGGAACGACCGATCCGTACCGACTGCGCCGGTCAAGACCCACGAAAAACGGGGCACAAACTCGAGCCCGCCCGGTGACGAGACAGTGCCCAAGAGGCGTCTGGTCGGTGGCGGTACAGACGATGCCGAACGCAGGTACCGCCTTCATTTCGTCAAAGCTTAAGTTTGCCAGATTATCCAGATATCAGAAAGAAACCCTTTTACGGTACCAAAAATTTGTAAATAATCGGTTTAGGCGACTTTAACATTTACATTTCCCCTCACTTTCCTTAAGCAAAATGACCCATTAAAAAAAAAGTAATATTAAGTAAAATAGTAGGCTTCCGAACAAATGTCTTCATGGGAATTCGATCATTCTATCATATGACATTCGAAATATCCGTGCTGAAAGTCACACAAAGGAGAATTTTAATAATAAAAATCTTACTTTTTTGAAGATAATTATAATTTAATTTTGCTTATTGTAAGGTCTGTTAAACATGAAATTGATTTTTTATGAAGGGCGAACCAAGACATTTTGGACCGATAAGTATAAGTATTAGTATACCTTACAATTAAATAAAATATGAGTAAGTTCATGATTACAGTTTATTTCACAGACATACACTATAAACAAATGTTGTATGCAAATGTTGATGAAACACAATATTTTAAAAACCACCAATAGATTTAACAATAATGCATTTTTTGTTGAAAAATTCAGTAGAATAAAATTTTTTAATCATTGGTATATAGCAAGGTACAAAATATATTTTAGAACGTTAACTAAAAATAATTCTGAACATAGCGGCCTTCTACACATATGGACAAAATTGATATCGGATGTGTTATCTCACTCAAATTATTTTAAAAAGTTTTGAAGTTTTAGATTGATTTTTTTACACTCCGTAACATTTTACTTGTCAACTTATACTTTGCTTTTTAGTCCAGAGATTTCCCTGTCATTTAAAACACCCCAGATTGAAAAACCAGTATGGTCTGGAACTATGCATAATTTTGAGGAAATTGCAACCCATAATACCCATTGTTCTACCGTGCGAACAATATATTACGTCATTTTTCTTTGGCTAACGATATCTAAGAAAATTCAGTTTTTTGAAAATGTGGTCGTTTGTGCCAAGATATCGGTTCAAAATTAGGTTCGAGAATTTTGCATATTTTTGAATTGTAATAAAATAAACCCCTATATAAATATTTTGGTTCACTCTTTATAAGGAATGATTTCATTTTTTGAAGACCACATAATAAGCAAAAATTCTCTCATACCAAATTTAATAAAAAAGTAAAGTTTTTATTTATAATGTATAGGCTATTGTTAAAATTTAAAGAAAACTACTAAAATTCTTCTTTGTCCAACTTTGTTCAGAACGTCAAAGAATACAACTCACTTTTTTCTAATTGACCGTAACTAGAAGCAGAAGAAAAATGAAGGGTCCTTACCAATTAAATCTTTTTTAATCTGTTTGCTCAGTCACAAAATACGGATATATCGCCACGCGCATGCGCAAATACACTGTCATTTACCTTCCTAACTTCATTCAAGGATCAGAAATTAATGAAATTTACGTTGAATGCATTGATTGCCATTTTACAAACTTCAAATGGTAATCGCGTTTAACTTTCTTGAAGCTGGCATTAAATTTGGATTACATCAAAGCTTAACCGCCAGACTAGTTTACAAACTAGCAATTTTTAATGGACTCGTGTCGCATGCGAGCATCATAATCGGAAGTAGTTTCGCGAAAACTAGGTAAATGGGACAAGGAATCAATTCGTTCGGGCGCTGTCCGCGAATTTCCTGATAAACCTTTGCGTATTATACCCAAACCGTTATCGATTTAAAAGAGGCACGGAAGAATGGCAAACAAATGCCGTTTAAATCTTTTTTAAATATAATCGAAATTCTCATCTCTCACGCACGTTTAATATCGGCAGCGCGGCGTCGAACCAAAAGGATAAAGGCAAATTGCTTCCCGAGTCGGACGTGGCTTTTTCGATCAATATAGAAACAAAGACCCACGAAGAAGTCGTCGCAACATCAGAAACTGATGGGGAGGCGTTGGTCGCAAACACAGGCTCACAAAAAGGAACTGCGAGGGACGATGTCGGCGAGACGGCCAAAGAGAAACAGTGCTGGGACATGTATCGCAAGATGATGGACAAGGGTATCGCGGTGTCATACAACACGATCCTCAGGGGAATGCTGACCCCGACGGAATACCGACTGCGAAGGAAATCACTGATATTCGAAGACGTGAAACTTCCCAACGACGCACAAATTAGTCCATACAATAACGTAACGCATACCGAGTGACAGTATAAAAAACTTAAATAAATAAACGATAAATAGTCACGCACCGTGTTTTGATTTTGAAAGTTATCCCGTAGACACCCGGCGACAAGATTTCACCGAAATTCTCGACGCCCAAATTCTTACGTCGTCAAGGGGAACAGAGGTTTTTTTTTTTTTAATTACGCTTTATTTGGCCTCTGCTGCTAAGGCAATTCGGCCAGGGAACAGAGGTTACAGTGGTAAATTCTTCTTTGATTGAAGTCCTGACTTTTCTTTAAGGAAGGCATTCTTCAAGCATTTATATATATATATATATATATATATATATATATATATATATATATATATATATACTTGTCGTAAGCTGGCCGAGTGACCTATTGCAGTCGTGGCCATTAGAAGTAAGATCCTATCCAACCGCAAAACAAATTAACCTCAAAAATTCAACGCTTTGAAATGGATCTCACGGTAAACTTTAAAGGCGGCGGATCGTTTGTCCATATCCGTCCGGTATTTTCGTCCAACGCAGAGTAAGTCTATTTCATAGTAACTGTGCCTTGACTGCACATCACATATTTCAGGCACCTTTTTTTGGCATCCAAAAATGCAATATTCGAATACAGTACCAAAACGGGCAGTTTATTGTACAAATATCAAGGTATCAAAGATGACATCGTCGGTTTCGATCGTATTACCGTCGACAATTTCGATTGTATATTGGCTTGTTCTAAAACCAAACAGTTGATTATGTGGAAAGCCGATACTACCAATAAAACAAAGATTTTTGAAACAGTAAGCGTTTTTTACTTAATTGTGAATCGCGACTAAATTTTCTTTTGCCTTGCAGCAAATTAAAACTAAAGGGAATGAGATTCAAAGGTTCCACCTAATGTCTAATCGTTTAAATAAAGATATACAGGTTCTCATATCTTATTCGGACTCTAATAATGGCTCACTTGGTTATTATGTTCGGTTCAAACTAATCAATATTACAACGGGCGAGAGAAAGTTGTTGAATTTCAAATTAAAGATATCGCAGCCTTATGATGTGGACATATGTGCAGGAAAGTATTTTGCTCTCGTTCAAGGAGGGACGGTGTATTTTGTCAGTCTCTCTACCTTAACACATAAATGGTATTCAGCTGCGGTTCGCCATTTCGTTGTGGTTGAGAGTGTCTATTTTCAGGTACAATATGGCGGAACACAACCGAAAATTCATGTGCGTAACATGTCACCCCACGGAGGAGGTTGTTTTGACAGGTGACGATACAGGCCGCGTTGTCGTCTGGCAAAACATATTTTCCAACCAAAAAACGCAGGCGGTCTTTCACTGGCATACCTTAGCTGTCAACTGTGTTGGGTTCTCGCCGCAGGGCAGTTACTTTTACAGCGGCGCAGACGAATGTGTCCTGGTAAAGTGGGATTTTAACAATATCCACAACAGATCGTTTCTGCCGCGTCTCCCCGCCGGGATTACCCAGATAGCACCGTCTGACAATGGCGCGTTTGTGGCGGTCGCTACTTCCGATAATGCTGTCAGGATTGTAGACTCTGCCATGAACGAGGTAGCTCTAATTCAGCAGTTAGTTTTGGGGACGCAGTTTGAGTGCGGCATCGTATACGACCAGGTCACGAGAGCCCTAGTTATGAACGGTAATGTGGGCTGTGTCCAATTTTACTCACCCGAAGATATGACGCTTTTATATAATGTAAGTACTCGAATATAAATTACGGTGTCGATAAGAAGATTTTGGGGAGGGAGTTTAATGTTTGAGGTTATGGGTCTCGTTTTGCTTTGAAGTTAAATAGGGTGTATAGATAATAAAGGCCTGTTTGAAACAGTGAAAAAAATATTGAGATGGACTATTTAATATGCGTTAATTTGAAGTCTCGTTTATAACCAACTAGACTCGCCCAGTTTAGATGTAGAATTTTTGCGGTGGTATTTTCTCGAGACATGCCCAGATCTCGTTAAATATTCTGGGAAAATGAGTTAAGCGTGTGCAAAATGCAAGTTAGTGGGTTAAATTTACGTTTTCAGTACATTAATTATCTGAACTGATTATTTGAGGTTGCCACATTTGATTTAATTTGATTTGATAGTTTCATTTTAATCCATATTATCCCAAGCATAAAAAAAATACTTTTTTGCTCTGAAATTGTTTATTTTGTTGCACTTAAGAATACATTACATGTGTCAAAAAAAAAATAAAACTCCAAACATACCAAAATTATATAATGTTTTGGGGCACATAAGATGTAACATATAATTTATACATAAATATACAACAGAAAGTTGAAATTTGATAGAAAACAACTAAAAGTAGATTGTTTTCCAAATAGAACCTGATTGGATACAAAAAACGCATAATATTTTATGATGCGTGAGCGCACCACTGGTAACACCCGTTTCATTTTTGGTGATATTTTACAAAGCATGAAGTAAGTAAACGCACATTACACTTATTACAAACGTAAATTGTGTGGCTGTGGCAGATTCTACATATCCTTCGGGCTTTATTAGCATGAACAATCATTAGGTGATCTTGATTAACATAACGCACTTCATCTATGGCAGGTGCAAGATTTCTTTGAGTAATTGTTTTATCAGTTTATAAAAGTCGCAAAGCAATGTAAGATTTAAACTCAAATCAATCACTTCATCATTATAAAAAATATTTCAGAGTTTTTCCAGAAAGCCTATTTTTTAGTTCCTCACATGATCTAAATTCATTTGACAGTAGAAGCAAGTCTGTCGTTTGTAGAAAGCATACGTCTTCTTTTGAATTCCAGGCTTTCATCATCTGATGAGTCCCATGCAGGTTCAGTAGTTGATGAATTACAGGACTGTTGAAGGACAGCTGTATCATTTGGTGTATGTAACTCGAAAGTTCTAACTATATCCAGTTGGTTCCCCAAACTCTTGTAGATTTATGTTATCGTTCATATCTTCTTTGTCAGTCAAGGTATCCACGTCGGGTGGAAAATAGACCTCGTCAAAATGTTCTGTAAATATTTTTTCACGTTATTTATAGCATAAATTTACAAAGAATTTAATGCTACAATACATAAGAATATGTAAATCCAAATAATACTTACGACTTTCATTGTTATTGGCCTCATCCATCATGATCTCCATAGCCGCCTCTAATTCCTTTTGAGTCAAATACCTCGGAAATGCCTTATTTTACGAACTGTAACGTTCGCTGCACGAGGCACAAACTAATACTAAAGAATACGCTAACTGTTGTATGTTTATTCTACATGGGCTGACTTGTCTAGACTTGCAATAACAAAGTTTTGTTTCACAGTTAAAACGAGTTTTGCATTCACGCACCAGTAAATATTTTCTAAAAATAAAGCATAATCAATATAGTATTTCCAATGTATATGCCATGTAATCTACATGCTATAGACTTAACAAAAATGGCAATACAAATCCAAAATATATTTTTTTACTATTTTGGAAAATGTGATACAAATTTATGTACCACTTTTGTTAACTTTTGAAGTCATATATAAGATCTTTCCTTTACACATAAATTAGCGATTTCTGCGGTTTTATGTCCTTTAGTAGTGATAATAATAAAATTTCTAAATGGATGTGCAAATATATTTCCCGGATGTGACGAAAAAATCATAGAATAGGTGGTGCATTAACGCACCACTGGGACAAAATGGGTTAATTAAATGATCCTACAATTAATCCTACGTATAATGAAAAACTCTATCTGAAACAGAAGCTCTGAAGAAGCTAACTTGTTTGGTGAAATATCAGCTAGTCAGAGTTAAAGAGAAGGAGAAAGCCTAAGAAAAATATTTACACTATTTATTTTCAACAAAATAGTCTAATTCGTTTCATTTCAAATTCTAATATTTACAAAGTATTAATTGATTAGCCTACCATTGATAAATAATCACAAACAATGGTAAATAGATTCCAATAATTAGAAAATATACACAAACTGAATCACCCGCGAAATCACCAATCAGTTTGTTTGGATCCGAAACATGGACCGTTGCAAATCGAACTGGCCGATGCTTCTTCATCACTATAATAGCTTATACATGTTTTGAAACATAATCTTGTCTAAACAGATGTTATTGATGCCGTTAAAAGACCGAGATTTAGTGCAAATGAATTTGTTTATTACTATTAATCTCTAGAATCTGTTATTTGATCCATCGATAAATTATTGGTGTCTAAAATTGAAAATCTAGAAACTCAGTTTAATATATTTATTTGAAATTTTTAGTTTTGCTTTGAGGTGATTTTGTTTTAAACAAAATATGTTTCCAGAACCTTTAATGCTGTGCGGGTTTGCTGTTTCTGGTTATGATATCTCTTTGTTTTATACCAGCAGTCATCGCTGCTTGCGATTAGAAAGGTCTCTAACAAAAACGCAAAAGCTAAACGAATTCAAAATCGCTCATGTTTTTTATTTTAAAACTTAAATATAAATATTTAACACTTAGGAATATTGTGGATAGTTATATACATTAAAAATAAAATAGAAATAAATAGTTTTACATGATAAAAACAATTTTTTTAATATACGTTATTATTAAACATTTAAACGAAAAAAAGTAGTTTCGAACACAAAAAAATACTGCCTGCTCTGACAAACGCTCAATCTGGATGATTAAAAAAAATAGTATCTTTATCTATCTAAACTAAAATTCGGAAAGTATTGAATAGTAAAGACAAATTAATCAAATTTAATATCCATGAAGCTGATCTTGATCCATGGTGTTTCATCTGGTCATGGATGAAAATAATTCTGTCATATTTAAATTTCTCTATGCAGCAGAAAATAGTTTTACTATAATATTCTTGTGGAGGTACAATTTACTGTTAAACAAGACGCAACCATTGTTGCATTACTAATTAAGATAAAAGGTACTATTACCTAAATTAGTACAACTAATCATTTTACACTAAATAACACAATCACATAAATGGTAAATAAAATCGTTTATCTTTTGCACTGACTAGCACGTCTTTTCTTCTGTTTCACTCTGGAATCAATCTTTACCCGTGCGGCCCAGTCCATTCGTGATATTATGTTAACGGTAAGACGTATACAGGCTTCCTTTATTTGTTGCAGATGCAAATTGCCTATACTACCCGTTTTAATTTTAGATCGATATAGTGCAGCAAAACAAAATAACCGACGAGCGCGGCTGCAGGATGGAGAACACCGACGTGCGGAAGGTCGCCTTGAGCGATGACCGTTGTTGGATGGCGACGGTGGAGGAGAGACGTGACGGGAATGATTGTCAAGAAATCCGGTTGAAGTACTGGCGATTCGACGCGGAAAAACAGACTTACGGGTTAAACACGTCCATCGAGTACCCGCACGATACATCCATAATGGATGTCGCGTTCCGGCCCGACTTACGGCGTCGCGACGATGCCACGACTTGTGTTACCGTCGGCGGGGACGCCAAATTTAAGGCGTGGCAGGTGGACCGAGTTACGACAACGTATAGTGAGTCGCGATGGGGGCGGGGCCGCATGGCGCTAAAGTCACGACGTTTCGTTTAGAGGACAGTCTCGTGTGGAAGTGCTACTATGTCGGTCGGTACCGCGACCTCGACTGCAAAGGTCTGTGCTTCTCGATCGACGGGTCGTTAATGGCGGTCGGTTTCGGGCCCATACTAACTGTCTGGTCACCGGATTCGGGCGATCTGAAGTGCTCGCTCGTGCATCCGATTCACAAGGCAAAAATCACTCGCGTCCAGTTCGGCAGAGGTAACCAGTGCCATCTGGTGGCCGCCGCTGGGCTCGCTCAAGTCGCCGTTTGGAACCTGCTGACCTTATCCATGGTTTGGGTTGTTGCCCTCAAGCACGTATCCCTTTTGTTGGCCGACCCATTGTCGACGCATATGGCCGTCATCACGGCCGACAATAAAGGTAGGGATAATAATAATAATATCCTTTATTTCCAACAAAATTATATTCACCAGCCTAGCGTAATTCAAAATATTTAAATAATAAACAGGACAATTGACAATATGCCTACCATTGAAATTGACTGCCCGATAATATGGATGAACCTCTTTCAAAAAAACTTGAGTTGTGTACAGGGATATTGTTCCTGGTAACAGTCGTTATTGACTTAGTATAAAAGTCAGAGTTGTTAAAGAGACTAGGATTTTTCTTCTCGAACATATATAGACAAATAATATATATAAGGAACAGTAAGTATGTTCAGAGTGTCAAAATACAGATAGTGCTGGGATACAACTTGAGAATGCTCCTAATAATTCTTTTCTGGATCTTGAAAACGTTGATTGCATGCTTGGAAGACTTCAGAACAGTTTCTCATATGGAATGCTAAACTGGACACAAGCAAAGTAGATAGTTCTTATTAAAAGCGACTCCATAACCCTGTGAATTAGGGCACAAACACTGTTAAGGCTTGAGCAGGGAGAATATAACCTACCAACTAAATGAGGAGTAAATATTCTCCTCAAACAATTTAATTTTAACGATACTTCGATAAAACTCCATTTTATATCATGTTGAATGATAAACTGAACGTTTTCTACATAGTTTTTTGTTTTAAGCCTAATCGGAGCTGCGAGCTGAGAATCACAAAACACATCATTGCAACGCTAATGTATCGTATAACCCATCCTACTTAATGATATAAAACAGGTAATTTAGTGATTATAAGATAATTGTGATGTAAAAAAACTTTCGATACTATACGTAATGGTAGCGATACTTTTTCTACAAATATCTGTTGGAAGCGATACTCGGCAAAAAATAGCTATTTGGTATCGGTAATGGATATTGCTGCTTTTTTTGGTCATTTGGACATTTTTTTTCTATGTACAGGGTGGCTCGTTTGAGAGGTGCCTATACCTTATCTCGAAACCTACAAGGGTTACAAAAAAATTTAGATACAAAAGTTGTTGCAATTAAAATGACCTTTAGTTTTTATAAAACTTCTGGATTCCTCCTGCGTCGGTTTTTGTTGAGTCGAACTAGCTAACGTGTCTCCGATCATCTTGTTGGCTTTTTCATAGCTTGACTGAAACTGGAAAAAGCTTTGAAGAACCTAACAGGATTGGTGAAACGTTAGCTAAATCGACTCAACAACAGCCGACACAGGCTACTGTAATACTTTTTATAAAACTTCTGGATTGCTCCTGCGTTGGTAAAATATGGGTCCTAAAATTCTAGATCTCCAGATTGCGCACCATACTTTCACGGATTTCGCCCCTACTGGTTTACTTCAAAAAGACATTTTTTATTTTCTGAACTCCAACACTGCGTATTTTTTCTACTAAATAACACCGCAGACATGGTAAATATTGATTCATCCGTCCAAATTATATTGTGAACTGTTATCTAAAAAATGCCTATCCATCAGTATATTGAAAAATTCGAGTCTTTAGTTAAAATCTGTTTCTTGTAGTTTTTGTACTGGTGTGACTGGGGAAATTTGACTCTATATTGTCTGAGAGCAAGAGCCGAGCTTCATTCTAATAGGTCAACTTTTTCCTCCTTCGTATACATTATACAAAATAGACTAATCGAAAATGCAACTTAATAAAATAAATAGAAAATAGTGGAAGTGCGAAAAAAAACGCTAAAATATTATATAACATTGATACATGTCAAAAAATCAGTAATTTGATTATGTCAAAAAGGTCAAAATTAATATCAATTTTGTGTTTTGTGTCTTTCAACAGGCAGGTTTCCATATATTTTTTAAAGACTTGTGGTCTATATTATTAAGAATATGAATATTTTTTAAAAGTTTTTTTCCGTTTAAGGACCTTATTTACAAGATTCTTAGATTATGAATGTAAAAGAATTTGTGTATTATTGGAAAATAATTGCCAATTAAGCCAAAATGGTAAGTCAGAGACCCGTACTGTTATATAATTGAAATTGCTATTAAAATGGCTATTCGAAAATCCAATAATATACAGGTCTCATTTAAGAAAATTGAGAAAAGTATCATTTTGGGAAACGTGGCAATACCGCGTATTTTAAGAAAATATTTTAAATTTGGTTGTTGCCTAAAAAAATGCATTATTTTCGTAAAAATAATAGATGGAAAAAAGTTAATAAGCCATCAAACAATGATGGATTAAACATAACCCGAATTGTGAAGATGATCGCTAATAAGTTCAAAACGGTGCATCACAGACCCATACTCTATATATCTTTGAAAGGACTATCCAAAAATGCAATGTGTTCTATTAAAAAAAAAAAAAAACTTTGTTTTATCACCCTGTTTATTAAAAGTGACGATTAGGTAAAAAAAAACATTTTTTTTTGTATTTGTATAAAAAATGATGACGCAATTAACTTGCACTATTTGCGCTGTATTATAGCAAAAGGTTCAAATATATCCCAGAAACACGAAATTTCAATCCACCTTAAAAACCCACGTTTGAGAGACTGTTACTAAGTAGTGCATGCTTATTTTTAATAAATCGTGCAAATTGCCAAAATCCACCTATCATATAATAAGAAACTGCCCAAACAACATTCAAATTGGACAATTTTATTTTTTCTCGAATGGTGTTGACGGTGCCGTCTTCTTTCAGTGTACGTGTTCGAGCCGGCGTCGCCGAAACCTGTGTACGCGAGTCGCCATCTTTTGGCGGACAAGGACACCGTAATCGCGGCCGCCTTCGTTCCCGGCAGATTCGGCAACGACACGCGCCTGTCGTGGTACGAAAGATCGAACCTATATTTCGTGACGTCACGAAAGGTGCTGTCGGTATCGATCGTTGCGGAATCCCTTTCTAACGCGATTCCCTTTTAGGAATTGTACAACGTAAGCATGAACGAGGAGGCGTTCGAATATGACGAGGAGGAGAAAGAGGAGGCGATTAATGACGAAGAACCGTCGTTTTTCAGGAAAACGTTGCCCACGACCAGAAGCGCAGGACTCGGGCTGGCGGCGCCCAAACGTCACGCTTTCTTGGAGGACCCGGCCAGGAAGAACCTTCACGAGGTAATTGCGACTTAATTTATATCAGATGGTGTGGTAGTTATTTTTTTTTATAGTATTTAGAGTCGCCATTGCAAACCCTGCCTCCCATACGTTTCCTGTGCGCGTCCCTGTTGAAGTCTTTGGTGTTGCGAAAAGAAACGCCGAACTAGATGGTTTTTATTAAATAGATGGAAATTTTGTTTTACCTTGCATTTTTTTCTCTGTGTTGGAAGTGCTATCTACAGGTCGGCGATAAAACATCACGAAAGAAGAAACAGTCAGTTTAGCGTGAGCATGTGTCGATGCCAGCGATGTCACTTAGCAAATATAAAATAGATATATAGAGGCTCTACTTACGCTGATAATACAGAACATTCTGAAGCAACCATGAAAAAGATGTCATTTTATATGCGCATGCGCGCTCATTTCAAATCCTATTTTCAACCAGGCGGTCCACCGTAAATATTTTTTTAACTTTGGTTAGTTTTGGTAACCGCCTTAGTCATGCAAAACGGCGGTCTACCCTGGAGGCAGTTAATTTTTTTCAAATGGTTGGTTTTGGTAATTGCCTTATTAATGCAATCTGGTTGGTTGGTTGTTTTTGGTTAGTGTTGGTTATTGCCTTGGTGATGCCAAGCCGTAGAAGGCTCGCTCCCAACCAATAAAACCAATGTGGTCGCCCGTCAATACATAATTATTTAATTAAATAAAAGTTTTTTAAAAGTTTCATTCTTTGGATACGTATACACGTGATAATCGGTGTCAGATGCGTCATGTGCTGCAGGTTGTCGTGCTCATCAGTTATATACCTGGGCACAATCTTCAGGCACAGCATACCATAAACTACCTCACACTAACTCGCTTATAGTTACTTTGTTTTTTGCATAGGAGAATAAAATAGTTTTGATTTTAATGAATTCTAGTTTGATTGAAAAGTAGCCATATGATCCGTGTACTAGGTAATTCAGTCATTTCACTATTACTACTAAAAAAATCGCTGTTGTATCCCTTAAATTTTTGCTAGGTATAAAGTATCTCTCCAACATATTTGAAAATTTGATTTCATTTTTGCACACAAACCAAAGAGACAATAGTATAGTGTTTTTCTGTTTATTTATGCTGAATTTTGCTTCCATGTATCAGATGGGCAAAATTTACAGTGTCAACTAAAGATCTTCTGTAATTCTGCAGTGTATGTATTGGGGATATGGTGAAATTTTAACTGTAGTCGCCCAATTGACATCAGCTGCACGGTGTTGCCAAACTGGTATTTCTATTCAGTTTTGCAGTTTTCATAATTTTGAAGCGCCATCTGATGTACTCTAAAGTAAACACGGCATGTAATATTGTTGTTTCTGTACATTGTTACAATACTTAAATACGATACTACTACTAAAAAAATCGCTGTTGTATCCCTCAAATTTTTGCTAGGTATAAAGTATCTCGCCTACATCTTAGAAAATTTGATTTCATTTTTTACACAGTATGATGGTGGGTTTATGCGTTAAACTCAAAAAGGAGATATAATAATATAAATATAAAAATACAAAATTATATAAAATCATTGCGAAATTTTTTTGGAATGGAAATGTTCCAGTTTTTCATGAATCAAGCATTTTTATATAACTGATAATTTACTGTTTTTACATAATTTTCTGGTTAATATAGCACTTTGACAACACTGTGTAGCTGAATGTCATTTGGCGACCATAGTTAACATTTCCCTTTCTATTGAAAATTTAACCAAAGTTAAAGCCGTGTTTAGTTCGAGAATTTTAATTAGAGGTACCAGTCTACTAAGCATTATAATTTTTTTGAAAATAAAAGACCAAAATATGCACGAGTTGCTAGCAGAATGAATGACAAGAAGAAACACGAACCAAGAAATGATAATTGAATTTATGGCAATAGACTAAAAATGTTATAAAGAACTATGGTTGCGCCAACTTACAATTTTGACAACTATAACCTCATCTACTAAATGCATAAATTGTAAAATTATTATGAGAATTAGAAAAGTGGCGGGTTTAACTGGCTTGGAACTAGGCGGAGTAATATTCATCGGAGCTATTGGAGGTTACTATATTTGGAAACCGTTATTGGTGAAGGTAGCGAACGAACAAAAATTCAAGAAACCTGAAAAAATTACAGAAGAAACCCCTAAAGACTAAAGCATGTCACTACTTAGACGTTGGGTTACCAAACAACGAGGTAACCCAATTTGGTTGCTAGTTGGTATTGTGATGGGTGGTGCAGGCGCATATGGGGTTTATAAATACACTTTTAAACCATGGTCAATGAGAAGGAAATTTCGAGAAGCTGAATCTTATGCTGAATTCATTTACAATCAAGAAAGCAGTACAAATTCGAGCGAATAAACAGTAGCATTGTATATACGATAAAATGACTAGTTTATAGGGCTGTAGACTTTTCCTAATATATGTTAACTAATTGTCCTGTGTTGTTTACATCTTTTTAAAAATGCCAGGGAGGAAACTTACTAAAAGTAAAGAAGTAACAGAATGCAACAGAAAAATTCTTTAATAAAAATATTAGCAGATTAATTGTTACTTCAAATAAGAATAAAATAATACAATAGAGTCTTCTACAACTCGATCCATTGTCAAAATTGTCACTTGAAAACTTTACCATGTCCGTTAAACATGTCCCCATAATCACGGACAAAGCTTTGAAGCCTTTCATCTGAAAGTAAAAACTTTACCCCAATGAATTTCATTAAAATAACGGACCTTTTTTGAAAGCACCAGCAACTTCTGGATTGTTCTGGAAGTAACAGAGCACGCTGTGAAACAATACTGCATCGTCACAGCTTTTCGCTGCTGTCAGGAACTTTCTAGGATTGGCACTATCATTGGCAAGTTTTAGCGCAGGCAGCACTTGCCCTGCGCTTAAGAGTATTTCCTGAATTTCTTCATGGGCCCCTAATCTACCAAGCATATCCAATGCCATTTGAATGGCCGACGGGTGCATGTTACCCAACGATAACAATAAGCAAGCTGCTGGTTTAGAGTCTGAGATAACACCATACTGAAGCAATTGTTGCAGTGCGGTAAATTTCCTTTGTCGTGCCAATATTCTAATCAAAAGTTCGTTTAGGTTTTGCTGAAGGGTTAGCCCACTCTCAGACAAGCTAGTCAAGTAAATTATCAATACCCGTTCGAGTTTCTGTAGATCTTGATCAGAGATCAATTTTTCAAACACATCATTATAAACTGTGTCCTGATCAATCAACACCCGCGGGCACAATTCATTTTTGGGCGATGGATATGGTGCATTTACTGGGGAAGCCACTTGAGATTGCATCTCCCTCTCCAGCCAGTTGCTGTATACCCGATTTATGTGGTCGAATGATTCTCGCAAATCTTGTAATGGTGGCTTCTCCTGAGCCAGAGCTTCCAATAACAAATTCAGTATGACAGCCTTCCCGTCTGTCCTATTTAGCACAACCTGTGTGCGCAGAGTAAAACTTTTGATATAGTTGCAAAACACTGTCAGGTTCAATTTAATATACCACAAGCAACCCAATTTTGCGTCGATCACGATATTTGGCTGAAAAACTACCCAATTCGGAGAATCTAATAATTTCCATGAGAGACAAACATACATCGTTCAATTCTAGTAACTCATTTTCTAAACTAGAACGAATAATGGCTATAAAAGGATACATAATTCACAAATGTGCATTTGTGGCTCAACAATCCCGGGCAATGTTAAACTAGTAGGTTTCATGGATTTAGCTGGTGCGACATTCCCGTGATATCTAACATGGCCGTCATGTTCCCCGGGAAGGGCGATATCAAACACCTGTGAGCTTCTCGAAGCCTGCGATTAAATTTTTTAATTTAGTTCTGCTAGTTTCCGTGCAAAAATCTTGCAAAGAATTCAGTCTATAACCATAAAACACCAAAAATGGTCCTAAAAGGATGCAGTCTGTATCTAAAAGGCTTCTCCACTAAGCCCCTTATACTGAAACAGTTTCCTTCAACAAAAAATATAACCTTTTTCTCCAAGTTTTTGAGAAACTTGTTTAATAAATATTTTAAATTAATAAACTTGATTAAAATTGATAATCAATGAAGCCCATTTATTATTATTATCTCGATTAATATTAAAAATCAAAATTTAATAAGTGAATCAGGGTAGAGGGCAAGTAAGACAAATGTAATCTTGACATATTCCAGTTTTTGAAAAGAATCAGAGCAGAGGCGATAACAGAAGTCTTTTTAAAGAAGAAATGTGCCAGATCCTTATGAAGCAATTTCTTTTCAAATAAAGTGGTTTATAATTGGAATTGTCTTGGTAAGGAAACTATATCAACTTCTATTGATCAGTTTAAAAACAGACTTGAACAGGAAATTTATGTTTATTGTTGTAACATTATCTTCTTTCTAAACAAAACCCCACTGGATAACATGAACTATGGGCAATTTGTCATGGCTTTCAATAATAATAATAACAAATTTTCTTCTATACCTGATGATGCACCAATATTAAATCGTCGACAACATTAATAGCAAATCTTCCTGACAAACCTAATCTCAGTACATGCGACTTAAGGGGAGCTTGTCCTGGTCCATTTAATAAATGTACATGAACTTCAGCCATATGTGGTCCATTCTGATGTCGTAAAATCAACACGGCCGCAACACCATAAAGGGTGGCAAGTGTTACATCACGTTCAAGTGCCATTCGACCTGGTTCAGCTTAAATTACCGTTCCTCGAGTCCCTACCGTGCACTGTAAATTTACTCACTTTCAACTTTAGGCAATTTGTTGGTGGCTCCCGGCTTTAAGACAACTGGCTGCAATTGAGAGCCATGTGCAGATGCTAAAAGAGTGATTTTGTTGGTAGGACACCAAACAAACCATTGCACCGTAACAGATGTAGTTTTGATTTGTTTTAAGGATCTTTTTTCGGGAATAACTAAATATAATTCAATGCCATGATCTGTTACAATCGCTACTTCCCTTAGAGTAGACCACACAAAACCAAGAATGGCAGAATTTTTTTTGCAGTTGATTGCATATTCAGTATCCACCAGAGTATTGTTAAAATTCATAAACTCTATGGAATTAGTCGCTCGCTGCACAGCTAGTACTTTATGGTCTGGTGAGAACTTAATAGACAAAACTGGACCACTGTCTTCCATTCGAAAATTCAATGGTGGCTCATTTTTTGAAGGGCCTTTGACTACCACCCCCATCACACCACCTGATCGGACTGCGAAGATGTCTTTGTTGGAGTCATCGAAAAATACGTTCGTCAACTGATTGACCGGTTCAAAACGAATAGGATCTGGCGTCAATTCCAAGTAATAATCCTGCTCTGCGTCCATCTCTGTTAATCCGTTTCTTAACCTATATGAAACTGTGACAGTGGTCGTAGTTGTCCATTTTCACTATTTTGCAGTTGTCCTACAATAGTTGAAGCCCAAACTTCAACTTCAGACAAGTGTGAAAAATAGGAGATATTTTACATTTTCATGTTTTTGACAACCGAATGTCACAATCAGGTGTTCCGAAAAGTGCTATCTTCCTTTAAAAAATTGTGCGTCAAAATTAAAAGCAAAAGTAGACGAGTTTTTGATGTCGCCCAACTGTATATTTTGCAAAATAATAAACCGCGAGTCACCTGCAGACATTCAATTCGAAAACGAGGAAGTTATAGTATTTAAGGATATTAAACCGGCGGCAAAGCACCATTTCTTATCGGTGCCCAAAGAGCATATAGTAAACGTAAATAGCCTTTCAACTAAGGACCATAAAAACCTCCGTAAGTATGGTTAGCCGTATTTCATAGCAAGGTTAAATTTAAAGGTAGCATTTGTAGAATTCAATAACCAACAACTTGTGTTTTGTTTATTTGGAAACCCCATCTTTCTCAGATTATTCTTTTGCTTCATAGCCTTGTTGGTAGAGGAACATAATGCAGAGAAGAAGGCCAAACACTAAAGATATACAAGATATATTTGGTCATATCACCAAAGTGATATAGGGAGGTTGCCATTTTTCTGGGTTCAACATTCCAATTCCTCAGCAAGTAGTTTTTTAGGCTTTTATAGAAGAGGCCAGTTAGCGTTGCGTTGCAGCCTTATAAGTTTTTAACTTATTTGTCTAATGTTGAACTTCTCAGTACAAATCAGGCATTACACAAGCATCCACACTTCACATTTTTACACACACCTACAATTTTCAATTACAATTTGAATTTAAAAAGAGAAGTTATACAGCACCTAGGTGATAAAAGACCTATAATGTGCAAATAATGAATATTTTATTTTGCAAAAAATTGTTTTTTTTTAAATATAAATTGGAGGAATAGCCAATTTATAATATACTAACAGCTACATCAATAATCTATTAAATTTCTGCGGATTTACAGTAAATCTTGTATAGTTGGCTATTCGGAACAATGTCTTTGTCATATAGTAGTGAGAAGACATAATTTTCTCCTGGATTTTATGATTTTTAAAATGTGGTTTTGAATGATATTTAGTTTCTACAAGGCACACTAAGATACGATAACATTAAAAGAAGTAAAGACTTACACATGACCTGACTTTTCTGATAAAAAATATAAACCAACTTTCTTATTTTCTTAGACATACCTGATTTTTCTACCTCAGATATGAATCAATAATTATTCCCAAATATTTTATTTCAACATTTTCTTGAACTATGTTATTAGTTCCACCAATTTTTTTATACTCAAATTCTGATCTATTTGCTCGGGGCAAAGAAAAGGCGATGTGGCAGTATAATATAACAATCAGCATAGAGTTCTGTGCAAGTGACAGAGTTGAAATCTTTTCAGTTAACCGTTTAATAGAACACGGCAAAAGGACAGTGGGGGACTCGGGAGGAGATGTTCAAGATTTACGCTTGGGTTTCCACTTGCCACCTTTCAACTCAGTAAGCCATTTACATCTGCATGTGATTTCTCCCGCATCCCAGATGTCCATTCTCAGTAGGGTCATTTTTAAGCCAAACACTTGGTGGTTTGCTTCGGTAAATGCACCTTAGTTAAGCCACTTATATGCTAGGTGCTTTGTTTGTAGGTTGAACAGATTGGGGAAAAGCTCGATGTTTTACAAATCAACAATCAAGAAGGTAAATTATAATTCGGCTTTGGTAATGTGAAAAAATGTATTTGGTACTGGTATAAATAGGCTATAAATAAATCTTCTGTAATAAAAATAGACCTTCAAGGATTGTAAAACATTAATAAAATAGTGGCATTATGGTTGAATAACTAATACTGAAAGAATGGAAGATATGGAAAAAACCAACAATACTAACCAAATTAGCTAAAATTACCAATTGTTAATTTTCAATTATGAGTATAATTATTTGATAAATCTGGATACACCATGTGTTATAATGAACTTATGTATAATTCCCTGTACCTTTAAAAGGAATAAATCATCTATCACAAATTTATTATGTATCATTTCGTACAAATCAAAGCTGTAAACAATATAATACAGTGGTACTAAACTTTGATCTTTTTCAATTCATTGGAATTTTAAATCATTTTGTGGGAAGAACAATCGCGGACCAAGTCTCTGTAGCAACTAATATATGCGATTAATTTTGAATTAATATGCATTTAATAACCCTGTATAGCTTAACGTGAAATAGAAACTTTACGATGAAAATGAAGGATACATCTACCAACACTTCTTTTGAAATAATCACATTTCAATAAGCTTTTCTACAAAAAAAGAGAATCACAATCCTACATTTCTATTTTAATATGTATACATATGTACAATGCGACATTTTACTCTCCTGCATTCCGAGTTATATATATGGCCAATTAAAGACTTGGGGTGAACAAACTTATAACTAAAGCAGCTAAGTGAAAATGCTGGAAAGTATTTTTAAATTTCCAGAATAGCCGCTAGGGGGCATAATGCATGCTTTCTTGAATTTTAAACCCCAGTTTTTGAGAAATAATTTTGTGTTACAGAAGGCAAAAAAACTAAAATCAATCAAGAAAGAGTCAACAACTCTAAGTTTGATAAATACATTCAGTCATTCTAAAGTTATTGATATTTATTTCCAAAAACGTCCTTTCTTTTAAATGGGAGGGCAAAAACAATTCACAAATATAATATTTCTAAAAAAATTTCAAAAATGCGATTCTAGAAATTAAAAATTTTTAAAGCATTTTCTCTTGAATCTTTTATTTATATAATAAAATATAGATATAATTAGTTATAAAAACAAGGCCGAGTGTCCTTAATTGGCCACCCGGTATATGGTCGCCTACAACCCAAGATTTTTAAACATTTCCCCTGTTGCAAAAGAACTATCAGCCTTAGAAAAACTAAATCATAAATATTTCGTTGTGATGCTGCAATAAAAACTGAGTGAACATGTTAATTGGCCCTATTGCCGCCAGGGACATGGAAACCAGCTCTGACCAAACCAAATTTGGACCAAAGACTACAGCCAAATTTTGGGCATTCATTTTATTAAGGTCTGACCGTTCCATTACCCTTGATAAGAAACTGATTATATACTTAAGCAACTTATAATTGTCTTCGGGCAATTTCTCCATGACTAGTATTGAAACCTGCCTCAACTGCTCATCTTTATTCCAACTTTGAAACTGCACAATTTCATCGTAAAGCTCATATGTTAATAATGGTTCTTTCAGATCTCTTAGAAACTTCTTTAGCAGAACTGCCGCCTCATGGGGGTCTTCAAAGGTCAAGGACTGTCCAGCATTGGCAATTTCCTTTAAAGATCTTACTTTGTTGGCATTCGCTGATCTCCTGAATATACCCTCAGTTTCCAGTGCTAAAATCAAAACTGGTACCGCACTTGGATCTTACTTTATATTAGCTTACCATCAGGTTGATCCAAATATTCCACACACTGGCTAACCACTGGAGGTATTAAAACATTGTAATGATCCCTAATAAATTGCAAAGTTACACCAAACTGTTGTGTTGGCAACACGGGTCCAAGAAGGTTATTTACCACCGGTAAAGGTTGCAATGTGCCCCCAAGCTTTTTGTCATGCCTAAAATTATCAGTTATTTATGCTTCATACCCGGATTGACTGTGGCTTCCTTACTCGATGATAGCGCTTGGAATATCCAATTTATCAACAGGCACAAAATCATTCAACTCTTTAAGGGAATTGATATAATTTAGCTTTTTGCCAAACTTGGCACTAATAAGAGGTCTGAATATTTGGGACACAAACTTTAAGAAGCTGGTAGGATGGACTAGATACAGGGCTTTCAAATTCTTCTTGTAATTGCGGTCAAAAGCTTTGTAAGCTTGTACTAACCATCCTAATGATGGTTTATTTTTACTGTTGAGACCAAAGTGGAAGTATATAAGGCTGTAATCTTGCTTTACATAATTCTCTAATGTGTACTTAAGGTAGCTAAAACAAACAATTGTTACAAAGACATAAATCAGAGTTCCCTTATATGAATGATAAGCATAAGTAAATCCCATTTGTGCCCCGTCTAGCGACACTGTGACAACTACATGAAAATTTGTTGTAATACCTTAGAAATAACGTGTGATCGATCTGCTTAATTGGTGGCAATTTGCAAGCATAAACCACAATAATTTTCCTACCGACTGAGTCATCACCTTTTACATCCACAATACCATATTTGGCAATTTCTGAGTACTGTTCGGGTCCCGTTGCCTCTCCCACTGCGGGATATGATGACAGAAACATCAAGCTATCAAAATTTTCATCAATCGCTTCTGCCAATTCTTCCTCAAAATTATCCTCAGTAAAATCTGATACTGGTGAGCCCATCCCATTTGATTCTATTTGTATGAATTCAGCTAAAAACAATAATGGGACAACAATAAATATCATATAACATATAACAATAAGTGTGTACCTGTAGTAACCACAGCATTAGGGCTTTGGTGTAACTCTGAATCATCAAATTCAAGGTTCGGTTCATAATCGTGATAGTCCGACAGACTCGGGTAGGGCTCCTCATTCTCAGCAACTAAATTCACTGACCAAACACATTACAGCACCAAATGCAAATAGGAAGTAAATCTACTGTACCTGGGCCAATTTTGGAAGGGCTAATTTTGTTAGTATCCATTGCAAACTTCAACTGGTCATATCGCAATTTAACACACCCACAAATGTTTATTAACTGTTAGAAATACAAAAGCTACCGGGACCGAGAATAGCAACCATCGCTTTTCATTAATGAAAGTAGCGTAGGGTTGATTTATTAAACACTTCGTATTAGTTTTCTTACAATGTTTATAACGCAAAATATGATGATAAATCACTGATTTGACGTAAATTTAACAGTTAGGGTAAAATTTCTTCATCTTCTTGTCGTGTTCCATGGTAAATCTCCTTCTTCTTTTTTTTAAAGTGGGGAAAATCAGTAAGGGACATTTGCTCATTACCGATATCCACCGAGAATTTTTATATAGCCTGCAGCATATTTATCCAAACTCTCTAATACCGACAAATTTGTTTTTCATAATATCGTTATTGTGGCATTGTTTTCATGAAGTCTTTGTCATTATATTTCTTAATATAATTCGTTAGCGGAATGTTACGTATCGTGGAATTTTGAGCAGATCAGACTATTACGCTGTTTCTGTGTCACACTGACATATATCGCATACGACAAGCCTTCTTCGAGATTCGAAGAAACCTCCCTGTATCAGCAGTAGAATCATATTATTACCGTAATGGGCGAGTGTCCTTGGCTAATTAAACGGGTAGGAAGAAGTTTTTCATGATAGCTTGCCCTATTGCCCCATCCAAACAAAAAGTGAAAATAGTGAGTAAACAACAGAAATGAAAAAAAATATCGAAGTTTCGAAGGTCTAAGCGGCTTCTGCGATCCCAAAACAGGCAAGAAAAACAGAAAGTGCGAAATGTTTGACTTACATCCATTTGTCTTCTAGGTTCTATTTCAACTTAACAAAAGAATAACAGAAATTAACCAAAATCTTGTATATTTGTACATGAAAATTTTTAGTTTCTGTTTTGTTTAGTTGAGTTATAGTTGATGCATGGGTAAAGTATGAGTCATCACATTAAGGGAGCGATATATATTATTTCCGCTTTCGGGAATGAGAGAAACAAAGAAGTTTTATAAAGATACATTTATTATTTGCAACGTGTTGTCCACAAGTACGTAGATAGTTTTTTAAAAGTACTATAACAAAAAAAATATATAATTCAAATACATCCTACTAAAAAGCCTACATTAATTTAACTAATATGTACAAAATAAAAAACTATTGTCACACTCTGGTTGAGAGAATTTTGTGCAGAACTAAGTAAACAAATTAAACTTGTATGTCGACTAATATATCCATACAGTAGTTTCGAGATTGAAAAAGTTGCCACTATCCTGATTGCGCATAATGCGGTAGAATATGTTGAAGAATAAAACGCTACCTATAAGAAAAGTGACAAGTTCTATTTAAAAACAGCTAGAGTGGCCCGAGAATAAAGTGTTAACAAGACTAGAACTTTTTTTCTTTTTCAGATGAATGCAGACCATTAAAGTTAGACCCTTGGGTGTATCTATGAATATATAGGGTGATTCAAGGTGGATAACAGAATGGACCATTATGAAAAACGAAACCTGCAAAATTTTGCGTTTAAATAAGCACAAAAATTTTCCTTTTTTTTTTTTAAGTAGCAACATATCTGATAAATTTCGCGGCTATATGCAAAAAAGGCAAATATGCAAAAAATTGAAACTTGCTTTTGTTTCGGAATCGGTACAGCAAAGAAGTGTGTGGCATCTAAAAATACACAGAACAAACTTTAGAATTTTAGTTCGCTCGTTTTTATTTAAAGTAGATAAAAATGAACAAATTTTAGTTAAGTCATTAAATTATATAGCTAAGTAAATATGGATTTTTTTACCACATCTCATTGCCCAAGTATCTTATCTATAGTACTCAATGATGTGCCACTAGAAGTATGACCCTTCCAATTCACTTGCATTTATTATATATTGATATATTGATACTGGAATATTGTTTCAGAATAGCTCCTCAAACAAAAGTTTTGCAATTGTAACTTTTCTGATACTTCTTCAACTATAAGATAGAGAACTGAATTACAACTCTTTCAGATCAACTTACACCTCATTACAAAGTTTAAAATAGTGCAATATCAATTTATTTGCAAAATCATTCAATTAATAAAAAATATTTTTTACACTGCCATTCTGACGATGCAAGAATATATTTCAAAATTAAATTTGTTTTTGGTCCCTAAAAGTTGATAATAGGAATATTACGCATATTTGGGGTGAGACTATTTTGTATCCACCTAATGCTAATGAATGTTCTTGGAGCTAAATGTAGATACGCTGGAGTCACACTTAAATGTCTGTTTGTGGAAAATCCCATGGATATTCACAATATCACATGCATATTTCTGGAATATGTATAATCTGAGAATTTGCAGGAATATTATTTTGCTATATTATCATTTAGTGGTAATACGGTTTAGAGTAATGAGTGTAAAAAGTGTAAATGTTATTTCAACTTTATTTTATACGGGGTGTTATCGAAATGCACACAATCAAACAAGTGGGTGTGGAGCCCACGCTGATGAATCGATATTTTGTTCCATTCAAATCGGATAAAAAGGCTATTTTTTCATGACCTCATCGGGTCCAATATGTAGACTATAACTGCAGACTATGCAATAATAAATTTCAGCTCTTCCCAAACACTGCCTAAACGACGAGAAAAAAATATATAAAAATGAGAATAACAGAGCTGACAAAGCAAACTATCCAAGATGTAGCTACGTTTTTTAAGCAGGTTATGTAAACGTCCACATTTTCATGTATCTCATTTTACCATCCACGGCAAATCACCCTGTATATAGGTATATCAAAAAGAATGATACGGTAGCAGAGTGAATAAGTGAACATTTGGTGCGCTCTCGTATTTTGAAGGCACTTTTTACACAATGAATTTTAACGTTAGAGAGCAATGAAATTCTTTAATTTAAAAGCGAGTTTAGCAATTAATGGAGGCTATGTCTGAATTTTAAACGTCGCACGGTTAAAAATTGGTATTGTTTAAATGAACGCTACCTCGGGCAATTTGAACTGCCATTTCGACTTGACGTTTTCACTTGTTAACTCTACTCGGTATACATTACAACTTAAATTATAATTTCGTCCAGCACTAAGTATTGCACGAGAGATGTGGAAAGCCAAACATAAAACAATACCTGTACAATCGTCAAAACGGTACTATACATTCTAGGGGGCGCCACAACGGGCCTAAATATACATGTTCAAGTATATCGTCATAATGACCTTGCCTTATATCCTGTTGAGCCGATTTTCTTAAAAAGTATGAATGATTTCAATGGGCGTCACGTTAGAAAGCCTCTACAATTGTGACTTATCAAGTCAGTTTGCAAGAACATTCTCCTGATGGTTGTTACTACTTATTAAAATAGAAGCATATTGAAAAAGTAAATTTACATTTTAATTATGGCTTATTGTGCACAAAATGGTTGGTTTTTACCGTACAGAATATTGCATATGTCGCATTTTACCATTTTTTTTGTTCTAAGAACACAATTCACCAACATGGCCATATAGGTATATCGATTCCTAACATTTGGTTGGGAAGTTTATCGCCTTCTACATGTTGTAGGCGACGTAAATGGGGTCCAGTTGATCGGCTAGAAAGCCGTCGCGCAAGTGCATTCTCTGCTTCTCGCCCCGCGAGTTGATGGGAACCACTCCCGGATCGACAACCACAACTACGCCCACTATAAGATGGTGCTCTTCGAGGACCGTGTTGGTGACCAGGGGTACTAAATCCAACGCTTCGTTTTCGTTACCGTCTAATTCTACAACGACCACTAGGAGGTTTGTCCACGTAAAGACAGCGCTAAAAATAAATGATCAAATTAAAAATTAACAAAGGGAAATAATTAGACGTACCATTCCGCAATTTTTTTGTGACATCGAAGGACGCTATTCTCAATATCTATGGGATGATATCTCATGCCTCTAAGCATGATTGTTTCGTCCAGGGCGCCTACGACGAAGACGGCGTCGTGAAGTTCAGAGGACTCTGTTGGAACTAGATGATGAGAAGATCCAACTGATTCATTATCACTTTCTCGGCTCAGCACGGTTTCCTCAGTACAAACCCTGAATGAAAAAGGGACAGATTCTTATAAATCATTGTTGTTCTTTTAAATATATATGAGGAAGTTTAATTAATTACTATATACCATTGGAAAATAGAATATACAGGGTGTCCCAAAATTAGTGGACCAAACTATAGCAGCATATTCCACGTCCAAAATAAGCTCGTTCTCTATATAAACGAGAAACGTCCGCTAACGGAACCACACGTCCTAAAAAGAACTAACCTGAAAATGGTTTTTTACTAATATTTTTGAAACAGGTTGAAAGTAATTTTTTTTTATCAAACTGGAAAAGTTGTCTTCTGTTATGATAAAAACGAAGAAAATGCTTTATAGTTTGGTCTACTAATTTCTGGACACTCTGTATACAGAATGTCTTATATGGTGATGAAATTTAATCCCAGAGGTTTCTGAATCTCCTCTATCGATCTCAAATATTTCAGTGTCGCAGTGTTGCCGCTTCCTTCGAAAAGAAGCGACAACTTCGATTTTTTAAATGGGACAACTAAACTATTTCTCGAATGAAAAGACGCCGATTTAAATTCTTACTGCTGGGTTAGTTTTGGTTAGTTAGGATGGTGTAACATTATTGAGTATACCATCGAAAGTATAGGAGCGAGTGTTACAATAAAAACTTTTTAAAATCCTGGAACCACAACTAGAGCAACCTCAAAGCGGATTCAGCAAAGGGAAGAAATATACACGACCCTATCTATAGCAAATTATGGAAAAGGTGGAAAACAGTAATACTAATTAATAATTAATAATTAATAACCAGTACATCCGGTTTCTTAGTATGGTATAAAGATGTGGAACCCGTTTGGATACGCGAGTGTGCGTTTGCCGATGATGTGGTTGTGTTTGCAAGAAATGAAAGGGAAATTAAGAAGAACCTGGAAATCTCTAACAACAGGCTAAATGAGAAAAAACATAAAATCAATGAAGAAAAAACGAAAATTATGGTTACGTCCAAAACAAATGGAATTCTGAACATTGAATTAAATAAGAAACGTATGAAGAAAGTTGACGATTTTAAATATCTGGGGGTACAGCTAACTAGCAATGGGTGTCACCAAACAGAAACTAAATGCGAGAATAGAGAGTGCCTCAAGACCATTTCACACTTTAAAATCGAGCTTCATAGGAAAGACGGAAATATCAACTAAAACCAAAATAATTATATACAAGTGAATATTCATCCCAATTTCCCAAAAATGACGCGATTAGAGAGTGATTGAAAGTACAACCATTTCTGAAACATACTGAGAAAAGATAACTACGCTGGTAATAAGAATGGACAACAAGAGACCAACGGGGAAGCGAGAAGATCCAGCCGCCAATACTGAGGAAGACCGCAACTAACATGGGATCAGAACATAGCGAATATACTAAGAGAAAGAGGAATGACATAAGAAAAGATGGAGCAAATTTATATATGACGAGATGTAAGTTTGCGAATTTACCTTCTTAAGCAAAATTGACAAAAAGTCATTCCACTTACAACTTGTTTTTTTTTTATAAATTTCAAATATGTGTGCGAAATAATACCCAATTATTTACTTGCTGACGTTTCGCCAATTATTCTGATGCCTTCGTCAGAGCTTAACTGAAACTAGGTCCGATTTTACTCTGTATCTGCTTATATACTGTTGGAGGGCGGAGCTAAAGGAGGGATATGAACATTACCTTCGAAAAGTTGAGAGATTTTTCGACAAGTGATAAATCTTGTTTTAACTTTTAATATGAGGTCAGTGATATTTTGAGTGTAAGGATCACAGTGGCAAGTGTGGGGTTGCTTATGGACACATTTTCTGTGGAAGGTTGTGGTGAAGTGTATAATGTGGAAATTAGAAGAAAGAAGAGCAGATGTAAGGTGTTTAAATTTTCGGTTCGGTTCGGGTTGAGATAATTTTACGGCTGTGAGAGAATTAATAACCGATGGCTGGTTTGAACAGGTCTCCTCTAGCTTACTCCCCGCCCCCACCCACAGTTCAAGTTTATTTGAAAAATAAATGTCTTACCTTTCTGTGCCTTCCGTCCTCCTTAGGAATCCCAAATAGCCCGTCCTCGCGTAGATCTCTCCCGTGTTTCCGGTCACCAGTTTGGCGTGAAAATGATCCCCGTATTCCGACTCGTCTCCGTAGATCGTAAAATAACCGCTAGCGTTGTGACCGCTCTGCACCCAGATTTCGCCGAGATGAGAATCGCCGCATTGGCCTTTCGTTTCCGGATTCGCTATGATGACCTTAACTCCAGGCAAAAGTTTCCCGCTCTCCATCAAACACAAACTGTGCGGGCTGCCTCGCTCCACCAAACTGACTCGGTCGTTTCTTAATGCACGCAGATCCACGTAGACGGTCGACGGTTCGGGACTCGAAGCGCCTTGAAGACAAATGGCTACGTTCACCCTACAGCCGAATGAGGTCGACACGGCTCTGGGACTCAAACCGATGGCACTAAAAAGCTTCGAAAAGCTCGTGGTTAAATTGATCCGCGGTCGTTCCTCGGCAACGACGACACACGTCCTGACGCAGCTCAGACTCACGCCTCTAGCTTTGAGCTGGCCGACCGAAGTGCCTAGGCCTTTCGTGCACAGCTCCATTACGCCGTACGAGCAGAAAGTGTCGCGTACTTTATACTGGCTTACTGCTGACAACCACAATGATGGATTCACTTCGACTTCTGAAGGCGGTATAAGGATGGAATGGTGACCGGAATATATACTACTTAAACACCTGGAAGAGCAAGATCATCGGTGCTTTAGAGCATAAGTATTGATCAACTCATAGATCAAGAGAGATAGCATTGAAGGGCTGAGGGAATGTTTCCAGTGTTGGACATCCTCGAAGTTTTTTACCGATAACACCGAATAACATTTTTATATATTGAACAGCATAGTTAAATTGCATAAAAAACGCTTTTAAATGATGCGTCACATGCATGCATGCCTCTTAAGATTCACAAATGCAAAATATGATTTTGTATAGTATATTATATATACTATACTTGGTATAGAAGATATTGGAAAATACAAAAGTTTTGACAGACCAATTAAATTAAAAGTTTTGGATAGCCGAGATACCATCGAAACTACTATTATAAACAATACAATACAAGAAAAATAAAAACTTATATTGCCAGCTCAATAATGATATCATGCAAAAGCTTAATAGAGGTTCTAATTTCTTTGAGACTGTAATATGGGTCGGAAATTTATGATCGATATTGGCCAAACATAAATATTCTTTAAACTGTCGCCGGGGTACATAACAAGTACGATTGATTTTTAATTTGAAAGGTTACACATATATTTTGGAACGATGTGTAATAAGAGACCGTAATCAACCCGCCTGTTAGGTGCTTTATGAATTTTTGTTGTCGATGCATGTGATGAGTCTGTGCCCGTGCGGTAGTGTAGGGAAGGACAGGGGAGGTAAGGTATGTTTTCATAAGTGAAGGAGCGGACGATTAGCAGCAACGTCGGTTAAGGTACTTTCTGCGTTTGCACGGCGTTTGGATCAGTAATTATACGTTTACGTCAAGGCAATAAAGATCCCACTAGTTTGAATCCTAGTTGTTTAATGTTCCTTGAGGGAGAGGTTACAACATAACGTTGTTTCAACAAGACGGTGCTCAGGGACTAAAGAAACTAAAGGTCTAACGAAGACTCTCAATTTTGGTGAAAATTGGCTTGGTACACATGTACCAACCAGATAGCCTCCCGCACTTGACACCCAAGCAGAGCCGAACGATGCATGCATAGAGCAGAACGAGAGTTATTTTGAGCACCAGTTATGATTAAACACATGTTAATTGTTATAAACTAGGTTTTTAACATACCTACTATACATAAAGCAATAATGTTTCCATAATCAACTTTTTCCGGTATTTAAACTATTTACAACGAAGCAAAACATATTCACTTGCAACATCAGGAAAAAATTATTTTTTTGTTAGATATGTACATCGTCCTATTTAAGAAAATTAAAACGTCCATATTTGAAGTATGTCACTAGATTATACGTAAATAGTCTTTAAAGTTTTTAGAAGTACCCTTCTAATACTTCTAGTTAGACAAAACGCCCCTAGACAAAACACTAAAACATAATTTAGTTTTTTTGTTATTTCCTACCATTTGTATTTGCTTAGAAATAACCCCAAAATTGCAAATCTTTGAGTCGTCTATAAACGAAATTATTCTCGTTTATAACAACTCTTTCAGAGAAAAAAAGCATACAGGGTGTTTCCGAATTCAGTACCAAAATATTAAGGGCATCATATTTATGAGACAAGAATATTATATTATAGTATATTAAAAAATCAGATTTTTATTAAGTACTCAAAAACCTTTTAGCTTATTTTCAACAAACTTGGCACGATTATTTGTCGTTATATCCAACCCAACTCACCAAAGAGAAAATCCCAGTCCGCAATACGGGTCTAAACACAACGCAATGTGTCGACTGGGATAGAGTTCGCAAGCCAGCTTCATGCTTTTGCAGAGATTGGTGACGGCGGCGTGCGACATCTTGATACCGGCGAGCATGCCGGTGGTCGATACACTAAAGTCTAAATACGCTAACATTTCGGCAGTAGGAGCTCTGAAAAATAACTCTGCTCTATCGCGGACCTGTGAGTTGCATACTGGGTATATACCTATAAACTACGGGTAGCTTCTTCTTGGGCATATCGTCCGTGTCCAATATGATCGGCCACGACTTGATATCTACTACATTGCTGGCCTCCTTGGACCTGAGCAATTTGATCACAGCCTGAGTTGACAGCACCAATACCGACATCGAAACGTCCACGATCATGCGGACCGTGGGCAGAGTCGTTTGAAGGTTTTGCGGGTGAGGCGGGCGGATGGTAACCGGAACCTAGCGGTTAATTTATTTATTAACGAAATTAATGAAAGTACTTATTCTTCGGTTTGGTTTCAAATGATCTTTTAAAATGTTAAATCTTCTTCATCTTAATAAGGATAAGTGCTTTAGTCTTTCGGACTTTTCTGAACTTTAAAGGCATACGCAGCATTTTTAATTACTTAAATTGAAAAAAAAATTGGTAAAAATGTCAGTGGCGCACATTTTTTTGTGACAAATATTCGATAGGACACCTCCGCGGACGGCACTGCACTTTTTTAAAAAATTGTGTCATTTTGAAAACTGTGCATTGCAGGATTCATGTTCATATGAAAAATATTCTTATTTTTTTTATGTTAAATTACTCGAACGGTATTTCCGGTATACATTTTCTAGTTTAGTTTATAGGTCTAAGAAAGAATGTTGCAAAATGGCAAACAACCTTAGAAAAACACAACCGCAACAGGTTGACAATACCGGCAAAGTCCCAATACAATTGTCACTACGAAACCTAACATATATCTACAAAAAAGCTAAAGATATGCATAGGGACAAGTGTTTTTATTTGCTTTGTTTGTGATTTTCAATGGGAAGCTCTAGAAAATAAAGTTAGCAATAAGATATACATCAGTTTTGATGCTGTTACAATGATTAAACGTGATAGTACTAGAGTATCCCATAGGAGGGTTTTAGAATCTTGTTGGCGACAGTGATGACTTTTATAAATTCCCGAACTTTTGCAACTGCCTACAAAAAGGCAATGCAGAGTTCTTTACATGCTTTTGATCCTTTTAATATTGGCAATTAGATTGTCATTTGTAAATATCATCGCTAAGGATTAATTAGGATCAACTACGAGCTTCTGTTCAGTGACAGAATTGTAGACTCTATTCACATCAAAATTAATACTGTCGCTTGTCCCGTTAAGGCATTTCTCAGAAAAAATAAAGTACAGTAAATTGTTGTTCGCATAAAAATGATAATCACAAAACAGTAATGACATTGTAAACATGAATGTAAAAATCGCAAGTAAAATATTCCCTTATTAATAGTCAAAGGCCCAGAAGTTCCTTCAAGTATTACTTTTTGTGGTTAAAAAGGATGATACGAATTTACAAGACACTTCACTGAATCCTATTTAAAGGAAAATTGACATAAGGATTTTATGATTTACCAAGGCAATAGGCTGCTTATCATCGTAAGCGTTAAAATTATCATCTATTACATCTTCAACAGTGCTTTCACAACTAATGACTACGAATTCTACCCTAAAGCTCAGATCCGCCTGTTGTAAAGTGGAAGGGACCATTCTTTTCAGCACATGTACCACAAGCCAGGGCTGTATTTAAGATGTTAGCCGACAAGAACTGTGTCGTGCGGACCGTTATATTTTAAGAGTAGGGAAATTTACTTTGATTAAACTGTTATATTAATTCATATTAGTGTGCTTTTTATAAATCTTCCTAAAACAGTCCCTGCTTTAGGTCGCTCGATTTTAAATTGAATTTTCCCATTAGATAGATTGATCTCCTATATTAAAAATACTTTAGAAAGCTTAAACTGATTTTCAATTTGAGGGTTTAACAAATAGGAAAATATTAACAAATATTTTCCTAGGAAAGTAATACAATATCTTATGTAGATAATTGATTTATAATGGATGTTGTCCCAGTTTGTTATTGGCTGATTTGTGGGGGTTGGTGAAATCGGAGTATGCTGTCAGTTATATGAAGTTATCTCTATTCCGTCTTGTGTTTGTAATTAGTAATTACCAACTTGCTGTGATTCAATTGTTTTTCAAGACTCAATGTGCCATTTTTATTGAGGTACTACTAATACCAACATTATTCAATTTTACTAATACTAATACTAATCGAGTAATTTCATCGATGAAACTGTACAAAAATCCATTAACTTTCATCATTTGTATGCACGCAGTATCGAACATCATTGTGAAATTGCGAATCTATTTATTGAGGGTTACAAAGAGAAACCCAAGGGAGGTAGGTCTGCGCTTAGACTTTCATAAAAATTTACCGAAGTTAAATACCGTATTATAACGTAAAAACGGTATATCGTTGGGAACACTAGAACCCTCTAAGATGGCGCCGACTACAATTAGTTCTCTGTCGTCGCCTAAAGAAAACTCGTGAAATAAATTGCAAACATTGTTTAATGAAAGTGGTTTCTAAGGTCAAATGTGTTAAGTGTACAGGGCTGTTTTATCCAGCATGTTTAAAACATGCATTGACAGATGAAGCGTTCCTGAAAGATGAAAATAAACTACTTCGAAAAATTATTAATGATAAGGAAACTATCATAGCGGTAAAAGAAAATCTCATTATGTTACTAAATGAAAAAATTACGACGCTGGAAGAAAAGCTGAAAAACAAATACCAAAATAAACTCGAATTTCTTTCAAACAGTAAACCGAAGTATGACGCCACAAAAAAGAACCTCTCACAAAAACCTGACACTTCAGACACAACAAACAAAAACTCTAGTATGAAAACAAATATACATCGGCAAGTTCAGAGTGAACCAAAACAATTGTTAGACTCGAAAACTGTTTCATCGGAACTCGTCAGAACACAAACTACAAACAAGTTTGAAGAAATAATCAACTTGGATAATGGAAATATACAGGAGACCACAGAGGATGGATTTCAAAAAGTTAAATCGCGAAGAGGAAATTATAGAAATCATAAAAGAGGAACCCCTTTGAAAGGTTTGAAAGGTTTCACGCCATAAAGGAAAATGAGGGTAAGAAAATATGGCTTTTTGTGACACGGGTACCGAGTGATGTCACCTCAGAATTAATGCAAAACTATATAGAAAAACGTACGAACTCTACTGACACTATTGTGAAAAAATTGTAGACCAAAAAGAAAAGCCAAGATAACCAATCTTTCATGGGCGGAGTTGAACCAACATTATAGCAACAGGTGTATGAAGAAAGCTTCTGGCCAAAACAAATTTTATTTAATCGATTCGACTTTAGATTAGGACAACACTTTCTAGAAAATCTACCCGAATCTGCAAATAATAACAAAAACACAATTATTAGACTTAACTCTTTTTTATAAGAGGGCTCAATAGATCATTTAAAAAGAAAAGAAAACAACTTGGAAGAAGGTACAAAAAAAAACTGTTAAAACTGTTAAATGACAGACAGAATTTTGACATTTTATGCATCACAGAACTTTGGCTAAGTGAAGCTGAAATATCTTCATTCTGTAATAATGGGTTGCGCAAGACAGACAGTTACAGGTGGAGGTACAGTTATTTTTTTTAAGAGTGATCTGAAGAACTTTGAAGTTAACTACAATATTGAAAAATGTTTTGAATTTTGCTGTGTGTATTTGAAAGGTTTCAATATATTCCTCTTAATTGTATATAGGTCGCCGGTAGGCCAGTTTGACGCCTGTTTGGAAGCAATAGACAAAGTTTTGAATTTTCATGACGCCAGAAAGAACCTTATGATAGCAGGAGACTTTGCATGTGCATGTTAACACCAACGAAACAAACACACGTTGACTTATCGAGTTTTTAGCTTGCTTTGGTCTAAAACAGATGGTGTATGTGGCGACCAGAGGAGATGCGTGTTTAGATAACATTTTCATAAGTACTGAGTTAAAATTTCAGCATATATCAGTGTATTAGATCTGGCGATCTCGGATCATAAGGATCAGATTGCAGTTATTACCTGACACTATGCAACGATCCAAAAAAATGTGCAGGCCGATCACACAGATGGGACTGAACCAATTTCACGGTATCATATCAGATACATCTTGGAGTTTTATTTTAGATAACGATTTAAACGTAAGTGATAGATTTAGTAATTTTATGGATGTCTTGGAATCTGCTTATATTGTAGATTGTAGAGAAATGTATAGCTAAACAATTAGTTCAATATTTTGAAATTAATGGCATTTGTAATAATAATCAGTGTGGTTTTAGAAGAAATAAAAACACTCAGGCATTCTCAATTTAGTTTCACACATTACAGATGCATTCCAGAATTGGCAACACTGTATTATTTTGTCATCTCACTAAGGCCTTCGACTGTGTCGATGGAATTCTTCTGCGTAAGTTAGAGGCTTATAATTTTTCAAATAGCAGCCTTGGTTTGATGCAATCTTACTTTAGCAATAGATGCCAGGTGATTAAGTACTCTGAAGTGACATCAGTAAAGAGTTAGGCGAACATTGGAGTGCCCCAAGGGTCAATTTTGGGCCCCATATTATTTTTAATATATATAAATGACCTTCCCCTTGTGGATCCTTACACATTTTTGGCTGATGACACCACTGTGATGTGGGATTCATTAGAAGACATGTTGCAGAGTTCCAGGATCGCACAGGAATAGGCTGAACATTGGTTTAGTGCCAATAAATTAGCTTTAAATAATGATAAAACAGGGACAGTGGTTTTTCCATGCCAAATTTAAGTTAAGTTAATTTTAGTAAAATAAATACCAGATTTCTTGGTATCCATATTGACCCAAAACTTGAGTGGGACTCCCATATAGATTTTGTTGCTCAGAAACTGACCAAAAATTTGTATTTGCTTCGACGCTTGACCGAAAATGTCTCTTCCGGTGTGTTACGGACTGCATATTTTGCACTTTTTCTGCGATCTTAATATGGGGCCATGTTGCTGGCAGGCACCGTTTGTATAGATTATAACGAAAAGCAATTCAAATTATTAGTGGACTTGATTGTCGGGAGGGCTGTAAAAATGCCTTTCAAGACTTAAAAATCTTAGAGAATCTATTATTTATAAAGAAAAATCTATTTACCACTTATAAGGAATTGCATGACCATCAAACCAGAGGTGGACACAATGTGGTTATTACCTACTACCGCTCGGAGATGTGTCAAACTAATTCAAATTATTGGTCCATTAATTTTTTTAATGCGCTTCCAAATGCTATTCGTAATATACCATTTGAAATGTATAAACAAACAGTCAGACGATTTTTAATTAATCAGCATTTTTATTCTTTTGATGAATATTTGTATTTCAATTATAATGTACCAGGTATTCGTATACTTACCACCCCAACGTACAGACACCCGTAAAATGCGCAAATCAAATCCAGTCCGGGAGGGAAGATCAGCGCGACGTGATCCCCTGTGTTGACGTGTCCTTTTTCGACAAGGAGATTGCCTATGCGTTCAGCTTTCTTGTGCAACTCGGCGCAGGACAGCACTTTGGCAGCAGCGCCCTTACTGTTCAACAGCGTAAACAGGACGTGGTCCGAGGTGCTCTGCGCCCTCCACCTTAGGATTTCCGCGATGAACTGTTGCTGGAAAGGCGAAAATTACGATAAGCGCGTCTCGAAACTATAGATGTAAGAAGGTGAACCTTACCTTTTTGGATGAGTCGCTGTCTTCGTCTAAAAGACCGCCGATATCGCGACCTTGGGCGCTGGCCAAACGGTTGCCCTGCACGAGATTGCCGACGATAACAGACGCAGGACCCACGTCTGAAACACAGTCCGTTGCTGAAACGCAAGAGGAAAAACGACATGCTATAGCAAATCACTCAGAAGCGATCAATAAGCCAATATTATGGAACGCCGTTTTAATATTTAATGAAAATATTTTCGTACAACAATTACGAGAAAACAATGCTTTATTATTATTAATATTATTATTGTGTATAATTTCAGTGTTTAAATTGAACCGATTGAAATTTAATATGTTGAACAAGAACAATTCACATTTTCAACAAACAATCTTATTCATGAACCATTTTAATTCGTGGAAACATAAAATAAAAAACAATTTAATTGACAAACTTAAATTTTGGTAAGATAGTTTTATATAGACATCAGAATTTCAAGTTTATTTGTTTTATGAACACTTTTATTACGAAATTTAAATATTTATTATTTTTATGAGCGACGTATTAAATTTTAATTTTGCGCTGTATATTACGGCGGTTTATATAAGTTTTGTGACGTCATGATGCCACAACTAGAAATCTTCTTTTTTTTGGCCGCTCAATTAAGGCTTAGATCTAATATTTCAATGTAAACAAACAACACTTTGCTGCTTCACTTGAATATCCTATGATTAAATGTTGACAATCTAATCGGCTAAACAAAGTGTATAAATTAGCTACCATGCTATAATACTTTATGAAGTTGATTATTTAACTTAAATCAGTTTTCGCCATTTATTGGAAAGTAGTCCGAATTTGCCTAACTGAGAAGGATGCGCTTTTTTGCAAAATAGGAAAATACCTTCTAGTAGTATAGATAATTGACTCAAAATTATTGTCATCCTCGGAAGTCGTAGGATTTGCTACTTAATCGCGCAGACGACGAGATTTGGAAACAATAAATACACCCACTCCCTTTCCTAGGTATAACACATGTTTGTCATTACCTAAAATGCTTATATTCCAACAGAGTGCCCATTATAACTATTTCACTAACTTGAATTGATTACAAAATTATATAGGTTACATGCACTGACTTGGAGCTGCCAAAAAAGAAGAAGAATTCGAAACTTACATAATTACATACTTACATACATTACTTAAAATGTTTGCTGACAATTTAAATTGAAACATTTTTATTCATCAATCATAGAAATAGAAATTATTTAAATTCAGTTTCAAAACGTTTAACAAACATTTGATTCCAAAAATATCTTTCATCCCAATTATTTTATATGACAAATAAAATGATTGGCAAAACATGGAATTCTGGTGTTTGAACGTTACAAATATTTAAGATGGCGAATTAGATTCTTTCTTTATTTTATATTTCATGGAGTACGTTGCGGAAGTTTCGGTTTAATATTTTAAATTAACAAATAATTTTGTCCCACAAATTATATTTCAATCGGTTCACTGATAAACAACAAAATTGTTTCATATCAAAAGTTATTGCATTAAGTAGCAAAACAGCATTCCATACAGAAACATGTTATTTGTTATATTTAAAAAGTTTGCTTACAAATTGTCCAATACCTTTCAATAAATTAAATAAAGAATGCTATTTAAAATAACATACTAAACATTTACATTAAAATGATTCAATTTTTATGTTGCATAATTTTTTGTTTTTATTAAAGGGTAATACGGCGTTCCATAGAGTAAAGTCACCGAACATTATGATGCAGAAAACATTGCCCGTCTCACTCCTCACCTTTCGGCACTCATCAAGAGTACTTATTAGCATTCGCCTCGTAGAGGCTGTTGTGCGTATCACTGTATTTATATACAGGCTGTCCCAAAATGATGAGCAAAAAAGGACTGATTTTACTAGCTAAATTCTGTCAGAAGCTCAAAAACAATGCAATTAAAGAGCGTCAATGAATTTTCCTTAATACATTTTTTCTATTTTTGCGATTAAATTTAAATAAAGGGCACCCCGGGTGTCCCGAAATTCGTGGGCCAAACTATAACAGAATATTCCAAATATTTGTCCAATATAAGCCTTAGTTTTACGTATAAATATGTCGAGAAACACCCCCTAATGGAGTTGCATGTCCTAAAAGGAATTTTGAAATTTTGGGGATTTAGTAGTTCTGGCATGCTGAATCTGATTCTAAAATTATAAAATGTGAAATTTGGTATGGAGAGTTTTTCGAATAGAGATTTAGTAGAGATTCACTGTATTTGCGGTTTTCGCAATGATAACACGTGAGCCGCTGTATGGGAGTAAGAAAGACGGCAACCACATCGGAGAGTCTCTTCTAATATACATAGGTCAGCAAGACTTGATTCGCAGGATTGAGAATCGAGGGAAGGTAAAACAGAGTTGATGAAAATCCTCAAATAGCATCCCCTTGTAGGTTTACCGATATGATATTTTAATCTTTTCAGATCGACATTTTTCTATGAAAAGAAAAAGTTTAGCCGTTATTCCCAGTTTTGTGACGTAGGTAAATAAATTTTAAGCGTAGTAGAATGACCCAAATGCAAGGATTACATCTTTACCATTTTCTAAAACTACAGGATTTAAGACCCAAGACTTTCCAAATCATTAGAATTGTGCCAGTGGATTCTTAACCATTAAGATATTTTGGACCAAATTTTATTGTCTTTTTATACTCACAACGCGCGTTTCTGGAGTAATGACAATCTGAGGGGCCTTCAATGTTAGTTCAGGCATCATAGGGAATAACGTTAATAAGAAATGAACAAATGAAGAGGCGCAGTGAATTTGGTAGCCCTTATCTCAACAAGTTTGTGTGCTTAATGTCAGAGAGTTAGTTTTATGATGATTGTCAACGCTTCCGAGACTGGCAGGTAGACGGACAGGTACTTCACCTGCCGCAGTATTTAAAATTAGAATGATACAATCCGCTTTGCGGCAGTTATTGGTAAAATTAGATCTTGAAAATGGCCAGTGTTTCTGAATTTGGTTCTGAATGTGGTCAAAGCTATTTGCCACCAAACTTCATCATTCAGAGTCGCAAAAACAGTTGAAAATGTGTTTGAATGCATAATGAATACGCATTAACAAACATACCTAGTTAACTAACCAACAATATGTTTTCCTAAATTCTCTGCAGTACTATTCAAACAAGCGTTTAACACATATAGCTAATTAGATAATACAGTGGCCCTACCTCGGTAGAAGGTATGGATATTTTGCACATGCGTCACCCCTCAACTGACTAAGTTGTGACATTGCCGTATTTTTGTTGGATAATTGATTGATTTTGATAAGAACGCAACATCAATGTTTGAAATCCTAACATAATTGGCAACGCCGAGTTAAGTTATTACTATTGTCACAGAATAGTCTGTGCCCTGTGCCAAAGTATAACTAAATTTCTGCATGGATTTTTAGCATATAACAATTTTTAATTGGCAGTTTTTGATGACGGACACGATGCATTTTTTTCCAGCAAAATACGCTAATTTATTTCAATGGAATTTCGTTTTTTAATTCGTGATAAAATAAACAATATGGCTAAACTTTCTGCAAAAATGTTTTGTAATCACTATATTAGAAACGAGAGAAATGAGGATGTTTCTTTGAAGAGATAAATAAATTATACTAATTCTATTAATTAATTAATTCTCCGAAACTAACTTGTTTTATAATAGTCTTTAATTTTCTTGGTTATGTTTTCTAATACCTACAATTTGTTAAACAATTTGTCCATTGGCACATTTTATATTTATATCTTTACTAAACTTGCGGTGAAGGAATGAGCGTTCTGTCTATAGGAGTTGCTTCTTGAACATTTTTTCTACTTAGATGTTTCTTGTGCGATATCTAGCATCTCTAAGTTATATATAGACTTTTAACAGCCATCTTTGGTGATTTCCACTTTGGTTACATTTCCAATAGAGCTTAAATCTATGAGTTTATGAAGACTAACGCTTTGCGCCGATTTACAAGCAAAAAAAATCGGAAAAAATCATGAAAAAATACATTACACATACATAATTAATTACAGAATTATGACGTGAGTGCACTGCACTGCACTGCTTTTTCACACCTTAACTCCTTTTTTGCCTGAAAATTTAATAGGATTTCGACATATTTTGAGAAAATACTGCCGAAAAAATGCCGCTTTCAAACATTAAAGATGTGCCACGGGCCATATTGCTTGTTGAAAGAAAGCGTCAAGGTCTTTTGGGTCCAACGTCAGAATTTGCAATTACAGCTACCATATGTCTAGTAGCTATATGGTTTAACAATAAGTGATGATGTTTTCGTAGCAATTTTCAAATCCTCATATTTCTACAAATTACATTACATTTTTTTGTAAAATCTTTTTAAGTTTGGTTGTCTACTGTAACCCATTGCAAAATTTTTTGAACAAACTCAATTTAGTTTATATCTCTATTGACTTGCAACTTGCATTATGGAACACGTAGTATTACATAACGACAACGTTTTATGTAATTTCCTGGCAGAATCGAAGAAACACAACAGTTTGGCAACGCGGCTCATTTGTATGAAATTTGGCAATTACAGTTAAAATTTCCCCATCTACTATACATCTAAATCGCGGGATTACCTCGTTTTAATTTTTGGCCTATAAATTAGTATGCTGTGGTGTCATTCTAAAATATGGCAAGTGCCCCCAAATTATCTCAATGTTAGTATTCGCCATGCTTGTTTGAGTGAAAAATATGTCCATTATGTATTTACCTGCGTGCACTTCTCTGGGTTTGGGCAAATTCGTCACACAGGTATGGGGACACATCAGCACATTGGCGGGATGGAGGTTACCTTCCAGGAACCGTCGTTTTGTCTCGGAGAGATGTATGCCGCCCAATGGCGTTTTGGGTAGGTAATTGGGCGGAACTAGGGCTAAACAGTAAATGCCCACTTGATGGATCGAATCCACCGCCTGTAGAACTCTTGACATCCATTGAAAAGACTAGAATAAAAACGTAGGCGTTTTTTACATGTAACTCAAGAACTTTCCTTTAAATACGGAATTGACAAAGATTCCAACAATGTCCCTCAGTTGAATTAATTTTCTAAGACATTTATTACTGACGGTAGAGAATTAGCAATTATATCCCTGTATCGATATCACGTTTTGCGAGCGCATTTGAGATGTTGTTGCATGACCGTATTTTCAGCCAAGTGAAACACTTGATAACTTAGCTTGCTTTGTAGAATTCACTGCTAAACGACAAAAGGCAAATAGATGTAGTATACAGACTTCTCGAGGGCTTTTGGCCGGATATACCACACTGTACCTTGTGGAATTAATAAAATCATATAACAGAATAGAGTGTAGAGATAGGTCCACGGTCACGCATCCTTTAGGTTTATGGCTAGTAGAGGCGCAATTGATTTTCTTACTCACTTTTCATTAATGATATAGTTGCTAACATTGATTTCAAATTCAAATTATGGTCTTTGCTGATAGTGATTATTTGGAGGCAGTTGGTTCTTGGTGGGCTTCCAGTAATTTACCCCTGAATACAGATAAATGCTTTGCAATGTCATTTTCAAATATAACTGGTAATATTAAGAACTTGTGACACTTTTAAAGACTTGGTTATAACTTATGACACAAAGTTATCCTTTAGTAAAAATATCTAGCGTTTTTTAGCGAAACTTTCCAACATACTTTAAAATTCTTATGTATGCTGGAATATAGAGGATGGTTTCACAAAATGGCAAATATTTAATATCACCAAAACTGAAAACAAAGTGATCTATGAGGAATGTTTAAGGTTCCTTTACTGGTAAATCGTAGAAACTATGGAGCTTATTAGTGAACTACCTTGAGTTGCTACGCCAACTGAATTTTCATGTACCTTCAAGGATTGTAGGCATCGCCTGTATTTTAAGTAGTAACCCCAAAAAATAATTTTTTGATCAAAGATCCTTTCTACCAGTTGATGAAATTATTTAATCACTTCTGTAATGATACTGACGATTTCTGTCTCACAGTTTACCACATTAATAGAAAACATATTTTTGTTACAGTGAATATAATGTGTATTATTATTATGTGTTGATTAGTAATAGTTTATAGATGTTAGGATAAAATTGTCTTGCAAACGGATGTTAGTCTGCTAGACAATAAAGATCATTATTATTATATTAATATACCTCTTCTTCACTGCAATCTGGCCTCTGTTCTGCAATGACGCAGATCCTTTCGTCCCGCAATACCCTGATGCTAAATACTGCTATTCTGCCTCGGTAAATAAATTTCATGGGCTCAACCGCTAATACAGTAGCGATTATGTCGTCGGCATTGTGTTTTCGTCCAGTAACTGTCATCAGGCCGTCCCGTGAACCACAAACGAACACCAAACCCCCGGGACCGAGGAAACCCAACAATCCGCTACGGGTGTACTCAGTTTCCGATACCGGTTTACCATCTGCACCTAAAGGCTGAATCTGAAATTGAAACAAACATTTGCAAAACCTGACGCTCAACAGGAAACCTAATTGGACCTTGAACGTGGTATTGCTTAGTCCGGGAAGGCCCCAGTATTGGGTTCCGGTTGCGCCAGAGTTGATGCAGATCTCACCAACTTCGTCCGTTTTGCACAGATACGAGGGTCCTTCCATTTTTACTACCACTATGACGCATCCGGGCATTACCTGCCCGCAGTCTTGTAAAGTGAGAGAGGTGAGGCTGTTCTCTTGATCTACCCTCACCACCCCGAAGCTTAGACCTTGCATCGATAAGACTCCCCGACCGGTCGCGTTGACCCCGCCCCGTCCGGGTCTCCTGACAGATACCTAAAAAATTCAAATAAAGTATAGACGTCGCCCACGTTTAATCAAAGGATTCTTCGGATAATTTTTTTAATTTCTAGCAGGCAGGCAATCAAAATTACCAACAAAAATTGTAAAATGAATAGTTTAGAAAAATATTTCCGTGGTGTCTACTTTTCGATACTATTGTATGGTACCTGGATTATTCTTGAAGATAGTTTTAAATCATTTTTTCTTATATTAATTTTCCTAATTAAAATTGAAATATAGAGGGTGAGCCAAAAAATGAACATTTCATACTTTTTACAAAACTGGATTCCTCCTGCGTCGGTTTTTGCTGAGTCAAAATTGCTGACGTTTCACCAATCATCCTGTTGGCTTCTTCAGAGCTTGACTGAAACTGGCTCGTATTTTACTCTGTACCTGCTTATATATTGTTTGATGGGTGCGCTAATGAGGGGCATAAACACCGTCTCGGATGACTGATTCCCATATCGGTGACAGATAAAGACCTGGGTCGCGGTTAAGATTGTTAGGTTGTTTATAGATTTCTATAGACTATCGGATTTTTCGATGGTAGAATCACATGCAAGAATTTTAGTTTTATCGAATAAAATTTTATGTCCGGTTTCATGAGTGTGTTCGGCAACAGCTGATGAGTTTATTTGTCTTAGTCGTAATGCTCTTTCATGTTCTTTGAGCATAGTTGATATTATTCGTCCGGTCTCTACAATCAGCTCGCAATAGCGCCCCTTCAAACAATATGTAAGCAGGTACAGAGTAAAATACGAGCCAGTTTGAGTCAAGCTCTGAAGAAGCCAACAGGATGATTGGCGAAACGTCAGCAATTTCGACTTAGCAAAAACCGACGCAGGAGGAATCCAGAAGTCTTGTAAAAAGTATTATAGTAGCCTGTGGAAGTTGCTTTGAAATAATTAATGAACATGTCAAATCCAAAAAGCTAAAGTTAACTACCACATAAAAATTTTACTTATTATTATACAAATTAGGTGAAAACTATTGCTCCAAAGTTGGGGCACACATTTCATTAAATAAAGTTGAATTTAACATCCCATATTTAGTGACCTGTTTTGAAGCAGAGTTAGATTCCCAAAACCATATTAGGGCTCCCTATAAATATTTCCTCTGATTTTTAAACAAAATTTTTATATTTCACTTATGTAGTAGGCATTGGCCTAGATGACGTTAATTATTATTTTGAAGCAAAATTTATTTAACAGTGGCACTATTAATTAATTAAACCATTATCATTGTTTAACTTAGTTTAAAATTATTATCGTTGAGAAAGATATTTTAATTAGCTAAAATCGGAACTTACCCTCAGGAAGGACGAATTAATATGATTTTGGTAATCGGTGAGTGTCAAGAGAAAATTAATTAGCGTCAAGAGTGTCTGCCCCATATTGCTGCTAGAAGTAGTTTTTAACCAATGACCTTGCGGCATTCAACAAGCAATATGACCGATGGCAGATCGTCACAAAGTTTGTATGCCTAGATTTCGATAAATGTTTGGAAAAACTAGTTGATTCTGCGAAAATCGCTGTTAAGAAAGAAAATTCCGCGAACTGCAGCTTCGACTTGAATAAGGAGACATTGCATCCAACGAATAATTAAAAGTCACAAATTTTACCCACATCATATTCAACTCCGTGAACAGATTTTTAAACATTATGTTCGATGATTTAATTTTTGTTTATGGGTTTTAGAAAATATTTGGCGATAATATGTACTTTTTCCCGATGTGACAACTTTTCATAATAACGGATTACATAGTAGACATAACTTTTGCTATTATAGAAAATCCTAATATATTTAGAACCATTGATCACCAGCATGTGTGGGGTGTAATAATGGGAAACCGAATGGTAGGTCCATATTTTTTTGATGGTCGTTTAAACGGCGCCATGTTGTACTGTGGATGTGGATGTAGCCAGATGGTGTTTCTGCATACTTTGATAGAATTGTTTGAAACGAGTTAGATCGACAATATCCACATAGACAGGCGAGATCCGCAAAACTGGCTAGCCAAGTTTTCAGACCTGTCAAGTCCTAACTATTTTTTATAGGGATATATTCAAAATATTGTTTATAATATACCGTCAACGACACCTCAGGTTACGAAAGTACAAATAACAACGTTTCCTTCTATATCCGGAGTTTAGCACTTATTTCAAGAAAGGGTTCGCTTATGCATAGAGCAAAATAAACATTTGAGCATTTTTTAAAGTAATACTTCTTTTATCATTTAATTTTGTTAATTGGTCAGTAAATGAGTTCAAAAATGCCTCTCAGGATAGAGAAATTAGTCATAAGTAAAATATAAAATAAACATGGGATTTTAAATTTCACTTTAAGAATTTATTTAATAAAAAGTGTGCTCAAACTTTGGGGTAATTTTCCCACCGCTCAGTATAATATTAAGTAATAATAATAAGTAAAACTTTTGTACGATAGTTATCTTAGCTAAGCAGTAAATTCAATTATAAGCAGCTCGTTACTTTTTACAGGGTCTAAACAGTTTTCAAATTACAGTCTGTAGTATTTAATTTCTTAAAATTATTCCGAAACGATCAGGTTTAAGTATAGGAGTCCCATCAGTAACTTACCTTTATTTGGTTTATAGTAACTAAAGGTATAAAAAATAAGGTATTCTATAAGAAAAAATATAAATTTAATATGAACCTTTTTTGGGTCACCCTATAGATTCCATAATTATTTTCAAATATGGCATTTATGGGTCCTCATAATACTGTGCTAAAAATGTTTCCCCAACTTTTTACATATTTTGGAGAGACCTCATTCATTGTTCTGTTAGATTACACCTTTCGTGTTAACTTTGTAAATAAAAACAGCATATTAGTAGAACTATTGCTCTGCATATTTTTGCTCTTTTGTGTATTTTTGATGAAAGTTTGAGAAATTGTCCAATTAATAAATTAAAAGTTAAAAAATGAACATAACAAACCAAATAACAATAACATATTCTAGTATTTTAGTTAACAATAAGAAGGTATTAGTACAAAAATAATAATAACGGTAGTACGAAAATTTGGTATTTTAATAATAATTTCATTGCTCGCCCTTTTGATGAGTAAAAAAAAATGAGTGTAAGGCACCATTTAAACAAAATGTAATCGGTGGAAAAAGAACATTTGATTACACTTGAGATTTTTTTGTATTTTTTAATGTTAAATTTATTAATTAATGAAAATATACAAGAGGACAAAACGAAATAATTCTTAAAGCCATGGCCATGGAAGGCATCGATATTTTTGCCCTTTGTTATTTGCGGGAAAATCATTTTTTCGACTCACCCTGTAGAACGGTAGGTCTCTAGAGAGGGAGGAGGCAAAACCATTTTATATATTATTTTTTATGTTTATAAGTTACTAAGCTGCAGTAACTAGGCTTAAAGTGTAAGTTACTGCATTGTTACAGTGTTTTATGCGCTAGACAAAAAATTGGACTCACCGTTAAACATTCGCTTGAACTGGCGCAAGGACAAATGGCGTCGGCCCTGAGGCCTTTGCTTTGGAAAACGGACAAAAACTGATCGCACGAGCTAAGAGACCAGGGATTAGCCCCGTCGGCGACGAGTAACATCCTTAAAGAGCCTAGATTGATGTCCTTGTGGTCTTTGGTGGCCAACAAACCCCAATGGAGGTCCCTGGACTTGACTACGGCGACGCAAGCCCGATACTTGGTGATCATTTGCATCCAGCTGGCCGGGTTGACCTTCATGAGGGCGTAGGGAATGTAGATCACGTGCATGCCGTTTAAGACGCTGGTTAATACTGAATGCCAGAGGCCGACTTCGCGTTTGAAGTCCAAAACGCAAACCATGTTCTCGCCTTCGCTGTAGTTGCACGCCATGGTCACCATCCGGCAATGTTGAACCATCGCAGCTCTGGTGACTGTCACGCCCATCACCGAACCGTCCCTATCAGTCGTGTACTCGATATAGGAGGGCGTGTCGTCGGTTAATCTGGGCGTCGGGCTCCAATCCTTGGGAGTTTTGCTCAAATGTTCGGTAACGAACCAGTTAAGTCGGGGCCAACCTTTGAACTGAATCACCTCGCCCGACGTTGTCTTCGGAAGGCCTTTAAGGCATGCCTCAGACGTTAACGCCACCTATAGTTGTCACGATATAGGTTTACGTGACTTGTAGGTATATAAGACGCGGTACCTGAACCATACAGCTGCCTAGGAGGAATCCGATTTGCAGAGATCCGGCATCGCGACGGGTGATCGGAACTTCTATGGGCACAGGGACGATGCCGGCCTGAAGGCATCCATAAAAAGCACACAAAAAATTGATGGGGTCATTGTTTGGATAGACTAGAGCTACTCGATCACCGGACTTTAAACTAGTATCACCATTTTTGCTGAAGGATTTCGTTAAAAGCGAGTAAGCTATCTTGTGCGATCGGCTCAACAGTTTGCCTATAAAAAAACATCTTATTACTACATATCTTTTAAATAATACAAATGGGTTTGCGGTCATGTGCAAAAATATTTTCAATTTACAATCGTCAAAAATTGGTTCTCATTTAACAAAGCAAAGTTGTCGTCAGTTTTTCAAATAACTGACAATTTTTTTATTGATGTACGTACTGGACCAATTTAAAGAAAGAATTCTTTATAAACAGTCGCGATTTTTTGAGGAAGAATTCTTTTGTTAACCACCGAAAAGAGCGAACCGAATGAGCTTCTTGGACATTCTGAGATAGTTGCCCTAATCGTGAATCCAAAGACTTTATGATATCAGCACCGTAGAATTTTATGTACAAAAGCTGGCATAGGTTTCAAACGAATCAACCAAACCAAAACCAAAACCAAAGTACAATTGAAAATTTATAAATTGGATCTTGGAATTGTCAAAAAATCTACGGGCTGTTCAACGGTCTTTAGTTTTTCCATAACTTTGCTTTACAATATCAAACAGAAGACCTAATTTACATTTAAATTTACTCCTAATTAAAATTTCTCTAGTTACTTCTAATTGCATAATTTCGGTTGTCTCTTTGGTAAATACAAAATAAAGACATCTGTAAAATCTGGTCGGTCGACGAACTTCTTGGATCTTTCCAAATATTTTTTTTGAAATGAATTAGAATTATTAATAAAATAATGCCGGAGGTAGAGGCACTAATTTTTGTTTGTATAATGAGTGACGGCTGCCGTCTGAAGGAAATTTATAGTCAAGATGAATTAAGTTTTTATCTGTTTAGTATCTGTACTAATACTTTACCTTAAATTTCAGGCAAACGCTGACTAGTATGACCTAATAAATCTTGTAATTTTAACTTAGCACTACCTTTGGAAATTCTTATATTTTATGGATAAACCGAAGGGATTTATAGTTTACTAAATAATATGGTGTCAACATCTGATCCGACGAACATGTTTTAGGAATTACTGTTTCGCGCCGATCTAAAACTAATTTCTGCAACAGTTTTCGACTCAACCAAATTTGCCACCGCATTTCTTTTTGACTCTTTATGTCTCTCTAACCAACACCAACCAAAACTACTTTCAGAAAATTATTTTATTGGACGGTCAACATTTATAGCGGCCATGATCGCTTAAATTATGAAACAGGTTTTTTTTAACCAACAAAAATACTATTTTGTAAATTCATTATAATTCTGATAGCACGCAATAAATCTAGACAAGAAATTGCTGCAGAACTGCTTTAAATGGCCTAGTTTTTCTTTTTCTGTTCATTCCGTTACATTATCGTTTCCTCTTATCTCTTTAATAAGTTTAAAAAGAATCCTTACCAGGCGGACTTTAACTATCAACCTAAGTTTATTTAAAGCTCAAACATCATGAGACTTTTTGTTGGTATTACATTAAAGAAAATTTATATTTTAATAATTAAAAAAAATCTAACCATAATCAAAATTATTTAATTCATAAAGCATAGAAAATTTGATACTCCCAGCAGGAACCCAAATACATAGCACATTGTTGTGCATCTCCAAACCAACATTCACGCACATTGCTTTCCACATATTTTTTTACAAAAGCGTGATATATGTTAAAAAAACTGAAGTTGGAGCTGGCGCTTGAATCGTAACCACTTAGAATGTGCCAAATTCACTTGTAATTAAAATTTTTTCTCGTCACCAATTAACCTGATCAAAAACGCGACACCAGCTCTACAGTAGGGTCTCGACTTTCCCCAGCTTCGAACGATATCCCTTCCTGTCTTTTGCTAGGACCATTCAGTTTGCTGCACCAATCGTTACAGTATCTTCAAAGAGCCCGTCTCTAAACCGGCCAATCTTGATGGACAGGATTATGTTTCGGTTTCCTGATCGTCTGTATTAATTGTAGAGCTCAAAGTTATATTTACGTCTTCAGACGTTATTCTCTTGGACAGCCTCATCAATTATTTTCAGTATTTTTCTCTCTAAGGTCAATAGTTACGTCTCATCTGCTTTGGCTAGGTTTCCGAGCCGAACCATGAGAGACTCGATTTATTTTTGACAGTCCGAAATAACAAGGATTGGCAAGTATCATACGAGTTTTTATTTCTTTGCTATCGTCATTACTTGGGTTTATCAGGGTTTCGAGGTATAAGTATCTATCGTTTCCACTCATTGATCTGTAGTCTCATATTCTTTCGATTGAGCAGGAAAGTGTAAATTTCTTCTCTCTCAGCTTGGCATTGGATTCAACGGACCAAGTCTTTGTCCGGCGGAGAAAGACCGATAATCGGTGTAAACAAATGGATCCCTGCCCAATAACAACGGGTTTTTCGTTAAGATTGCAGCTAATGTATTCACGAATTGTTGAACTTTTAATACCAGCGATGAAGAAAAACCAACACGAGGTCTAATGCCAGTGGTCGCCAATCAAGCGCCAGCTTAAACTTCAATTCTTCAACTCATATCTAGCTGTGTGATAATTGGTTTCCTTCTAATAGAGGCACCTCTATTAAACTGCTGGATTTGCCGATTGTAACTGCTAAACCAGTATGAAAAGGACTTACCGTACGTCAATGTCGTTGAGAGTTTACCATTGGGATCTAGAACGGTGGCGACCGGCGCTTTAAACGTCGCGTTTCCATATCTCGTGACAGCCGCTTCCAGACTCCGGGGCAACCCGGACGGTACCACCAGTTGCTCGCCCACCGCCGGACTCATGGAGCTGCCTTCCGGTTTGGGCGCGTTAGGGTCCTTGGGGTTGGCCGCTAGCTCGAGCTCGATGTCGTCGTCCTCGTAGAATTCTGGGAGCGGTCTCCGCTTAGGCCTCTTTAAAGTATTGAGCAACTGTTGAATTTTCGCGGACACCTTCCACCGACCCGTCCCCGTGCCGATCGCCTCATCCGAAGCGGACGACGTATACCGATTTACTCTGTCCGCTCCCCTTCTGCCGCCTTGGACCATGTTGCTTGTGATGTCAGGCGGTTGAGAGTCTATCGGAAAAAATCGTATCGTAGTGACATATATGCTCCCAGTACTGCATATACTATAGAAACCATCATCAATTTTTTACTTTAATTTCCATACGTACTTCGTCTAATAAGATAATTACCCATTGCCCATTCAGGTAGTCGAAATCAACTCGACTATCAAATTTCTTTGACCTTCCAAGAAACCACGGGTATTCAAAGTTTTAGGAAACAAATTCCTCAACTAGATGGAAACAAACTACAAGTCTAGCAAAATATTACACATAAACATTGGGTACTTTTGTTATCGTACTGTTTTTATAACTGGATGGCATTTAATTAAGCTAATCAAATAAAGTACTGTGTTAATTCGTAAGGTCACTAATTCACAAGTACGTACGTCATTGAAGCAATGATAAATGGCTAAGAGCTTCAACTTTGCCAGAGGAAAGAAAGAAATAATTAGGCCCTATGTGATCTATTTAGTACGTATTAGTCATTCAACGGTTAGATTTTTTGAAAGCGGAACACCCAAAAAAAACGTGGCCAAGACAGGAAAAGGGATACATGTCAAACTGAGGAACGCCTTCTCTGACAACAGGTATTACGAAACAGAAACGGCTACACAGATCACGAAAATTAAGACTCGCTAGAGATCATCATTCATGGTCTGTGGATAAAACCTCTAGATGGTCGTTCTCGACAAATAATAGATTGGTGGAGTGGGTGCTAGTGTGGAACTTTTGGGGATTACAATAGATGATAGTTTGGGCTGGGTTTAGTATGTCAATTCATTATGTAAAACACAGTATTTTTGTAGTTCACGAATTAAAAAAATTAATCGCTATGGAAACATTAATGATATTATTCCCTCTTCCATTCTTTTAGGCTATGATGTTGTCCTGTGGGATAACTTTTTGCTGTTGATCGAGCTTTTAAACTTCAAAAGAAGGTAGTTAGAGTAATAGCGTGTGCAGGTTATCTAGATCATTGTAAGCTTATCTTTAGAGCAAAGACATATTTAGGCTAAACTCCTTGTATCATGACTATCCTACTCGAAAAAGTGACTTCCTTCGCAACAAGAAATTTAAATATACTAAAGTATACCATCAAACGCGAAGGCACTGAGTAATAAAAAATTTGAACCATCATTACTTATATGTATTTTTTTGCCTTAATCTGTGGTATTTTTTATGTAATTCTGTAACAGTCTCGTTTTTGGTTATTTTTCTTACTGTTCTGTATGTCACTATCACTCTTTTACATTTTATACTTTATGTATTTAGCTGTGGAAAATGACTTGACAATTGTATTATTATTTAAACAAACTCACAATAATCATTTGAACTCGTACCATTCATTTCTATCCAATTGCGGAAAATGAAATAGTAAAAGCTTCAAGCAAATTAAAAAAGAAAATGACCTCAAATTGTATTATTGTCTTCTTTAAATCTTTACTGGTGGTATTTAATCTAGAGCTTTTTTTTTGGAATTTATACTGGATATTGGAAGGAATCAAGAGTTTGCCCTAATTTAAAAAGTCACGTAAGTAATCAATTTTCTTAAAATATCCCATCACGTAAAAACCTCATCCGCTTATAAAATTTCTCCGAAAATCTAGTTTCGCTTTACTTTGAAAAAGAATCCATCATTCCCGTAAAGAAATAGACCAAATCAATAAGGCTCTTCTGTTTCTACACCTTGAAATTGCTTCCATCTTTCAAACATGATTCACGACAAAGTTTTAAATTTTCGATTATCTTCTACACAAAATCACATTCAGAAATTTGAAAAACCAAAGTCAACACTAGGAAAGCAATTAAACTCTTTTTAACTACCAACCACTGCAATAAATGTATCATCGCACCAACTTTCGGAAACGGAAAGATCAGTTCTTCGTCCTTGCCCGCCGTATTATCCCTAAAGAGGAAATCATTTCAAATGTCGAGTCTATCCTAAACAAACTGTCGTCTCAAACAGCTAGTGAAATTCGATTTGAAAACGCAAAATTCTTAAAAAATCAAAACGTCCTAAATCTAATTTTGCAAAGCCTGAACGCATTGCACTGAAATCTCTAAAATCTAATCCCGACATCATAATCCTAAAAGCAGATAAAGAAAATACTACGGTGGTTATGAATACAAATGAATATCAGGAAAAAATTCAAGATATTCTTACAGACGGATCATATTGTCAAATCTGTTATTAAGACTTCTTCTCTATCAGACTCCATGAAAAAATCTGCCAACCCTCATGACTCTAAAATTCCTAGTCTCTACAGACCCCCGAAGATTCACAAAACACAAAACAACAACAACAAACAAACAAAAGATTCACAAAATCCCTTCGACCTATTATCAGCACCATTGGTTCTCCTGGAAAAACTGATAGTTTCGTACTTAATTCCTTTCACTTCAACGAACTATTAAAAAGCATTAGATAACAAGATATTCTAGTGAGTTTCGATGTAGAAAATCGCTCTTTACTACAGTTCCTATTCCTGAAACTCTCACCATCATTTCAGATATATTAAAATCCCAGAGTCTGGAACTAAACCTTTCCACCTTAATTGAAAAATGCTTTTCTGGAACATATTTTTCTTATAATGGTCAAATTTTTGAACAAACGTCGGGAACGGCTATGGGTTCTCCACTATCACCAATCATCGCGAATATATTTATGGAGAAGAAAGCTCTCGACACCTTTCATCTAAAACCAAAATTATGGAAACGCTACGTTGTTATTTGGCCTCATGGTAGATTTTCTTACACATTTAAACTCTATACGCCCTAACATACGCATTACCATTGAGATCGAAACTAATAATAACCTCCCATTCTTAGATATTCTTATCAATAGAAAATCAGACCTAACATTGGGTCATTGTGTTTACAGAAAACCTACGCACACAGACCGGTACCTTAATGCATGGTAACATCACCCTCCGGCCCAAAAATTATCAGTTATCAACTCTTTCGTTGACAGAGCCATAAAACTATCTTACCCCGAGTCATGAACCCAGAAGTAAAACACCTTACCTTTGCTCTTCTCTCTAATAATTTCTGCTCTTCTCTCTAATAATTTCCACATTAAAGATATTAAGTACACTTCACCACAACCTTCCAATAGCAAGGAGGCCGAAAGCAATCCTACAGTTGCCACTACGGTCCTTCCTTAAATTCCAAACATCACTGACCACATATCCAAAGTTCTAAAAAAATAGAACCTCAAAACCAGATTTACGACTTGTCCAAAAATCTCTCATCATCTTCGATCCGTCAATGCATATGCGGCAAAGAATACATTGCAGATTGCAAATATGAACTAGGCTCAAAGAACATGAAAGAGCCTTAAGACTAAGACAAATAAACTCATCAGCAGTTGCCTAACACAATGACGAAACCGGACATAAAATTTTATTCGATAAAACTAAAAGTCTTGCATGTAATCAATTCTTTTACCAACTAAAAATCCGAGAGTCTATAGAAATCTATAAACAACCTAACAATCTTAACCGCGACTCAGGTCTTTACCTGTGGCCAATGTGAGAATCACTAATCTAGTACCGTTTACAGAGTCTACAACAGGAGTACTAGATAATCAAGGACATGTAGATGTGGTAGATGTTTACTTTAGCTTTGTTCGATCTAAACTTGAGTACGCGTCGCTTGTGTGAAGCCCGATATACTCTTGCCAAAGCTGGGCTGTTGATAGTGTACAGATTTTTTTTTTTTTTTTGAATAACCTAGTGTTCAAAGCTGATGGTGCATATTCGCCGAGAGGTTAAGACTATGAATTTTATTTAAATAGATTTAATATAAATAGTCTGGAACGAAGACGCAAGCGCGTGTCAGTTATCTTCATTTATAAATTGTTACATAACGTTACAAACTGTCCCACTTTGTTAGCGTACTTGGATGTTCGTATATCACGGTTAAATTCCAGCACTAAAGACACTTTTCACTGGGTTAGGGCTAGAACAAACCTGTTAAAACGTTCTCCTGTAAATGTATGTGTACAAGTTCCACGTCGATTGCGAACTGTCTTAATTGTGTACCAAAGGGCATATCGCTGTTGAAAATTTGGTTAATTTGGTTACTAAATAATAAGCTTTTTTCTTTCCTTTTTTTATTGTTGCTATGAGCGTACTGAATGTATTGCTTTGCCTAATTGTCTCTACTTATGTTATACTCCTGCAATTTTATTTTTTTTTATTTACTTCACGTTTCAAAAAACAATTTCCTAAATTCTAGGGAACCAAACTACAAAAACAGTAAAATGTTGCACACGACCGGGCGAGGACTCAAGCGAGAACTCATCTTAAGCTCCATGAACAGAAAATGTTTACAATCAAACTCTGGCGATGCAAAATGCTTGGACTCAGAACTCCGGACTGCCCGGACACACACACTCTGGGCACGTAAACTTTGGGTACACAAACAAATTAGAGAAAATCTCCGGGGACAGATACTCTGGAACAAAAAACGACTTGGAAGCAAACTCCAAGGGCCCAAATTCCTAAGTCCCAGATTCTGGGACTCTCGATAAATATTTTCGCGTTACGACGTACTAGTTGTCAACAGAATATGCTTGAAATGGATGATTTTCCGTTCTTCGTTCGGCGGCTTACTTACACGGCTTGAAATTTTGTAACACGTCGCTGATGTCTGTGATGTCCTGTTGCCTGCCAGACGCCGACCTCTGCTCGTTCCAATTGGGCGGCGGCAGACGTGGTCGATGGTGAAGGGGCGGCGGCGAACCGGTACTTGATGTGTCGCTCAAGGGCGGCGGCGGCGGAAACATTTGCGGTGTTCCGCCCCCGCCGCCCCTCATTTTTTCCCGCTCCGGCGTACTGCCGATCGCGTCGTCCTCATTCGCCAAGCTGTCCTCGTCCGATGAATATTCTGCGGAGCGTACGAAGATGATCGATATTTACCTTAGCGAAAAAACTTAAAACGAAGGAAAAACGTCTAACAACATTCTACTCTCTCTACTTTTATAGTACTTTTTGGTTTCTTAATCTAGATGGAGCGTCACTTGGTTTTGGTAGCCTAAAGTTTCGCTAATCTAGTAAAAAATAAAATCTAGATTACAAACATTTGTCGAGAAATGGAGTCACAGACCCTAAAAGGAATACACCTGAACATGGTTTTTTATTAGTTTTTTATATCAGGTTGAGAGAAAGTTTTCAAATGGTTGCCAGTCGACTTTCAGTCACCAAGATTATTGGAAATAAAGCTTTTAAAATTCATAAAGCGCATTTCTGGAGTAATGGGAACCAACTTTCAACATACGTTTTCTATCAATGTTTGGGTAATGCATTATCAATACCAATTACCAATAACCTTGCCGAATTCAATTGAACGTTTACAATATACCGTGCACCTGTGGCAAAGAATACATCGCAGAAACAGGTCGAAAAATATCAATCAGACTAAAAGAATTAAAGTTTCCCCTACCATTCCCCGTTCCAGGCAGATATTTAAGAGATGTGTGGATTTATCATAAAGTCAGTTTTCGATACGGCCTTGAAGAAGCTAGCAGCACGTTTAGCGAAACTTCAGAGAGACAGAGTCAACACCCGACACAGGAGAAATTCAGAAAATGGGCACCTGCATGTAGGAAACTGGTTAGATGAAAATTTTGCAAACAAGTGGATGTGTCGAGGTGGTCCAATAAATTGACCAGTGACTTAAATCCATGTGGGGTAGTAATTCTATTTATGCCACAGGAGCAGATAGTTTCAGAGGAGGCACTGAGGCGAATTAATGTTGTTGGAAATCAATTTAGGAACAATCGCAATGTGCAATAATGGAAACATAACAAAATATTAGTGGTTTTTCATTGTTAACCATTCAATGCCGAATTATGCATTACAACTTACTGATTAATGTTTATAAAAATATCGTGCTAGTGAGCCATCAAATGAAAATTAACGAATAGCAAACCTATTCGCTATACAGAGAATTTGCCGCGAAACGAAAATATATAGATAATATACAGGGTGTTTTATTTAAAACAAGAACGCTCGCATTTACCTCAGATGAACGGAAAGCCATACATAAAAAATATAAAATTCGTTCGACGTGTTGAGGGGGTAGGGAACCTTATTTCGGACACCCTGTACCGATAGGGCGATGTCGCACATTGAATAATTTTGTAACAGAATGGCAGGACGTGAAGTTAATGTGACGTGACCTGTGATACTAACCTAAGACAGAAGTTTTGAACTTTTTTAATGCAATATTTCTCTATATTATCTAGACAAGGCATGAATACGCCTTTACATTGATTAAAACTTGCTAGAACTCGAGCAGCACAGAGAAGCCTTTTAGTATACTTTAACTTGCTTGTAAATTTTAGGCGAAAATCTAGAATAAATTCTAAACTTTTGCAACTGTTACAAAAAGGCAAAACAGAAGTTTTTATATCGTCAATTAATGCTTGATTGTTTCGTTAACCCAATTCTTGGGAAGAAAAGTACAGTTTCATATTCATAAAGATGATAATCACAAATCAAAAACAGGACTGGATCTAAACTAAACAAAACTACTATCTCTAACAGCCAAAGGCTGAATCGGATTTGGTGAAGAATTGTCAAACACTTTGCTAAAATTCAGTAAAGACAGTAATTTTGTTATAATAATAACCCTAAAAAATATCATCAATCACATCTGCAAAAGCGCTCTCACAACTATAACCAGATCTGGTTCGGGGGCAAATACTATAAATGCTGAGAAATTGTCTTATTTGCTTATGGTCTATTTTCTCCAGAATCTTAGAGTGTAAGCAGAATGAATACTGATAGAACACAAATAATCAAAACTCGGTAGGTTTTTTTTTAATTTTAACCAGCGGTATGACTTGTGGTCGTTTCTACAGTTCAGGAAAATATTACGGCAAAATACATGCATACTGTCGGTTCTCGTAGCATTAGTCTTAATACTGTTTATTATACTAAGCACTTCAACTTCAACAGTTACACGACAGTAAAACTGTTTATGAATTCCGTCAATAACGTTATTTTTATAAAAGCTAAAAGTTCTGGGTTGGGCAGGGTATTAGAGGCAGTGGAGTTGTCAAAACAATTAAGGAGAGTTGTTTGTGTGTTTTATTGTTCAGGCCACTTCTTTCTAGAATTAGCATTTTGAAATTTTGATTGCAATTTTGTTTCTTAACATTATGTTAGGATTTTGTGTTGGCATAGACAGGCGACTTTACCTGTTGAAAATCTATATTAGTCCGATCCGGCAGTTTTAACTTTGTATGTGCTGCGAAGTTGTCGCATTATAACCGCCTTACGATTAATTACAAAAATACCACTCGATGCACTTTCTCTTCGCTTTCGCACGTCACACCCGTCAACGACGAAATAATCACAAACCCACGCCACATCAGACGCACATTTGAACTATCAATAAATAAACGCGGCGATGGTCAATTAACACTTATAACCTGAAATAATCGCGCAGGCAAATTGGCAATTGAAAACTGTTTGCGATTTGACGATGCACCGCGGGTAGCCCTCCCGTTCCGTTTCGAACGCGAGTCAAGAGAACTGGTTCCGAAATCATCGGGAACAACTGAGAACAAAAACTAAAGTTGACCGGAGGCTATTGCCTTCAGGTGGAGCGCGTATATGACGTGATTCATTCGCACGGAATTCGCCTTCTAACCGTCAAACGTTTGAAGCCCCTATTTAGAGAAGTCATAACAAATATCGCGCCCGATTTGGGTACTCCGTAGAGTTATTTTAGTGCTTGATTTTTTTTAATCTAAAAATAAGTTGTTCGAAGTGTGAGTCAACGGTTGTAGCATGAAATAGCTTACGAGAGGTTTGAATTTAACTAACGCCAAAACAATGTATACGTTGATAACATAGAGAAAACGAATGAAAGGAGAGTGACGAATTAAATGAGAATCGAAGTACCATACATAAAGTGACTGCGATAGTTAAAAAAAGACAAAAAGTTGGGTATCTATTGATTATTGGTTTTTGCACCTATTGGCGCTGTTTTACTTCAGCCCTTATTTAAAGCGTGCGCACTTGATGGGAAATAACGGTTTACCTTGTTAACCGATAAAGTTCAACGCTACTTACGGCGCACAGCGGAACGAAACATATATCATCTTTTGAAACTAAACAAAATTCATGAAAAATATTAAAAAGGTAACATGTTTCGACAACGAACAATAAACACATTAAAAATATAAACACAATATAACTCTCTGATAATCAAATAATGTTTATACAATATTGTTTTAATTTTTAACATTTATTATAATACAAGGTCGTAGGACAAGACGTTGTAGACCTGTCTCTACTAACTACAGGATCGAAAGCAAGCAAAGGGATGTTAAAAACATCTTCCCTTGGAGTGATTTAATCTGTAGAATTTGAATAATTTGTGATTAGCTCTCAGATTAATTGCACTATAGGCATTTTTTATGTTTTCTGAATATGATTGACACTTAAACGCCACCATTACAATTTTTGTTATACTGGACAGTATTCAATAATTTTGAATGAATATTAGTTATTTGATATTGCTTTTTTTTAAAGGATTAATGCAACCATAATTTTTTATAATTAAGTAAGTGTCTAGTGAAACCCACATCTTAATATTTTTATACTAACCTGAAATATGAATAAAAGAACTTAAAACTAAAAAAAGTTGAATTTCGGGAAGTATATTCTAATTTGATGATCCAGAAATGCTAATTTATTATCTGGCATTCCAAATTTTTTTCAAAATCAAAATATTGCGATAGACAACTAAGAGAATTTGATAAGCATTAACAACATGAAATATGCGTATATCGTTTTGTAAGATAAAAACAAAATTTGTTGATAATTCATTAGCAATGTTGATATTTAGAAATAAAATTGTTAAGGCAAATGTTTTATCTATATCTTAAATGGTTTCTACTAATGAAATAGTTAATAAAATTAGTCCAACAATCCATTAGTGATTAACTCTAATTATTAATGAAAAAATAAGTGATAATACTAAAGAAAAAAATAAAAATAAACATATTTCCCTAATATATTACACCTACCGATGAGTTATAGTGAGTCTTGAATAAGTGTCAAACAAGATTTTAATAGACAAAGATATAAATTGTGTAGAGTAAGTTATTTATAGTGCACTCTAATGTTTGTGGCAGTTAACTGTCAATGAAAAAATATATTTTATTTTATTTGAGGATTATTTCACTCATTACTGTATAACTATCGGCTTAAAAATAAATCAGACACTTTTTCAGTTTTTAAAGAAGGTATTTGATTGCAAAATAGACCATGAATAATTGTATTACCTTGAGATTGGTGAAAAAATTTTTATATTAAGTTTAAGGATTCAAAATTAATTTTTCAGGGGTTGTGTTAAAATAATTAATTCAGGGGTTCTTTGTTTTAAATCGCTGTCGACTTAGTATGTTTGTATGTCGGATTGTCCAAATCTTTTCATTAAAAGCATTTCAAACGATGACCGTGAGTTGTGTTGTGTTAAAAGAGAGAGAAATTGGATATTCCTAATAATATCAAAATCCACTGTGTATTATTTATTCCCATAACATCTAAAGCCTTTTTTAACAAGCCCGAATTTATTAAAATACATTAAGAGTTATTAAAATTTATTTCCGAAAATGTACGAAGAGCCCCGATTACTTTGATGTTGTCGCAGCTCTAAAATTGTACCCACTTTAACTATTTCAAGTATTTTATCTTTACACAACGATTGTATTTTTGAAAATTATAGGATCTTTGGTTTTCCTAATACAGAGCCTTTGAAAAGCGTTGGATATTTGGTTTTAGCAGACTATCTCTCAAACCACGTCTTTTTTCGTTCATATATCAGCATTATTGAACATTTATTATACTGTAAAAAATAGATCATCTGAT